TGATACAATATTACATTATTGTATATGAAAAATAAAGTAATTGAAATGGATCCGTTGTCGCACGAGTGAGGAATTAATATTTGTAACCACTGACACGCGATCGAACAATGATCGAATATACATACGCGTCGATTTTATATAAATTGCTAAAAGCACCCGGGCTTAACTAGTCTGACGATTCACCCGTGTGCCGTGTGTATTATTATAATAATACGCAAAAGAGAATTCGGGGGGGCGGGGGTGGTCATAACGTGCATATAAAAGAGGGAGGAGCAACGACGCGTATCCCATGGATTTTACAAGGATGATACCTATTTACTCGAAAACCCAATCGTTTCACGATTAATTGCGGCTCTTATACACGGCCAAGCTTGACTGAGCCGAGGGTAGTAAAAAACCGCTGCCAAGTCATTGGCAAAGTGTTTCCTCATTCTTTTTTTAATTGTCTTATAATAAATATTAACCTAAAACTTAATACTAATAAATTCAAAATCTATACAAAACTTTTAAAAGAAAAAAAAATAAAAGGGTTTGGTTATTAAAGGCAGAATTTTCGTATTTCGTTTTAGAAGTTCAAATTCCGTTTTCCTTAATGTATACAAAACTCCTAAAATACTTTAAGATTTCTAGAATTTCTTGTATGATTACCTTGCTACCGAACCTTAGCTTGCACACACACACATCCATACATACGGACATTTATTGAGAATTCAATTTAGTTTACAAATATGTAAACAAATTGTCCTACGAGGTCTAGTTCGAAATCTCGTTTTCGAGCCTATCACAGAGCTCCCTCTATGAGGGAGCAAAAGTGCAACTTTTCATTTCCAATCTTTTTTTCATAATATCTTTATGAATAAACTATCTTTTTCTATGAGGAAGCAATAAAAAATAAAAAAAAGGAAGTGCTCGTACAGATAATATACATATATTTCTCTCTCGCGCCAATCTTCGGGTTCCCTCGCTATCTGTCATTTATTCAATTTACACGGAATCAACTGTGAAATGTACGTGCTGCTGCTCCAGAGCGCAGAGAGGAGCAGGAGGAGGAGGCGCAAAGTTTTTCTCTCTTTCCACTGGCCTTTTTCTTTTCTCTGTCTCTCAACAGCGCCACTACTACGCGTCCATCGTCGTCGTCGCACAGCTGCCAATCGGAAGGCAACAATTTCGTTTTTTCCTCTCGTTTTTTTTTTACCACTCGAAACTAGAGAGAGAGAGATCGCGAAATGAAGAAAAAAAAATTGAGCAAAATATATAATATCGGTGCGACGGGCGGTGCTGCTGGCCATCGCGAGCAATTCGAGCTTGGTGTGTGTGTATACACTCTCATGAATATATATTAAAGATACATTCATATTGTACGTCGAGCCGATGGTTTATGTATAACCGCGACTATACGGAACGAACGACGACGTCGGGCCGTCGAGTAAAAAACGATGACTTATATAAACGACGATGGTACGGTACGTCTGGAGCTGCTCGATTACTCTACGTTTACCGAGCTCCAACATAAAGTAGATATATATAAGGCGCGACACACGAAAATCACTTGTTGCGGTCAAATGTCGCATTATTAATTAATAAAGTGGCGGTGCTACGCGCGGCTGTGTGAACTCGAGGGGCTGCTCACAAAAGACTCTCGTAGTCTCGTCGCTGCTGCTGCTGCTGCACACTCGTCGTAAAAAGGTAAGTACACACGAGCCGAGGTATAAGATAGAAGACTCACACATACACGGCTGTCCCGTTTGTGACACTTATAACCGAGAAGAAGAAGAAGAAGAAGAGAGATCGTCGTGAACGATGAGCAGCAGCAAAAAAGGGTAATATACGCACAAGAAAGCTTAATATTTAAATGTCTGTCACGATACGACACGCAAAGGTAGAGAGAAACGATGAGAATAATTTGTATGTAAAGTAATTTATGATGCAATATTAATAATGGTCTTACCTAGAGTCCATTGATGTGCAGCCGCCTGTTGTTTTGGCAAATGGTCGTCAATACCGTCCATTCCTCTTTCCATTTTTCATCGCCTTTTTTCTTCTTCACTTCTTCTTGTTCTTCTTCCTTTTCTGTCTCTCGCAATTTTTCGCGTGCAGCTTTCGGTGCGAGAGCACCGCCTAGTTTTATATATTTTCTGCTTTTCTTCTTCCTTCTTCTTCTTCTTCAGCTACTCCCGAAAGAGTATTGTGCCTCTCTCTCCGGGGTTCGGTAATATACTCTCCTTCCTCGCGATCACTTTGTATGCACGTTATGCATACACATACCGCTCTGGATGCCTCGCGTTCGCAAAAATCGATGAGCTTTCGGGGGTAAGAAAGATAGATGGACGAGCTTTTGCTTGGGAAGAAAGAAGGCGAAAAACAAACCGTAAGAAAAATGTTGTTGTTGTTGTTGTCGTCGTCGTGCGTGAGTGTGTGTATAAATTGTTATCAAGTCGTATGGATGGATGGCACTTGCGCGTCGTCGCGCAACACAAATTTTCACAACAACGCGCGCACCGACAACCCTGTTAAAGTTGTAGGCTCGAGCTCGTTCTCGATGACAGCTCGTCCGCCACACACAAACACAAGCACAGACACAAATACACACGCAGTGAAGTAGATACAATGACAACAAATCACTCCGCTCGTAGCATTACGCGTATGTAGGTGATATCGATGATGTCTATGTTGGTCGTGGCGTTGTTGCCGTGTGTCGAGTACTGGGATGATTATTATATCGATCTCAGCGAGAATCGCGAAAACGACGGCGACGACTACGACGTCTCGTCGTTGTTGTCGACGACGACGACGACAGTGGCGGCGGCGGTGGCGGTGGCTGCTGCGACTCTACGGCTGACAGTAGCAGCACAACACCACTACTACTGCTGCTGCTGCTGCTGCTGCTGCTGCTGCTGCTGCTGCTGCTGCTGCTGCTGCTGCTGCTGCTGCTGCTTCTGCTGTGTTGTCGTCGAGGCATATAACACTCGGACACAAAGCGAAAAACTACACTATTTTCCTATCTAAGAGTCAGTCTCGCTCTCGGTTGAATTTGTACTGCTGACAGGTAAAAATGGCTGCCAATATATAGACAACCATAACTAACTAACTGGCCGCTCTCATTGACAGCTCGCGTAGAAAAGCACATACAGCTTGCAACGATTCGACACAATGTACGGGGCTAATATATGTAAGTGCAACGACGACGACGAGCGTCGGTGTAAAGCCAGTACTGCTGCACTGGCTATTGGGCTGCTGCTACGAGCTTGCAAGCTCGCGCTACGTTGGCTTTTCAGACAGAGGTTCCGTGCGGAAAATCGTCGAGAGAGAGCAAGAGAAGTAATCTATGCGAAGAGCTGCTAGGAGCTCGCCCCCAGCAGTACACAGAGTACTGACTGCCTTTCTCTCTCTACTGCGAAAGAAAAGGCAAAACGAGAAAAGAGAGAGAGAGACGTACGCTCGAATATATATATATATATATGTACACAAACACAACGAGCAGTTAGCCGCACACACGTATACACACAGACTTGCTGCTGCTGTCGTCGTATATAACGCAGCTAGAGAGAGAGAGAGAGAATGACTGACTGAAACGCGAAAGATAGAGCGCGAGCGAGCGAGAGAAAGAGCGAAGCGCGCACAGGCTGTGCTATACAGTATAACAGTCGAGCGGAGCGGAGAGCCGAGCGCGAGCGAGCCCCTGTGCAAGCTCGCGATTATGAACGAACTGCAACTGAAAGAGTAAAATAGCAGCGATAGAAAGAGAGAGAGAGAGAGAGGAGGCGAGTAGTATAGTCGTCGTCGTCGCTGCCAGAACTACTCTCCTACACACGGACACGAGTACATGTACACACACTTACACACACTTACACACACTTACACACACACAGGCGGCAGCAGCAAACAGTATTGCACGCGCGATAGAAGATAAAGAGAAGAACGAGTACAAGAGCGAGCGAGAGCGAAATATCGACAATGTGTACGTGTGTATGTGCGAGTCTCTGTGTTTTCCGCGCGCTAGCGTGTATCTCTATATACGTGTGTTATAGCCTTATGGTTATATAGCATTGGCAGCAGCAGCAGCGAGCAGCGCGAGGTATGCATGTATGCATGTTATATGCGCGCGCGCGCGCGGCCCGCTCGTATCAACACATGTATACACATGGGCGAACTCCTCTCCTCTCATCTCCTCTCTCCTGACTCTCCGCTTTCCCTGAGAGCTGGCTTGAGCTAAAGAGAGATGGAGAGAGGAGAGAGAGAAGCTCCGAGCCATGGGGGTTGACCGACGGAGTACACACACTCCACGGCGGATCCACAGCTTCGTGTGATTCTCCGCTGCTGTGCGAAAGTGAGAGAGAGAGAGAGAGAGAGAAGCTCGCCCGACTGTGTACGTGTGTTTGTATGTGTTATACGGGGCCGAGAGCGAGAGAGAGGAAAGGGAGTAAAACTGGGGTTGGAGAGATATGGACTCGTGTAGCTTTGCCTGTGTGAGAACTGTATATACATGTATATATAGTAGTCAGCCATCCAGTCCTAGCGCACCTATACTCGCAAGCTCATACACGTACACTCACATTTTTACTTGCTCGCGCGCGGGGTGGCAATCCCCCGACGGTATCGCGCGAATTGCCAGAGAGAGAGAGAGAGAGTGGAGAGAGAGCATGGGTGGGGATAAATTGTGTTAAAACTTGAGGGGAAGGGGATGAGACGGCAAGGAAAGCTCGATACGTTCGAGTGTGTATGTGTGAGCTTGCGTGTACTCGGTGGGTGGTTGGGTGGACCGTATACATGTATGTGTGAGTTAAACGTATATAGTTATACACAGCTCGAGCTTTTACGATTGTGCGTGTATAAGCATATACGTGTGTGTGTGTGTGTGTGTGTGTGTGTGCTGCCTCGGCACGGAAAGAACACACAGGTATACGATTCTCGGTGATGTAGCAACAGGCGGATAGAGGAGAGAGAGAGAAAGAAAGACAGAGAGCAGGGTAGAGAGAGAGAGAGAGAGAGAGCTTTTTTACCAATGTTCCTACTGCGTTCTTTCTTCTTCGGCGCCTTTTCCGATCTCAGGATCTTTTCGATTTTTAACGCCGCTGCTGCTGTGCCGGCTGTATTATGACCGCTGCTGGTGGTGTTGCTGCTGCTACTGCTGCTGCCGTTGTTATTGCTGCTTAGACTGTCCGGTTGAACTACGTGTGTCTTCATATAATATAATATGATGAAATGAGGAGCTGCTGCTGAGTCGAACGTCGATTTGTTGTCGTCGGTGCGGCTTCCTGATGCTGGTTGCTGCTGGCGATGGAAACCCTCGGATGTTTGGTGGTGGTTTTGGATATCACGATCACATTTAGTTATTAATACAGTCGGATTGTTGCTTTGCTCACATTATATCATCACCTTTGCGTTATAATAATATACACACGAGAAATTCTGACACAAGCTTGACACCGCACACACACTGACACGCCCGCGCGCACATAAGCGCGCACACAAACTGACTGACTGGCGCGTATGTATGTATTATATATCGTTTACGCGTTATATACACTCGACGACTCTGCCGCTGCTGCTGCTGCTGCTGTTGCCCGTTGATCGATCTCTAAAATTGCACATATGTAATATACACATTGGAGCTTCCGTTCGATCGCCGAAGCTCGAGTACTTGTACACGGGGATTGGTATGACAAAACGCGTACACGACGATATCGAAGCGTAAGAGAAAGAGAGAGAGAGAGAGTAAGAGATTCAATGAGCTTTACGCGAAAAAGACGTCGATGTGATTTTCTGTCGAACTTCTATACTCGTATTGTACTATAATATGCGCTCGTGGCGAATCTCGAACTGCGCCGTTGTTGTTGCAAGTGTGTAGGTGTACGTGTGTGTGTGTGTGTGTTAAAGTCGGCAGTCGCCGCTGGACCCCTCCTAATAATAGACTACTGGCACTTCTCTCTCTCTTTCTCTTTCGGCAAAAACTCGAGATGCGATCGACGCACTGTTAGCTGCTGCTGTGCACGTATATCGAGTCCGTCCGTGTGCGCGTATGTTTATGATACTTGATTTATTGCACAGAGTCGGGCGCGCGCGCTCCAAAGTCGAGAGAGCTTTTTATAATATATACACAGGCGCGCTTCGCTCGCGCAAGCTCCAAGGAGAAACGGAACTCTTACGTTTTGTTCGTTACTCTTCTCTCGAAAACGTGGCTCGCGTCGTTGCGACCAGCGAACGAGCTTTCCTTCAGACGCGATGGAATTATTATTACCGTTTGCAAGATATATTATACGAAAGCTCCGCGCGCGAGCTTCGTCGATCGAAATGGCGCCGGCGTCTTGCTTCGTGCGTGTTTTAAAGCTCGTGCTTGAGCTTGGACATATTTGAGATAGCTGAGAGCTGCTACTGCTGCTGGCTGCTGACTGCCTCGTCGACGTCGTCGTCGACTCGCTATACGACGTATAGGTCTACTCCTTCTATCTCGCTCTCTTTCGTTGATATCCTCCCGTGTGCTCGCAGCAGCGGTGGTGGCGGCGGCGGCTACGGCGGCTCCGCTCGTGCCGAGGCGCTTCTAGGGGGATGACGTCATGCTTGCATGTGGACCTGTATATACATACCTATATAATGGATATATCGTCGTTTCGGTGACGTAGGCGTGGTCACGGATGCGCACCGACACCTCGCTGGCTTCGTCGTCGTCGTGTGCTCGCTCCGAAGCACCACGGGGGTTGTCATAGTGACGCGTGCTAGCGCGCGCGCCTGCCCGAGCTTTCCCTCAATTTCTGCCCTTCCCAGCAGACTACGCTTCTACAGAGAGAGAGTTGGCCACGTATACACGACGACGACGACGGCTTTTAGCAGCAGCAGCACCGTAGATGTTCCCTCCTTATGCACGGTACAGTTAGAGAACGTGCGCCGCGCACCAGATGAGGAGGAGTGAGGAGTGAGGAGGAGCAGGAGGAGGAGGAGTGAGGAGAGGAGATCCTGCGCGAGAGCAGCTATCCTCTCTGCCGCCGCCGCCGATGCTGCTGAGGCCGACTCCGAGGACGTGTACACTATATACATTTCTCTGTGTACCCCCGTGTATATAGGCGCCTGCCTCTCTGCTCCGGTGCTGATGTCCTTTCACACGCGCGCGCACCAACCGAGTACTCTACGGCGCGCTATAAAGCTCGTTTACTTCCCTTCTTCTTCTGCTTTTTTTTCGTATACTTTTTCTCTCTTCTTTTTTCTTTACTTCTATTCAACTTCGTTGATGTTATAATCCAATGTGTTGCTGGCTCGGACACGTCTCTCTCTCTCTCTCTCTCGACGATTCGATTTTTTACTTTTATTTCCCTCTTTTTCTTTTCCTTCCTCCTACTCCTCTTTTCTTTTTTTTATTTTCTTTTTTTCATTTTTTTATCAACGCCCAAAGAGCCTCTGCGGTGTATGATGTTTGTGCGTGTCGTTGTCGAGAGCACACACCGAAAAAACCCGTAAACACCAATAGTACGAGTGAGAGCGAAAAGAGCTGTTTTTCTAGCCGAGGATATTTTTCGGCGTTTGCGAGGGAAAGAGGGAAAGCAGAAAAATATAGCTGCAAAATTTCTCCATTTTTTGCGCGCTATCCGCGATTTTGGTCCATTTTTTATTCAGTCCAGGATTGCGCTAGCACGCGCCGAGTATCGAAATTGAAAAATATTTTGTTACATCTATCTGTAAATGGGAAATATTTGAAAATCGGAAAACGTTGGATGATCGTTGTTTACTTTATGCGCTGATTTGAACGATGAATAGATTCTTTTGGTTGTCGGTTAATTAAATAAATTTTGATTCCAACAAAGGAAATAGAAATATTATTTTGACGCGTGTAAAACCCATGATCACCTGCGGGCTCTAAAATAATATCGAAATATCCATTTTATTAGTTTTCGTTTTTTTTTTTTTTTAATAAAGCCGTTGTGGAGTTTCGGCTTTGAACTCGGATGATATATTGCTTTAATTGTCATTGGTAGTTATATATAATGCCTTCATTCATTCGCATTCATTCATCGTGCATTGGAAAAATCGTCATTTTCTACGTTATCGGTAACAATATCGATGCAGTCGCGATGAAAAACATTTTAAAGAATATTCAAAAAACTAATTCATTATAGTAGTAATTCGAGTTAATAACCCGTAACTCGTTCGTTGATAAAAAGAAAAGTACCTCGCATTTATATAATTATCATTTTATTAACGATCGATAAGACATTTGAACACTGTCGTGCGGCAATATATCTTATCATAAAAAAGAAAACGTCGAACTGAGAATTTCGCAAGATCGGTCGAGAATTGCATTTTTACCAATCGAAGAAAGTGCAAACTCCGTTGAAAAAAAAAAAATTAATAAGGAGGTCACCATTTCGCGGCTGCATCATCGTCGTATGCATACATTGTATCCTACGCTTATTCGCCATTTTCACCGAGCGAGCGTCTGCAGCAGCGCTCGACCTTAAAGAGAAACGCAGCATTAAGAGTGCATTTGGCAATGCTCTGACTTGACCCTAAAGCCAGTTTATTTATGTGTTAGGAGTGTTACTCATACGGCCGTGCATGCAGTGTCGTATATACAAAGGCTATAGCCTAGCTGTCCGTTCTCTTCAAAACACAACGGATCGTTTTCGATCTTTTGCACGCTTCTTGCTGGGCTTCGAAATTTTCAAAATATTTCGCCCGAGGGTTTTATTTACGTTTACGCGGCTTTAGAGCACGACTATTGATGTTCAACTATTATAAATAACAAAAATTGAAAAGTAACGTAATTTTTCGGCTTAAGTCTGTACCGTATTTGTTTATATCGTGATATAATTTCAAAATTATTAGTGCTATCGGACATTTTCCGCGTAACGTAAATCGAACTGACGCGTGGAAAAATCTTATACAACTATCGGATAGTGTCTCGGCCTCGAACGTCAGCGCGTCTCTCTGCTTCGAAGACTCTTCTGCTTGACTCTAAATTTTGTGTTTGTCGTCGAAACTCCAACAAAATGGGCCCGCTCGTACTCCGAGTTAAGTGCAAATCCGGACAGAAGATCTTGGAATCTCTGAGTCCCGACAGTACCCTCGACGAATTGAAAGCCAAACTGTGCCAAGTGACAGGTATCAAAACCGACGTTATGCAAATACTGCAAGGTTATCCACCCAAAGCCGTGGATACGAGAAACGACAAGATGACACTGAAAGAGTGCAACATCTCCTCGGGCGAGACGATCATCGTCGAGGAGAAACAAAACTTGAACAACGAGGGGAGCGTGCAGGAACAGCCACGTAAACACATAACAGAGCAGGCAAACTTTGGCGACAGTCCTGGTATACTTATGAAGATGGTTGTGCCAGCCGATGACTCATGTCTCTTTACGAGCATTGGATTTGTTCTGAATGGTATTTGAAATTATTTTTATCAAAACATGTACTATTTTTAATTCTATTTCATTTCTAAATAGGCAAAGTAGATACGACACTTGCAAAAGACATGAGACAAATCATCGTCAATGCTGTCAGTGCAAACCCTGAAGTATATAATGAAGCTTATTTGGGAAAAACAAACAAGGATTACTGCGAATGGATTAGCAAGAGTACATCATGGGGTGGAGCGATAGAACTTGCAATTCTTTCTGAAAAGTATGGTGTAGAAATAGTTGTAGTTGATAGTAGTAATGGCATTATCAATAGGTTTGGAGAAGATTGTCACTATGCCACAAGGGTATTTTTAATATTTGACGGAATCCACTATGATCCATTGTATATGGAGTCAATGAATGTAAGGAAACTATTCAACAATTATGTATCATCAATTATATGTTGATTACGATTGACTTTTAATTAATTAATTACTGCATATCTTTTAGGGAGATGTAATACAATCTGTGTTCCTCACAGAAGACGAAGCTGTTTTGGGTCAAGCTATGAGCTTGGCTCAAGAAGCCAAGTCTAGTCACCAATATACAGATGTCAAGAAATTTACCCTTAGATGTATGGAATGTGACTGTAGATTAACTGGTTCAGAAGCTGCACATAAACATGCTCTTGATACAAAGCATCAAAGCTTTGGAGAAATAGTTTGAGTCTAATAAATTAATGGAAGAAGGCATTAGAATTTGATATACTTGATTCAAAGTAATTCACATTCAAGGGACTTCAATGAAAAAAGTTTGTCAAAATTGAATAGGTCCTCATTGAAATATTAAAAAAAAAATTGTACTATATAAATTATATATGTTATAACAATTTGCATTCATAAAGCAAGCTTTAAGACTTATAATAATCCTAATTAACTTTTTTTATTTAATATCTAGTAATAATTATAAATAAATGAAAAAATATAATTTTCCTTAAACTATTCTGGTTTCAACATTAAATTATTATTGTAATAAGCAGTAAATTTTGAAGGTGTGAAATGTATAAATAATCATTGATTAAAATATCATTTTAGTTATTTATTAAAGTTAAAAGATAATGAATTTCAATTTACTAATTTTTAAGTTGTTTCAATAAAAAATGTTCTTGTGAATTAGGTAGTGTAACTTCCAACCTTTTTTACATATCACTTATTTCGGTTTTTAATAGAAATATAATCTATTTGTTTTAATGGCCGTATCTGTAAAAAAAAATTTCATTAGATTCAATGATTCATTATGTTTGATTTAAGATCAAGTTGAAAAAAATGCGTGGATTTCCACTTGGTTTATTCATGTGGTTTCCACAAAAATCAGACATTATCTCCACGTGGATCGGAAACGATTTTCACGTCAATCTGACATTTTTCCCACGTGAATTAGGCATAGGTATCGCGTGAAAACACCACGTGTTCTTTCGAATGTCAAGGAAAATGACGTGCATCCACGAGGATGTTCGGGTGAATCTTTGTATATGATTCAATCATCCTCATGAATAATTCAAGTATCCTCATTGTAGACAAGTAAAAAATCGGCTTGTATCTCATATCGTTGCCCCAGCGCAGGGAGACATTTCTTTATGCTCAGAGACAAAAAGGTAACTATGTCCTATGTTATAAGATAGGAGCTTAGACCCTTTATGCCTCTGAATTTATTAAGGTACCTTTCCGGGCTGGGGGGACGATATGATAGTAACAATATCAGAACACAGAAACCACGTCTAATGTGGAAATTACCTGAATAATCTTTATGAAAACTGTGGGTACAAAAATGTGGATTTCCACGCAATGGTTTTCAACTAGGTATACAGTTAGAAGAAAAAGTTAAATTTGTTAATGATACTCACTTTTGGAATTCCCATTCACGATTATCCAGTGGACACACTTGTCTAGTCTTTAACCAACGGGAGATGCAATGGAAGTGAAAAGCATGCTGAAAAGGTACAATTGTTTTTTGATTATCATCAAGTGACTCAACGGTTTTACGAATCAGACTTTTTGGACCATATAAATATACTCACATTACAAACACCCCAGGCAACAGTACACTCTTCGCTAGTAGCTGATGCTTGATTTGCTTGACACTCTATACAGAGGTCCATAATGTGATTACGGCAAATAGCACAGTTGTCAACAACAATATCTGGAAAAACATTCAATTGGTCAATAAATCTCATACTCAAATGTCAACAACTATTCAGAAGAATGATTCAGCACACTTATTAACATATAAATTAAAACAGAAGAAAAATTACTCACCCCATGCCCATAAAGCGACGGCATTCCACTGAAAAAACACGAAGGAAATCATTAAATACATTGAATTATTTTGAAGAAATGTAATTTACAATTTAACCTTAGATTTACCTTTTTGACTTCAAAACGCTTTTTTTCTCCCTTGACGTTGCTGGAGCTTGGCGCATCCATATCTTCATCTTCAACATCCATAGCCGACATTTTGAGTAATTAATAAGCTCTTTTAACTATAAATAAAGGTACGAGTTCGGACTTGCGAAGCCGAATGAATTTTATACTTCTCAACGACAAGTCCAAAACTGAACTGAGACGACGGCCTTGTGTCGATACACGATTTTAACCGCACTAAGGCCGAAATTTCATCGCCACCGGCGCGCGACACCGAAACTAGAATGTGGAATACACCGCGGCCCTCTACAGGCCGAATTTCGTATGGCGTATTTTACGCGCGTAGTAATTCAAAACTTTTTACAAAACGAGAAGTTTTTTATGAAACAATTTATTTATAATTTTTATATCTATGATTAATTACAAAAAATTTTTTATTCTCGAGCAGCATAATTTTTACCAATTGTTTGCTTTAACCTATAATTTTAATTTTCCGTCTTGATGCAATAGAAAATTAATTTTCGTAAGATGGATAATGTTAAAAATACAACAATTTTAATAAGATTGAGTTCTTAATATAATTTATAAATGGTATACACGCTTTGAACGTTTAACACGTATTCACAAGCATTATCAGATAAAAATATTTTTATTTCTTTTCATACATTGACGGCGTATTGAGGTTGCATTTTTTTAAATCTACAACATCACAGCAACAGTCACATGTAGTGTTTAAATCACTTATAAATAAGAATATGTACAGGATCACTTTTAAAATAATTAATAATGACTTGATATGGTTCACAGTTTTAACGTACACCGTTAGATGAAGTTTTTTTTTAAAAAACGCCGTTAAATTTCAACATCTGAAGACTATCTAAATGTATGTACACGATTTATATATATAAATATAAATACATGTATATTTACACATATATACAAGAACGTTTTCTTATTTAATTAATAAATTAGTCTTCTTTGGCGTACAATTTGTTGGTCACAGAATGTCTATTGGTTTTTTTTCTGAAAATGGTACGGAAGCAGCTACGTAGCTTCGTCCATACTTCGTTTCGTACAGCAGCAGAAAACTTAGTTACCGAACAAATGATTGCGGTTAACGCAAATATAACATTGTAAATTAAAACAAGTTTAAAACTGCCTAGCCACTCGATTCTTCCATAATCACCGAGCAAATCAAAATTCGTTATACCTGTAAACAACAGTAGTGTCATTAAAGATGTAAATTTAAGTTCAAATAAAGCAATAATTCGACAAACTTACCTATCATACGTGAAAGTAATGGAAGAGCTGAACTCAATACAACTAATGCTGCGCAATTAGCTATAAGATGAGTGATTGGCGTTGAATGCAGCTCTGGACGAACTTTTTCAAATCCTGGAAGGGAATACAGACCAACGGCGCTTGTCACAGCTAAATATAAAATCAAAATCACTTGGATTCCTGCGCCGAGAGGTCCTAGTTTTGATAACGAACTTATTCCTAATGTAAATTTCTGAAACAAAAACATTGAAAATATCATTCTTCAGATTAAAGGAGATACCTAGAAATATTAAATATATTAATTTATTTTATCTCTTACACTTGTACTAATTGGTAGGGCCTTAATACCAACAAGTAATTGTAGAGTATTTTGCAGAGTTATTAAGCCTGTTGTCATTGAAAACATCAATAATGCGAGCATTGATACCGGGTAAAAGAATGTTCTTCGCACCCACCCAGTCTGACGCTGTTTGTCGAGTTCGTATTTTCTTTTTTGTATTGCTTGAAGACGTTTGTTTAACATTTGGTTATATGAGGTATTGTCATCTGGTGTTAATTCGGTTGCACTTGTAGAACTATCATTGTCTACGTCAAGGATTTCAAGTCCATCATAATAAAGTTCAGGACAAATTTTTAATGTCTCCACTTTCCCTCCATTTTCGCCAGATTTTAATCTAAAATATTATTTAATATTGGATTATTAAAGTACTTTAAAAATTCATGATAATAAGCATCACTTTTTATATAAATTAATTTTACCTGTATAGAATAAATTCTTCTTCAAACTTATGTGAATAATATGCCTCATCTATATTTTTTAAAAATTGTGGTTTCACAAGTAAAGATCCTACTATGCCAAATAATTTTACGTATCCAATCGGAGTGCAAACTGTAAAAAAATATACCACATTCTTTTAATCGATCACTTTTAATTTTAAAATTCTGATTACGATTTTCTTATATAGTACTTACGCAAAAGCATTACAACTCCGATGAACGAGACACAAGAGTATAAAAATGTCAAATAATAATTCCACAAATCTTGAAAAAATATTACAATTTATTGATCATGCTTCAGCATATTGAATGTATTATACTAAAATAACTTACTAAAAAAATTGTGAAGACTTGATTTCTGGTGATCAAGAACAGCTGATAAAATGTAAGTCATGCCTAAAATCATAGCTCCCAGTAAACTCAATATTGTTATTGTCTCATACACTTTGGCCATAACACCCTGAAAATTAAATAAACATTCATTTTCATAAAGATATTTTATTCAAGATTTTATTGTTCATTTGACACATAAAAAGTACTTACTTTTTTGTTTCCAAGAAAACCTTCTGATTCTGTGAATAGATATGCAAATGGTAAAAATACAAAAAGAGAAAGATTGGACAGCAAAAATATAAAATTCCATAATCCTAGAAAATAAATATCATTATTAAGAATCTCATTTCAATTATTCTTGAAAATTAAATGTATAAGAATAGTTACCTTGAATAAGAGAGCTATTTAACCATTCTACATTGCAGCTATCTGGATACAATAGCAAAAATTCATTGCTTGCAATTGAAACTGGTAGTAACAAAGTAGCACCTATTGATATGGCTAGTGCTGTGGCACATAGCCATAAGCTAATTCTATATACTAATACATCATCGTCATCATTTTCATAATAATCTTCACCACCTCCTGGTCTTAGCCGGTTGATGAGAATGTAGCTCAATGTATAAAGAATTAGAAAAAGTAATAAACATATCTGTTGGAATAAAAGTTCAATTTTAATATACATTGAATTAAATGAAAGTCAAATTAAGTTATCTTCAACAATGATGATATACTTACAGTGTATTCTCTGATTGTATTTTGAAACAATTGTTCTCTAGGATCTGTTTCACCTTCCATATTTGAATTGAATTATAACTCTATCACAATTTATGAAATGAAATTTGAATGCATAAGACATTTTCAATATTTTGCATTCACAAAATATCACGGTTGCGAAAATATTCACACATCAATATTCCTGAAAGAAATGTGAAACGATGAGTTTATTTTTGAATAACTGTGACAATAATTAAATCAAAAAATAATGAAAAAAATTATTCAGTTAAACAAATTTCTACCCTGAACTAAACTACTTCTGAACAGGAAAAAAGTTTTGTAAATCAACAATCTCAGACCACTAACAAATCAAAAATGTTTGTTTGCCTCAAAGTGAAACCCTTGACAAACGTACTAATCAATACAGATAAAATCAAAGACCCTTATGTAACTCAATCACCAAAAACGTCAAAACATATCCAAATAATCCTGTCAACATTTAAACTCTTTTCGTGATAACAAGATTATTGTAATACCTAACTAAATTATGTAAACAATGTGGCGGAGACAAGGAAACTTGACGATTTATTTGTACGTGTCACTTTGCTTGAAAAAAATGAAATAAAACATAATCGTAGATGAAAAATACTATAGAGAATTTTTATACAATTTAATGAGGTGAAAATAAAAAATTGCAACGTCAATCGAAAACGACATTTCGCAACTAAACATTTTCCCAACGCGATAATTATTTTACTCTAATCTTTTCACTGAACAAACATTTATCCACGATTTTCAGGTTCAGGTTAAAAATTTTTATATTAAACACAAAAAGTGACGAAACATTAATCTCTCTCGTCGGAATAACTCACAAAAGTTTATCTCCACTGATAAATCTCTCGCACTCTCAAAAGCACGCGAGTGTTTTCAACGCCCGAGAAGTTATATTTACGCCTCTCATCCTGGGGTTTTTAAAGCGCACGAAACTTTCTTCTATTTGCCACCAGGCCTCAATCGTATCGAGCAAGCACGCAGAGAAAACTCGTTCCTGAGATGTGCTTTATGTATACAGCTCGTTTTTTTCTCTCTTCTTTTTCCTTTTCAGCTGCTATGCTCTCTTTGAGGATACTTATAAGTTTACATTTTACATTCTTTGTTTTGAAGTTTCTTATGTACGGGGCAAACACAGAACTCGACGTAGATACACGGACACGCTGCTCGGCTGTGTGTTGCTGGCCCGAGTGCAGGCTCGTTTCACACTGTGCTGGCTGCACACTGCGGCGGCCTCCGCTCCGCAAAAAGACGACGCGAATTGTAATCTCGCCGAGTGTACGTATGTCGATATTTAATCGGGAGTCTAATAACCTGTACACACTGGTAGTTCTCGTATATGTCACTCATATGTGCGTGCGAAATATATAGATGCACGATAGCCGCATCGACACGGGTCCCACCGACCGTGTGAGAAAATACACATAAGTAGTGGTTTTTCCATAATATTTTGCTTCGTTCAGGCTGCAACGTTTTTTAATTGTAAATGTAGCTGCAGCAGACGATCTGGACTGTGATTTTTATCGATAGTTTGCAAGAAACAACATCTCGTTAGTCGAAAAACAAATAATCCACAACGACTGAATCGTGCTGTTTTTTAGTATGTCAAGTGTCAGCCACAAAATGTGTCATAGGTTTTAGATAAAAAGCTGGATTTACATTCGAAGAGGATACTTCAAGTTTTGAAAATTAATATAATTGCATAATTACATTTGTTCAAAATGGTCTCTGTAATGCAACCCTTTATGGTAATAAATTAGTTCATTCAGTTTGATCACTTGTACTCATGAATAATTTAATTTTAGGACATTGAAAGTTCACGCAGTTACATTGACGAGCTGTATTCAGCTGACAATCAGAAATGTTTTGATGCAGTAGTGTAAGTTTGTGATAACTATATTCTCCTTAAACTTGTTATATCTTCAATGCATAAGATCTTACTATAATGTTGACAAACTTGGAGCTAGAAGATAGCTTTCTATTGTTTTGTTTATTTTTATGCTTTAAGAGGTCGAACTTGAATTTTTTTCTCATTAATCATGGTAGCCAAATAATAATTATAGTATTACATTGAAAAAATAAAATTTTAACATTGTCTCTTAATTTTCAGCTGTCTGAAAAATTCTGTCATTGGCAGCAACAGACAAAAAGGATCTGTCATAGCTCAAGGCGTTGTACCCAGACTATTACAGCTGTTATGCGATCCCAACAATGTGTACGATGACAAAATTCGTTTGGAATCTGCAGTCACTCTTGGTTCCCTGGCTAAGGGAACTGATCAACACATACTGGCCCTCATTGATTTGGGCGTTGTAACATCGATCTTGCAAGTCCTATCAACGTCAGTGATTCCTCTGGCAAATCCTGAAAACATAAAGCTTCGCAACGCTCTGTACGAGGCCTGCTTGAGATGTTTGCGCACAATCTTTCAACATCATGCCGCGCCGGTTTCAGCTATTTTCATCGAACCCAGCTTCATACCGAAATTGTTGCAACTGTCAAACATATCCATCAACAGTCAGGTGTACGTTGCGATGATACTGACGGCTGCGTGCAAAGTATGCTTTAATGAATTTGTGTAGATTTCTGTGATACCCCTTTTAAGATCAATACCTAATTTTTATACGATTCTCAACAGACATGCGAAGAGCAAAACATCCTACTGGCTGGTGGCGCTATCAAAACCCTCGCCAAGCAACTAAAATGCGAATTCGCCGACGTTCAACTACCGGCTCTGGCCTGTCTCGCCAATATGTGCTATCAGAACGCCGACGTGGCCGCCTTGATCGCCTCGACCACGGTCACAGACGAGGTCGAGGAGTGCATCCCGGTGATACTTGGCCAGCTCATGGGCCGCGACAAGGGCACCCTGATACAGCTCGAGGCGGCTCGCTGCGTCGCCTACATGCACCGTGCTCACGCCTTGGACTCCAACGATCCTCGAGTCGTGTACAAGGCCCTGCCGACCCTCATAAGGCTCTGCCACAAGGAGAAGCCGACGCGCGAGAGAATCGCTGCAGCTGAAACCCTGGCTTATTTGACCGAGGTAGACACGGACCTGCAGAGGCTCGCCTCGATCAGCAATCATCTCATACCGACTCTTGCGGACTTTTTGAAACCCAGCTCACAGGTCGGTATCCACAATTCAAGATCAATTATCCTCGCGTGGATCGTTAGTTTATTTATATTATGTTATATTTTTCAGGTGCACGACGCCGCTCTAGCTCAAGACATGAGACAAGCGGCTTTCCGGGCTTTCGCCTCCTTGGGAGCCAACGACGAGGACATTCGCAAGAGAATCATCGAGACCGAGAATCTCATGGAGCAGGTCGTCAGTGGCTTGCAAGATCCAGGTGGTCCCAAGGTGCGCTTGGCCGCGGTGCGCTGTTTGCACTCGCTGTCGAGGAGCGTCCAGCAGCTCAGAACGACTTTTCAGGATCACGCTGTCTGGAGACCTCTGATGCAGCTGCTGCATGGTGCTGACAAATGCTCAGAAGGTTTGAAATATAATTTTCTTCGAACGAGGAGAATTTAGGTTCAATAGATTTATTATAATTTGGGAAACTGTATCAATTTCAATTAGGAAAACCCGATGGCGAGGAAGATCTGTTGACAGTTGCTTCTGGCACGCTGTGCAATTTACTTCTGGAATTCAGCCCCAGCAAGGAACCGATTCTCGAATCCGGTGGAGTAGAGCTACTCTGCTCCCTGACCAAGAGGTCCGATCCGTCGCTTCGACTGAACGGCATCTGGGCCCTGATGAACGTCGCTTTCCAAGCCGAGCAGAGGGTCAAATCGCAGATACTTACCTGCCTCGGCACCGATCAGATATTCCGTCTCTTGGCCGATCCCGAGCTGGCCGTACTAATGAAAACTCTCGGCTTGCTGAGGAATTTACTCTCGACGAAGACGCACATCGATCGCATCATGGCTGATCACGCGGCTCACGTGATGCAGGCCGTCATTCTGGTGCTCGAGGATCCCAATCACCCGGCCGAGGTCAAAGAGCAGGCGCTCTGCATACTGGCGAACGTCGCCGACGGCGATCGCGCCCGAGATCACATAATGGCCAACGAGGACGTGCTTAAAAAATTGATGGATTACATGGTAAACATAATTAATGATTTTGCATGGCAGGAGTACGCGAGAATTACGTGTCTCACCGTTTTGATTCTTTACCTTATCAGATGCATAGTAACGTAAAGTTGCAAGTCGCCGCGATATTTTGCGTGTGCAATCTCGTCTGGAGAGAGGAGCCCGGGGCGGCGCTGCGTCAGGCACGCCTGAAGGAGCTCGGCCTCTACAGAATCTTACTGCAACTTAGACATACCAAGGATACCCAATTGTTTGATAAGTAAGTTTTTGTATGACTTTATTTTTTTTCCCGATGATAATTAATTGAAATCAATAGTAGCGTATTTTATTCCAGAGTCAAGACAGCTCTTGCTCAGTTCTTCGATACCTGAGCTATAAGTACCATCGAGCAGTACATCACTAGCGTTTTCGAAGATATCGGCAAAAATATGACTGATAAGAATAATCCTTAAAAAAATTACGAAATTTTCGACGCTATTAGTAGATGTTGTATTTCAATTGAACACTTTATCTCACTTGTAATTCTAGTAATTGTAATCTGACATACAATTTGTTATATGTAGACAAATCTTATTGAAAAAGGTCACGACGCGATGTTATCACAATTGTATGTGTTGAATTTTCTTTTTTTTTCTTTCTGAAAAAAAGATATATATCGAACTTATTACACAGCACTGCAATAAATAATGCATCAAAATTTTACTCCACCAGAGTCTCATTAATAACCGCATACACGTCCTTCGTTACAGCACACGTTGAATTTTCCATTATATATATACCGCGTGTGTTTATACTCCCGTAACGAGCAATTAAGTACAACGATGACACGATAATAACATGTCCGGCAACGTTTAATTAGCCTCTCGAATTGCCGTGGGTATATTTTTTCGTAACTGGAGGGCACATCTTTACACACTTGGTTTATACTATATCACTTCTTCGTTTTTTTTTTCATTTTTTTTCATCAATGTTAGTAGATCAAAGGCACTGCGACGAGTGTCACGGTTAAAAGTGATATAACTAGTAATTCTTTTATACAAAAGAATGTGACTTATTATGTTGCGCTTTTCACTTTAATAATCGTTGTGTATCGCGTCTTTAATTAAAAAAAAAAATGATTTACTTGTGTTATTATGTCAATGTGCGTTGAATATTAAAATATTCAATAAAAGAAATGATAATTAAGTAGTCGACTTTCATTAGGGATTTTACGATTTTGATTGATTCGAATTCAGTTGATATTATGTTTTTGTGTATTATGCTTTTTGCTCTAGAAATTGCATTATCAGGTAGGTGGTAACTTTTAAATGACGTCGCAATGAAATTACGTAACTTTCAATTGTTTTTTATTCGCGAAACCGATTCTTTTTGAAGGAATTCCAACCGTAGGAAGTATGGGACCGTTGGTTTATGATTACACTCAGGCAGGTACGAATTGGAACATATTTCTTGGTATAATTTTTTTATTTCATTAGAAATTATCGCTAACTTAAAGGTCAACACCTCTGGCCTAAAGATTATCCCAACTGTGGAGGATCTTGGCAGTCTCCCGTCATCGTAGCTGCGAGTCGATCGATAGCTCTGCCACTTCCGGCCTTGGAAATGATCGGTTATCGCAATTTCTTGCGACCTCCCGTGGTCATGAAAAATAATGGACACACAGGTGTATATCTATTTTCAATTGTACTACTACAAATATTCATTCGATTCGTTTTGTTCAGTGGTTATAAGTAGCAAAAAATCGGCAAATAAATCAAAATCCCCGTATATATTCGGAGCGATGCTGGAGGAAAAGATAGAATACGAATTCGAGAGCTTTCATTTTCATTGGGGTATAAGGAACAATCGGGGTTCTGAACACGTTTTACACGGAACAAGGTGAAATTGTTTTTCCATTTATTTTTCTTGATTTTCGGAAGAGTATAATTTCAACAAATCTCTTAATTTTTTTTTAGATATCCTTTGGAGATGCACTTGTTGCACCGAAACAAGAAATACGTGAATGTAGAATCGGCCCTCGATCACGAGGATGGCTTAGCGGTACTAGCGGTATTTTTTCACGTAAGTTTTTTTTTTATTTAGAAAATTTAATGCAGAGCTAGACTCATTTTTTTAACTGCACAGCTGGAGGAAGAAGATAACGAAGTACTCAAACCAATAATCGCTCATCTAGCCGAAGTCCAATGGATCAATTCTCAAACCATAATGAATTACACCTTCGCCCTGTCCTCGCTGCTACCGCCCGATTTGGACACTTTTTACACCTACAAAGGATCGCTGACCTCGCCACCCTGCAACGAGGCAGTCACGTGGATGGTCTTCGCCTCGACCGTGCCGATATCCTTTCAACAGATGAGCAAATTCAGATTGCTCTCGAGCGGCAAGGGCATATTAGCCGACAATTACAGATACCTGCAGGACCTTGGCAGCCGAAAAGTGTATGTGCGGAGGATGAAGAACGTTAACGCGAGCAAGAATCAACTGTTCGATATAGACGTGGCGACGCTGAAATGGAACTGGCAATGAGCTCAAGTATTCATAAATGTAAATAAAATTTTTTTTTTTCAAGTAACTCAAAGTATTATTGTAAAGTATGAAAATAATTATAATCTAGAAATCTTGTAATTGGTTTTCTTTTATAAAATAGTAAATTATACTCCATTAGTTGATTTTTAAAATAATCTTAGTACTTTATTAACCCTAAGATTAGTCCTCTGTACTTTATTTTATTTTTGTTATCTTAAAACTGTAAAAATCTATCAATACTATTAACCTACGGATACTTTTAGTATTTTTTTACACATTTGCGTATCAGTGCTAATCTCTGTTTATGAGATTCTGTTACTGTTGATCGTTTGTACGGCCTGATTTCATCTGTACCAAAACCAGGTATCCACATGTTCCAGTTTTTCTCTGCAAATAAAATTTGTTTTAGTTTATTGTGGCTATTTACATCTTTTTCAATAATTATGTAAATGTCACTCTCTGTACCTAAGTGCAATTGAACATCTTTGACCTCAACTGTGTTAGCATGACGATGTTTAGCTAATAAACAAGCAGCACTAATTGTTGTCTCAACAAAGTCGTCAGCCAACTGTAATAGCATTTCTTCTACTTCCTCGTCCAACTGTTCGGATGGGTCTACCTCTTTGACCAAGTTTTGCAATCGTTTTTTTGTTATAAACTGAAAAAGTAAATCATCTATTAGAATGTGCTGCACAAAAATACATTTCATTAAAAATAAATTATTGTACCTGTGAATGTTCTGCAGGATCGCTTTTGAGCGTTTGAGATTTCGGCGTTTGATTTGTAAATGACTGTGCAGGCACTGAATTTGTATTGTTACTGTTTACTGAATTGGCTATGGCATTGCTTTTTGGAGTGGTTGCACTTTCACTGCCGGAATCCATTGTTTATAATAATTGTTCGACGATGCTCGAGCGACTGTTACAGTGTTTATAACCAATTTCCTAGTATACAAAGCAAACGTACCACGAAGAAACTTTCGGTCAATACCAATTTATTGCACAGAGTTGCTTTTATTCAATAAAAACAACAAACAATTCGCTACTTTATGCTACGACAGCGAATAACTCAAGAGCCTGTACATACTGGGTTATGTTATAATGTTTATGTTATATACGCCCGCAAACTTCAAAGGCTATCCTACGTTCTGCTGCAAGTCTCAAAATGAAGCGGTTCGGTTGTGTGACACGTCAATCAATGAATGCAGTTACTACTTACCAAAGCGACCTCGTGCGTTAAGCATGAGAATTCTAGCTTGTCCACAGCGATTGTAGGAAGACCGAAGACTTGTCATAATTCGTCCACACACATGGTGTAATAAAGCCGCTGTATTGCCGAATCAGTCAAAAACAGTTCCGCTTCCACTACACGTGACTATTACAATTCGTGAATCCGTGAATGGTGTTAAAATAATCAAAACAACGAATAACATTTAAAAAATAAGCTCAAAGGTATGTTGACAATTCAGTTTTTTCACACAATTTTGCACTTTTTGATGTCAAATGTCGTTAATTTAAATTGATTTTAAAAGGTTAAATTACAACAGAAAACTATTTTTCAAGTTTTCTCAAAATCGTTGCATCATTGTGATAATGGCCTGATTAATAGTTTGGTAGAATAGTTTGGTATAAAACAATGTATTATCACGACTGCATTCTAACTTCAAAAAAAATATATTGTTACAGGAATTGCTTTTGTATCGGTCATTGAATTGGATTGTTAAAAAAAAATGCTTAAATTTTGCCCATGGTGTAGCAATCTTTTACAATTAGATGAAGATCATGCGGGAGTTCGTTTTAAATGTAGAACTTGTCCTTACATTTGTAAAGTTACTGGATCCATACGCAGTAACACATATCCTAAGCTAAAGGAAGTTGATGATGTACTAGGAGGATCGGCCGCTTGGGAAAACGTTGATGCAACAGATGAGCGTTGTCCAAAATGCGCTCATCCTAGAGCTTATTTCATGCAAATTCAAACTCGGTCTGCCGATGAGCCTATGACAACATTTTACAGATGCTGCAATCCACAGTGCTGTCATAACTGGCGAGACTAAATCTACTTCTAATTAATTTGTACGTTCCAGTTGTGATTGTAGTTTATATTTTTATTGAAAAATAGTTTCTGTTGTAAGATAATCATTTATGCACATGACATGTATATTTTGGGTAATTTAATAAAGAGTTTTATAATGAATTTTAGTTGTTTTTCATCATGGATCAGATTCACATGGGGCCTGTTAAATTTCATTTAAACAATGCTAAAGAAATGATTAAGCATTTACCACGTGGTAAACAATGGTTTTGTGGGGGTATCCGATCTGCTGCTATTGCTGCTGAGTTATTGAAGGCAGGAAAAATTATTGCTTTACCCACAGATACTATTTATGGTATAGCTGGTCTGGCGCAAAATGAAGAATCTATATCCAAATTATATGAAATCAAACAGAGAGATTCCAACAAGCCTTTAGCTATATGGTAATTTTTTTCACAATTCTATTTATTTTTTCTGTGAATTTATTCCAAATTGCTTGATATGTTTGTAATAACCAATTTATATTTTAGTTTATCGGAACCAGATGAAATTGTTAATTGGGCACACACACAAGACTTACCAGAAGGTCTAATTAATGCATTATTACCAGGACCTACTACTCTAATATTAAAAAAAAAAGACAGTCTAAAAGAATATTTAAATCCTGGAATTACTAACATTGGTGTAAGGGTACCAAAGCACAAATTTGTGACAGATGTTGTGAAATTTTTAAGAGAGCCAATAGCTTTAACTAGTGCAAATGTTAGCAATGCTAGAAGTACGCTTCACCCTACAGAATTTGAAGAATTATGGCCAAAGTTAGATGGTATATTTTTTGAAAAAATGGAAAATAAATCATACAGCAATTCGTGGAGGAGGGGTTCAACAATAGTAGACCTATCGATTGCAGGAGAATTTCGCATAGTCAGAAGGGGTATAAGCTGTGATAAAACAATAAGAACTTTGAAACGATTTAATTTGAATCATATAAAAAATGTAAAAAAAGAAGAACCAGAAAAAGAAGATGATGCTGAACTGAAAGAAGAAAAATCTGAATCTAATGATGAAAAAGCTGAACTGAAAGCTCAGCTATAGATAATGTTTTGATTCCATGTAAATATGTGTTTTTGTGAATAAACTTAAGAATTATGAGTTAAAGTAAAATTACATCTTTAGATCACTTTTAAAATTATCCTTACACTGACATTTTTTAAATTAAAATCTCCAATAATTTATAACAACTGCAATTTATTATTCAACTATTATTATATTACATTTAGTCAATTTTACATTAGTTGCAGGTAAATTATGTTAACAGTAAAATAGATCGAATCTCATCATGTAATAATACTATAAAAATATCTTCTTCTTTTCTTTTAACTCAAGAGTATTCTATTTTTTTCCAAGAAACGACAGCCCTTTGACTGTCCTCGGCTTCTCCAAAGGGTTTCGTGCCGTCCGGTGCAACGTATCGATTGACTTGGTAGTCCGACATGACGTCGTATTTAAAAACATCCGTACCGAGTTGCTGAAATAATTTCAATTTATTTACGTAAATATCGATCGCTTCGAATCAAAAACAGAAACAACAAACCTGCTTTATTAACATAAAAAAATAATATTAATACCTGTGTCAGTGGACTCGTGTTCGTCGTTAAAATTCCAGCGAAGTTATTTGTCTTGGCCACCTCGAGGCATTTTTCCTCCATGAGTCTCATCATGATGACATTTTCCGCCGGGCTGAGATCGTTGCTCGTCGCCATCATGAACGTGTGAAAGATCTGCCCTTTGCCCTGGGGCAGTTTACCCTCGCGCACCGGCGCCTCGATCGACTCCAAAAAGTCGAAGATAATGGAGAGTTTGGAGTCGATGTGCACCTCGGGCTCGTCACGCGCGTCGAAGTTCAGAGCCACGGATAGCATCTTGCTGTCTTTCGTCGATTTTATAATGAAGCTGAGGTTTTTTTCAACGAGTGGAACCCATAATTCATGCATCAAGACACTGTAGTCCTCGTGTTTTATGTCGGGAAGTAACCACCTCTCAAGGTCGGCTTTGGTGATGAAACTTTCGGTTATCATTCTGCGGAGACAACAAAAAAATACACTCGTTTACTCGTGCAAAGTTTAAATATTAATTAATATTTTTTTCAAAAACTCACTCGATAACTTCGTTTTTATGACTGTCGTTCAACATTTCCATCTGAAACTCCTTGCTCTTATCCGATTCTTGATTCTCCGATTCCTTATCGCTGCTTAATTTTGACAAAATTTCTCCGATCGATTTGGCGATGATAAAATCAGTAATACCGATGAAGAATCCTTTTTCTCTTAATTTCAGTACCATGTAAACCGAATTCAACGAGTTTCCACCCAGCTCATAAAAATTGGACTGTAAATTGATTTTCGCCTTGTCCTTCAAGCCAACGACCGATGCCAAAATGTGATAGAGAACTTGAGCTTTTCTCAATTCGGAATTCGGCACATCGCTGAAGTCGAAATCGGTCTCTTCTACAAAAATGAAAAAAAATCATCAATGACATTGTTAAACCCAAATATGGCCATAAAAAGCCTTACTGCTCTCGTTCATGGATCTGTACAATTTCAACAATTGTTGCCGATCGGTCTTTCCATTCGTCAAAAGGGGAAGACTTTCGACGATAATGACTTGCGGAATCATGTACGATATCAAGGACTTCTCGAGTTTGGAATTGACGTCTTCGACGCGTACATCCGACTTGCTCGTAACAATGAAGCACAACAATACCTATAAAGATCAAACAAAAAAATTGTAGCTACGGCACGTGTAGTTTTTTTCTTATGTTAATACAATTATATAAATTTTATTGATTAAACACTATTTCAATTCAGTAATGCTTCGTGCGAAGAAAAAAAAAACAAGTATATGAACTCGGTAAAAAATAAAAAAATTGATCCATTATTCATTTAATCACCGTATTATACAGTCCATATATCGATAAAATCCGCGAGAAGCTGCACATTTTTGTAGTTTCTCGGAAATTTTTTTCATTTTATTTTATTTTATTATTCTTTTAATTGAATGTTGACCGTGTTTGACGTGGTTTTTATCACTTTTTCAAAGTGCACCGCATACCTTTTCGGAGCTGGTCGTGTCGCAAGCCAGAACGACGGCCTCCCTGACTTCTTCCAGTTTCTGCACGACTTTTTCGATTTCCGTGATGTCGACCCTGTTGCCGCGAATTTTGATCTGAGTATCCTGTCTGCCCTCGTACAATAATTGACCCGCCTGGATTTTTGCATAATCGCCGGTTCGAAATACTTTTGAATATTCTGTAAAAAAAACGAGATCCAATAAATTATTCTTTTTTTCCTTGTTTTTTTTTTTTATCGTTACTTTCGAACGGTATAGTACAAAAAAAAAGAGTTGCGTTCGAGGTCACTCACCACTGCTATTCGTGTCGATCGGATTTTTGGTAAACTTGTGATGATTGGAGTCGTTGAGATAACCCTCGGCCAGATTTTTGCCGGCTATCAATAGCTCGCCGATTTCCCCGCTTGGCACTAAGTTCAGCCGCTCGTCGACTATGTAAGCCACGCAATTATCCAACGGACGTCCTGTCGTAAAACAAAAAAGTAAGAAAGAAAAATCGTGAAAATTTATTACGCATCGCTACGACGACGACGATTGCACAGATCCATTACCGATCGGCACTAAATTTCGTTTCAAAAACTCGTCGCCTTTTCTGATCAGGTAGAAGGTAACGTCGCCCATGATCTCCGTGCTGCCGTAAAAGTTGGCGATGGTTTTGCGTCCGTCGTCAAAGTGATTGAAAAAGTCCTCGACCACGGATGGGATCAGCGTCTCGCCCGAGCAGACCCACAGATTTAGATTCTTGAGATTTTCCTTGTTTTTCTGTTTGCAAATTTTCCTCGTTTTTTTTCTTTTCACTAAAGTTTTTACGAGCTTATTAATATTGATTTATGTCATATTTTTACCTGGAAGTTCAAGCAAGCGAGCATAGACTTCAACAGAGACGGTACTAAAACGATTCGCTGAATCTAAAACGTAAAAAAATCGAAACGTAAATTAGATAATTGTAAAAATTTCGTCGCTCGCTCAAAAACTTACCTCGTATTCATCGAGCAATTCGATGAATTTCTCCGGATTCTTCGTCACTATCTTGGGCACCACGACCAGCGTTCGTCCCTGCAACAGAGGACTCCAGATTTCGGAAACGCTGTCGACGAACGTCAAGGCGGTCTTGCAGATGCAGCGGGTCTCGCTGGGCCCGTAAGGCAGCTGCCTCCATTGCCACTCGAGCCTGTTCATGAGCGCGGAGTACGGCAGCTTGACGCCTATAAATTATCGCTTGGGTTATTATTCTAATTTATTGCGAAAAAAAAAAAATGAAAAAAAAAATATGATCGATCTGACCTTTCGGCGTTCCCGTGCTGCCCGAGGTGTACAAGACAATGGCTATATTCGTGCTTTCTTCGTTCTCGACTTGGAAGTCCTTCGTCTCGTTTTCCAGCTCTATTAATATCCGCTTGACAGAAATGGTGAGCACCTCGCTGCTAATTATCGGCTCAACTGAAAATTAATTCACGCATATCGGAATAATTTGAGTCGAATTGGATCGAAGAAAAAACAATGTAATTAAAATGTCAGTGCAGCAGACGCGACAATGAGAAATCCTTACATGAAAGAATCATAAAATGCTATTATACGATGTTGATGAATTTCGCTGCTCACCTTCGTTATCGGTTATACAGAAGGCAGCCTTGGAGTCGCGCAGAATGTGCCTGATCCGATCGGCCGGGAAATCGACGTCGATCGGCAGGTAGGCGCAGCCGCTCTTCATCACGGCCAGGAGAATCACGGGCAGCAGCTCGCTGGGCCTCAGCGACACGGCGATTATTTTATTCTTCTTCGCGCCCGCCTGCTTTTTGAGGAATTTGGCGATGCGATTCGACGCGTCGCGCAGCTGCTGGTACGAGATCGTTTTGCAGTTTCCAGCGACGTCTGCGTACATGCAAATAAGTAATTTTTCGTTTTTCGTATTCATATACTGCACGGAAAATCACCCGAATTGTGTGCAGTAACCAAAAAGTGAAACTCCAATTTAACAAGTTGCAATATACGTATATATATCCCGAAATGTTTAAGTGCGAGGAACTCGGGTTAATTACAAGTGAAAGTGCAGTGCGATTTCGTATTACGGGCGGTATGTATACGCACACTCGTATATACAAATATGAAAGTTCATATCCTCGACTCCCGATCATAATACGTTTGGAGCAAAAAAATTACAATAACGTATTTGACGAATCTTCCGAAGGAATCGCCCATATCGTTTGGGCTTACCTGTATAAATGATTGCCTTGTTGTTCGGTGCATCCCGTACGGTTTTCGCCAGGACCGAGAAAAAGGAGTCGCCAGGACGATCGACCCTCTCGCCCTCCAAAACGGACTTTTGACCATCCATCTTCTGTAAAAATAACAACCAAAAACACGAAAAAAATTAAAATACCATTCGACGAGGGAGATTCTCTCGTTCCTCAGAGGCACGAAGCTGCTCCAAGTACCTCGCACCACGAGCGACTACCTATTCGTCGATCCCAACGCGCGCGAGGCTGCTACTGCTGCTGCAGCTAATTATCTCCAAGCCCCCCCGTGGGTCCACCGGATTTGACGCGGGGCTGCCGCGCTGAACAATGGTGAAACGATGACGAAAAAAATCAACGAAAGAAAAGGAAGAGAGAGAATATGAACAAAAAAAAAAAAAAAAAAAGATCGAGGGAACGTAACTTTAGACGTTCAATCAAAATGTCTTTCGTAACAATCTCTTCCGTGCTATTATCTACGCATTAGTGCGACGACGCGCTGCTGCTGCTGCTGCTATGCATACAATATAGCAGATGCGTTATACGCTTTAACGAACGAACGTCTAGTCGGGATGCCACGCTCTAAACTCGACGACGTGTGCGCGACGCGCCATTACATGTCAACCGATTTATGCGCGTTATGATCGTCATCGTGGCGTCGTTTAGAAGCGTCAACGCGCCAACGCTTTTCTGCTACTGTATACTTTTGGATTTTTCGCCACACTGACTCGAATAGAAAAACAAAAGAATCGACACGGGATTGAAAAAGAAATATTTCAAGTAATTGACGGACGAAGCACTTCACAAGTATTTGAGCTTTATAACACAGAAGATGAGATCGATCGAGAATAAGAGAAAATCAACGCTGCACTGCGCGAGCGCGAAATGTAATCGAATATACAATAATTTTCATTCGAAAGCCTCGCGTCAAAGAGATCGTGTATCGATTACTATTCGCTACGCGTCGCGTTAGTTGCCCATGGACGATGCGCTTGAAATGAATCCGCCCGACTTAGACAACTAATATATTAATTAACGTGCGATGCGATGAATTATGTAGCGCCTCAAATACATCGCATAATTCAATCAAGCATGTAAATCAATTCAATTTATTTATTCGTTTTTTTTTTCTTTATTTATAAACTTAGCACTTGCACGCACCCTAATGGATTTTATCTCACGATCGATTTTTTTATTCACTCTCACTCCCGAAAAAATGATCAATTTTCACCACTTTTATATTGTTTCAATTTTTTTGGAGCTCGTGCGCGGGGCTATAGCTACGCGCGCACGAGTCGTGTGCTATCCATTCGCAGAAAACCAAACGATCCGTTTCAGTACTCGGGCGCTGAATGACTTTGGCCATTTAGCGTTGTATTTCTTTAGGCCGAGGCAAGCTCCAGACTCGACTCTCGCGCTTATGCTCGCGGCGCGAGCTCTCCCTCTATTGTAGTCGGGTATACGTACCGTATATGCTTATAAGAGTATATAGGCGACCGGCCCGTGGAGATACGTAAGTCAATCTTGCAAGACTGGACAGTCGCAAGTTTAACGCGAGCCTCTCTCTCTCTCACTGTCTTAATATATGAAATAATTTTTTTTTCCTCGTAATATACATGTATATAAACGTTATTTTTTTTTATTAATATAATATACATTATACGCATATATTTAGAATCGATCGAGCCGCGCGTCCTTTATCAGATTTTTTTTTCTCTCTCTAGCCGCAACTTCACCGACGAGTTTTTTTTTTTTTCTTATTTATGTACGCGTGCTTTCGATTCAATTGAACACGCTCGACAGCTGTAGTAGTAGTAGTAGTAGTAGCAGTATATAAAGCCGTAGATTGAGTTTGATTGAGGAAAAAGCTCGAAGAGTGCGTAAGCGCGCGACGTTGCGCCGCGTGCGTAGATAGTACAACTTTTTTATTTTACGCATTCGTAAGAATGAATATTTTTTTTTCCTCTCGCCGTTCCAGATTTCGTGTAAATTTTTTTTCCTTCTTATAATATTTTTTTTTCTTCTAATGAGAAATTATTCGAGGATATCTATCATATTATACACACCGCGGGTTGCATTAATTTAGCGCACTACGCGCGCGCGAATACGTACGCTTACACAGTTTCTTTCGTCAGCAGTTACAAAATAATTTATAACTCGACTGGCGTTACGCTTGTACTTTTTTCGTAAAAAAAAAAAAAAAAAAAAAAAAAAAAAAAAAAAAAAAAAAAAAAAAAAAAAAAAAAAAAAAAAAAAAAAAAAAAAAAAAAAAAAAAAAAAAAAAAAAAAAAAAAAAAAAAAAAAAAAAAAAAAAAAAAAAAAAAAAAAAAAAAAAAAAAAAAAAAAAAAAAAAAAAAAAAAAAAAAAAAAAAAAAAAAAAAAAAAAAAAAAAAAAAAAAAAAAAAAAAAAAAAAAAAAAAAAAAAAAAAAAAAAAAAAAAAAAAAAAAAAAAAAAAAAAAAAAAAAAAAAAAAAAAAAAAAAAAAAAAAAAAAAAAAAAAAAAAAAAAAAAAAAAAAAAAAAAAAAAAAAAAAAAAAAAAAAAAAAAAAAAAAAAAAAAAAAAAAAAAAAAAAAAAAAAAAAAAAAAAAAAAAAAAAAAAAAAAAAAAAAAAAAAAAAAAAAAAAAAAAAAAAAAAAAAAAAAAAAAAAAAAAAAAAAAAAAAAAAAAAAAAAAAAAAAAAAAAAAAAAAAAAAAAAAACAAATACATCAAATAGGATCCGAATAAAATAAGTTCCAAGAAGAATGCAAAAAAAAAAATCAGAAATAGAGCGTAAAATGATATTCCATTATTATGCGATCGTATTATATATAGAAAACAATTATATTTCTCTCTCGATTAAATCCGTGTGTTATTCTCCGCGCGCCGCGCCGATCGATCGATCGACTTTTCGAGCTCTGAGCGTTGTTATGAATCTGTCGCGCTTATTAAAATCTCGTCCAGTGTAATTTTCTTCAATTTTCATAAATTTACATCTGTCTCTCTGTTGTGTCGCTGTGTGCACACTTGCATCGCTTTATCCGTGAGCTTCCTTCGCGCTCCTTGGGTTACTTGATTTTCCATTCCTGCACGAGCAGGCGTCGGATAGAAATCGAGGCCGCGTTAAAAAACGAGAACTCGACTTTTCCCATTTATTGATTTATCATTATCATGACGATTTTTATGTACTCGTTTCGCTTGCCGTACATAAAATATGTCGTATGCACGTATAAAAGTACTCGAGTCGCGCATGTATCTGCGTGCAAGCTGCGAAACTACTGGAAAATCGACATGGATAAGGAATTAACGCCGATCGTTGCCTCGCGTAGCTCGCGGCGATATCTATGGGCGTAATACACGTAAAAAACCATGTGATTACAGCTCGGTAGTTTGTAGTAGCTCTAAACGATTTAGTTCATTGCCATCTTTAGACTACTACTACTATGCTGTAGCAGGCTAATATAGCCAAGCCAAGCGTGGCACATAATAAATGTTGTAATATCACGCTTGGCTCTCTCTTGACTACTATATACTGGCTTTGCAATGCTATATAGCGGATAGATCAAGCGCGCAATGCATACACATACATATATATATGTATGAAAAAAATGAAGGAATGCCAGCAGATTATATTATTTTGAAAGGATCTAGTTTGCGTTGTGTATATTTATAATAAATGGCGCCGGTCGTATTGCAACAGGATATAACGTTAAATTATTGTATTCTTTCATAATCCCTCCCGCGAGGGGGTCCCGAACACTCACACACGCGGGAATATCATAATTATTAGCTGCATCGTGTTCCCAACGAGATATTAATGTATCGGGACATTAACAATGTTTCTTTAATTTTTCTGTTATATCGCAATCTTCAGCTATAGTCGCTATATAAATATGCAATGGATTTTCTAACGCGGCGCGCAAAGGCGGCACATTATGCAGATCTCTCCGCAATTACAGCACGATTTAAGTTTCACCCATTAAGAAGACCATTATAAACCGAGCTTTTCTATAGTATACAAGACAGAATCGCCGCGCGGCAAAGGTCGGCTCTATATAATGCAGCCGATCTCGAAAAATCGGTATATACGCAAGGAGGGGGACGATTATCGAGCTACTGGACGGTGCACATTATATACCGCCGACGGGGATCTAATAAAAATTTATTTTGGTCCGTCACTCAAAACCCGATTAGTGCTCGAATTATGTTATCTCGCGACCACTCACGCTTGCCCGTACGACAATTTTCATTATGCGCCTAAAGGTACACGGCGAAAAGTCGTTTATCGAGCTTCAGATTACGAAGCGGTATTTACGCTAATTGAATTTGTCGATAATTTAGTGCTCGTAAATTTTAAACTATTTTTGCTTTGTACAGAAACGCGAGTCAAAAAAATCACTTTTAGAAATCTGAGGCGAAAAAAAACTCTCTTTCAAAAAAGCGGTCAAGAAAATCTCTCTTCTCTTTTGGAGAGATTTTCTTGACCTCATCTTCGAAAAAGAGTTTTTTTTCTCCGCAAATTTTCAGGAGAGATTTTTTTGATCGCGCATCAGTGGAACGGTGATACTCTTCGTAAGAACGATCGTTATGTTGATTCTCACTGCTATTTGTTCTTTTTTCAATGATCGGTAAAATTGACATGTAATGTTCCCCGCCGCATACGTCTAAAAATTCATTCATAGTTGGGAATAGGAATACAATGAATGGAGGGTCGAATGAAAGAAGATACACGAGTTGATAGTGAGTGATTTTTTATACATAATGCTATATACTAGTAGTTGTGCTCCCCTAGTTTACGGAAGTATCTTGTTGATTCAGACTTTAAAAGGCAGACTTATTTTTATATAAAATTATAAAACAAATTTTGATAATTTTTTTTTTACAAAAAATAATAAACATCTAAACATTTGTGTGCTACATAAATTTTGAACCATTGCATCTTAAAACAAGCGATAAAAATAAAAAATATGATTTGAATTTTAAATTTCTTTTTACAAAATATTCATAATTGCAATACTTGAGATCTATCGATTAAACGTACATACATATACATTACATGGAATCGCGAATAATATTGTATAAAATACAATTAAATGGCATGCTTGTGTCACGCAACGTGCAATCATAAGCATTTTACATTTTAATAAATTCTTACGACTAAGCTCACTTTTTTTCTGGACGGATCGCGTTTCGAGAAAATTATCGATATGAAAAAAAAAGAAAATTTTCTTCAAATTAAGAAAAAAAAAATACTGCATGCTCGAAAGTACATTGAAAAACATCAATTGTAAAAAAGTAAGTACTTCAGTATAGCATTATAGCTCCGACCATTTTTTCTTCTAGAGGATTGAGCGTTTCTTGTCGTTTACGCCCACCTTTAAGGGTACTCCACTTGAGTAAAAGTAGATTGATCACGTGCAGAACGCCGACGACGATTATCAACCTGTAAAAAAAAAAATTTATCGAATGTATGAAACGCCACTGGTTATGCTAATTGGCTTGATTTAGACACTAGTTCAAGTATCGATAAAAAACATACTAATAAAATTCTTTGGTGCTAATTTACTTACCAAAAAGAGTAACCCAGAGTCGTCGCTCCTTCGCTTGTCCAAAAATTGTCCAAATCTTGTTCTGTTAAGACATTGTGGTAGAGTTTCAGATGGCATTGTGCATACCACGTTGTTGAGCAGATAATAGACAAGACAACTATAATCACAGGAAATGGTGTTATTTTAATTGGTAAATATATCGATTGCATAAATTTTTTTCGTACAAAAACTTACTCGCTAAAATATTGGAAGTAAAAATTCCAAAAACTCCGAATAGCTTATATTGAGGAACAATCACAGTATTTATAAGAGATAAAAATGCAGATGACACCGAACATGAGAGCATGAGTATGATGGAGATTAAAGTGACACACCATAGATCCCAGGATAATATTTGCGGATGTTCATTCAATAATTTTAAAACTGAAAATTTCAAAAATACAAAAATTAATCACTGATAATCTGTGAAAAATATAAGAATTATATACTTCTTCAAACATCTAATTATTCAAATTATGTACGAAAGTTCGATGTATGAAAAAAATTTGTACAAGGCATTAATTTATTTCAAGATTTCAATGGGCATTTATGTAGACTGAGTGTGCGAAAAAATATTGTGGTGGGGGTAAAATGATGTATGCTCTTGTGCACCAACTGCACTTTGAGAGTTTTGACGACAGGTGTTCGCACGACACGTAACAATAGATGCATAAAAGTAACCGACAAAATTTCTTGTAACTAGCGTGAATTTTCGACGAATATTTCCATATTATTAGCGAAGATTTTTTTTCACACAAAATAGGCGTGAATTTACGTCGAATAAAATGTTATCATATATCTAGGATAAAAAAATGAATAATACCTTGTATTTCATGAAACCGCACCCCAACAGAAACATCTAGCTCCTTTCTCCCATGTAAAAGACCAAAATTAATATGGCCTGAACTCTCAGAAGGATTACGTTTGCGAGATGGCTTGGATTCTATCCAGTGGTCTGTCACTAATGATGTGCAAACTAAGCTTACACAGGCTAATGATAATAAAAAAGTAACAAGGATGGTACTTCGTAGGAATTTGTTATGCATGATGAGCTGAAAATGAAACGTACGATGATTTTCAATAATGATTTTGTCTACGATTCATGAATTGTTGCTATTGATCTGCTAAGCTACATTGCAGTAACATAAAGTGTTGAATGAAAAAAAATAAATCAATTCAACTCTATATTACAGAAATTTCATTTTTATAGGTAATTCTAATATATGTAGCTGTGCGTAAAACTACTTTCTATATCAGATCAATGTAGCTTTGAAAACATTATATCACACATAAATAGAACAGTCAAGCGTACTTGCAAGAAATACTCACATGAATATATTAGTAGGTTTTTTTTTCAAAATTGTAATGGAGGCGTTATCACTTCTACATAAGTTTTTGATATTGACCAATTCACTCTATGGATATCATAAAATTTTTTTCTAATTGAGCAACACATTCCTATAAAAATACATAAAATAATGATTTTATTTTGCAAAATGACTAGTATAGTACTGACTTAATAAAGTTTGATTTCACAAGTACTCGACTCAATTTTTTATTTTGGTAAACTTATTTGATTAGTTATTGATGATATAGTTTTTTTTTAAGCTGCCCAAAAGTATATGAGCAATTTTTAAATAAAATTAACCTCTTGAACAACAACATTATTCTTAAAATTGGCTCAAATTGTTGATGACCCTAACAAACAAACAGTTATTAAGAAAAAACTTCAATTTCTAAACTGATTAGACATTTTTATTACTAAATTGAAAGAGTAAGCGTAGTACTTATACGGAAACCTTAACGATTTCCAAATAATAATCACTCATAAACAACTAAATAAACGATTACAATCCTCTTAAATTGAAGCGAGTAAAATAAATATTTACTTTGTCGAAACTGTCAACGTTGACGAAACATGCTACACCTCAATAATGCTATATTTTCCGTAAAAAATAAACTAACTCACTTATCACGCACAGTGGTTGCGATCATCATAATAAGCGTCACTTCACTCGCGATACAAATACACAAACAATAGCAGCGAGTCAGTCAGCGCGAGAGCGTTACAAAATTAAGGTCCAATTTACAATGAGCCTCTCTCAGTACGCAACCGCTTTTTGGGACGACAATAATATATATTACAGTCTCGCGGCCGTGTATAGAGCGCTAGCCGAGCGCTTCGGAGCAGCTCGGAGATCGTCTCGTCTCGCGCGATCACTGACAGTCGGTTTTTTTTAAACTGTCAAACGGCTACATTAACGCGGATTAATTCGTAAAGAATAATTGGAGTCGTCCGCGCAATCGAGAAGGAAAAGTTATACCAACGGTAGATTTAATCCGAATTATTCCATGTGAGCAATTGAAAAACTACAATATATCGCGCATAGGTAGATATAAATCTCGCTTCTTCGCGTTTGCTTCATTGCGGGACGCAAGCGCATCGTGGTGTGCAACAGCACATTTCTATCTATGAGCACTTGATACAAACAAGATATATCTATATAGGTAGATCAAAAGTATAAAAGAATTGGCTTCGTGCATTTCGGAGTTCGGGGATTTGGCTCGTGGCTTCGAAACTCATAACTTCTTATTCATTCAAGTTGTTTTTTGCCTCGGAGCTATCTTACTCAATATCGAAAATTGTCAAATCGAATCCTGCCCCATTCCGCACATGCACATACACATGCGCGTGTATGCTTTACATACGACTCAAGCAGGTTCGGGCCCACTCTCTCTTTCTATCTTTCTCTCTCTCGCTTTTACTCTGCGTTACGTGCAGACGGCCTTACTATAACATATCGTCAGTGCCTCTCACCCACTGCAGCGTTTTTTAACGCCACGGGTCGCGTGTGTGCTCCCAATTAGATTATCGAGTTTACTCTCTCTCTCTCTTGGTTCTATATAATTTATTCGACTAATTAATGTCAAAACTCAACGACGCTTTGCCATTGATACAGTGCACTGCTCCGTATTCATAATAGGGTATCGCATAATGTAACCGACGGTCAGACATATAATCTGTTTTTCGACGCACACAGCATTACATACAGCAGCAGCAGCAGCAGCAGCAGCAGCAGCGGCGGAGCAGCATATAGTAGTACAGCACCGGTGCGTGTGCGATTCGAGGAATTTTCTCTCTCTCGCTCGGAGCAGCAAGTTAAAAGACCCCGCAGTAGCAGCAGCAGCAGCCACGGGAAATATGTCAACATTCGGGGATTGATATTTAAATCGATATAAAAGAGCGTGGATCATCATCGTGCCTGCCGATTGATAACAAAATCAGCAAAAATGGCCAGCGACGACGTCGGCTTTTTGTTCAAAACTATGAGTAAGCATTTTGAAGTCATTTTATGTCGCCAAGTAGTTGGTTTCTTTTTTCTTTTGATATCCAAAATTATGTACTTGTGCACTTGATTGGTTAGATACATGTGGGGACTGATTAGACCCCCCGCTGGCGAACTTTAAATGTTGTTATCATATTGATAAAGTTCGTGAGTTTTTTTTCGAATATGTTTCGAATTTGACATGAAAGCATTATTTTTTGTTGTGAAATTAAAATTTTTAAATATAATTTTAAAATTATTGAGTTTTGTATATACTATTACTTCAACAAATCTCCAAACACATGGTGAGATAAGATTATGAAATGGCAAAACAACAAAGTATAACTTTGCTTTAAAAATTCAAACAATTAATTTTTTTATGTCAAAAATTTGAATTTAAATATTATGATGAGTATTAATTCAAATTCATTAAAACTTTAAGAAAGTCTTATTATTAAAATAAAAAAAGTTTTAAAACTTTTATTAAATTTTTTTCTTCTATATTTTAGTTGAGAGAGATCCTAAAAAGAGACGGGTAAAACCTATTGAATCAGCTCATGCGTCTCTATTGGATTTTGATTTGGGAGAAAGCTCAGATGATAGTGACTTCCGTATTGAAGATCATTGTGAAGAATCAGATGACTCTCTTGACTCCAATGGTTTAAGTAAAAGTATGTTCAGTACTTAATTTGAATATATTATATATTATTATTGAAAATTATTAAATGATTTGAATAAATTATGTATTTATAGAAGATCAGGACGATGACTCTGATGATGATTCAGATGATTCAGACGATGATGATGATGACGATGATGATGAAGAAGAAGATGAAGAAGGTGAATTAAATTTTGAAAATCAACAATTAGAAAATGGTTGCAGCAAAAGTGAAACAAATCATGTTCAAAAAGAAGATGATTCAGGAAAAGTACAAATACCTCAAAATAATTTAGTTAATAGTGGAATCACACGAGAGAAACTGTCAAAAATTCTGGTTTGTTGTGGCTGCTTGGGAGATAGAAGTGATGATGTTAATGAAATTGTTGAATGTGATGGCTGTGGAGTAACTGTGCATGAGGGTAAGTTATTTAATTTTATACCAAATATTTGCAGAGTTAAAACATTTACTAATAATACTAGCAGTGTTTTAATCATTTTTAATTGCAATTTCAGGATGCTATGGAGTTTCCGACGTTGAAAGTTTTTCCAGTACAGATTCTTCGTCGCAATCGGCCCCGTGGTTTTGCGAAGCTTGCAGCGCGGGAATAGAGGACATTTGTTGTGAACTATGTCCAAACAAAGGTGGCATATTCAAAGAAACAGATGTCGGTAAATGGGTACATCTTGTTTGTGCTCTCTATGTTCCTGGTGTAGCTTTTGGAGAAGTGGATAAACTTACTAACATTACACTTTTCGAAATGCCATATAATAAATGGGGAGCTAAGCCATGTTCTTTGTGTGAGGATACCAAGTTTGCCAGAACTGGCGTTTGTATAGAATGTGATGCTGGAATGTGTCACACATATTTTCATGTTACTTGGTAATTACTTCATTTTTAATGCATCGAAGTATTTGATTTTATGATTTTATTAACCATTTTGTAATATACAGCGCACAAAAAGAGGGCTTACTATCCGAAGCACACAGTGAAGAAGTTGATCAAGCAGATCCATTTTATGCCCATTGTAAATTACATTCCGATAAAAGTCTAATTAGGAAACGCAAAAAAAATTGGATGGCTTTGCAATTACGAGAAAAAATGTACAAACAAATGATTACAAAACCGGAGCATTTGCAGTCAGAAGAATATTTAAGGATACAGCGAAAACTAAATAAGCATCGCCAAAAGTATTTGGCGCACAGAACGTTAAAACCAATGCCATGGGGTAATTTTTTAAAATAATTGTTACTTGATCAAGTAACTGTATTTAAAACTCGTCATTGTATTGTAATATTATTTATAAACTTTCAGTACCTGATCAAAAGATGCCAAGAATGATGACCACCTCGGCAGCAGCTTGCAGAAATTTGGAACGCAAAGCCGAATTAATGGGCATCAATGTTCAAGTGATGGAAACTCAAGAGGAGCAGATGGCTTCTCTCGCCGATGTACATAAAAAATGGCACATACCGCCTGCATTTAACGTAGAATTTATAAGCTACTTTCTAGATAGAAATCAACGAACTTCACAAATGAATGCGCGATTCAAGAAATTAATGGAGACGAATTCGGAATTACTAAAATTGCAACAAACTCTCGATCAAAAGTACGACGGAATATTGAAACAAAACGAGTCTCAGTTAACTTTGAACGCGAATCTCCGGAAAATAATCGATATGTACCACAAAGTGCTCGACAGAGCGAATCGTTCCATGCCCATCCCGGTGATGGTTACCAAACCAAAGCCACCACAGCAACCTGCCAGAAATCCGATAAAGATCGGAGTGCTCTCGAAGCAGCGGCAGGAGCACGTCAACAATTCGTCAATATCGCACGTTCAGAACCACTTGAGCGAATCGGACAAAGCTCAAAAAGTAATACTCCAAGTGAGACACCAGTGCGGAATTTGTCGGCGAAACACCGATCAGCATCTCTTGGCGAAGTGCGACACGTGCCACTTGCACTATCATCTCTCGTGCTTGAATCCTCCGCTGACAAGAATGCCGAAGAAGACCAAGTCCATGGGATGGCAGTGCTCGGAATGTGATAAGGAATCGTCGAGCTCCGAAGTCGAGGGTGTCGATACTACCGCGCCGCGTAGATTGAGACAGTACAGAGACGCATCTAAGTCATTCGAGGAGATGGAGCCGGAATCGAAGGAAATGATAGTGACGAATAGCACCAATAGTATAAAAAGGACGTATTCGGAAAGTTTCAACGATTCGCCTAACACTAATTGCCAGAAGATCCGAATAAAATCCATAGAAGATAAAGATGTTAAAAAAGAAATCGCCGCTTCGGAATACGATTTCTGCCCGATCAGAGACACAATGACAATAAAGAATGAACAGAATCCGGAGTATCGAATGGCTTCGTACACTGAAAACTTCCACAAATTAAATTCGAATCGTAATGGAAAGAAACGCAGGAGGTTTGTAGTTTATTTGATTTAATTTTTCGATGAACGAGTGAGCTTTTTTAAACAAAGATTAAAATTTAACTTGAAACTTTCAGAGAAAAGCACAAGAGGTACTCTCCTGATATGATATCCGGTAGCACAAAACAACGCAAACGTAAGCACAAAAGAAAAAATGCTGAAATCGAATTGGACGGTGAAGGAAAGCCCCAAGAAGCACATCGGCGGATCACTATTAAGGTAAGTACTCGAATTTTAATGAAACATATTCTTGCGATATTTATACTAAATAAAATTTTTTTTCTCTTTCTTTAACAGATCAAGCCGATACCATTGCCTCAAAGCAGCATCGCGAACGACTGCACTCCAACAATGGTAATCAGCTCGTCGTCTTCCACAGTAGCGCCGAGCGTGGCTCCTTCGGAGAGCTATGCCACACCGACGTCGAATCATTTCAACCAGCACGTGTCCAAGGGCAAGGAGATGCCCGCGTCCTTGAAACTGACTCCCCAGAGCGCTGGAAGCGGACGAAAGAGCAAGGGCGAGACCGTGACTGTCACCTGCATCGTGTGCAGCGAAACGGGTACGAATCAAAATTCCGTCGAGTGCGACGAGTGTAAAAAGTCGTATCATTTCACGTGCCTCGATCCGCCGGTGAAAAAGTCGCCCAAGCGACGCGGTTACTCTTGGCACTGTGCAGACTGCGATCCAAGCGTAAGTTAATTCGTTTTGATTTACAAAGAGAAATCTTTATTTTTTCTTTATTTTTCATTTAATTTCATTTAAGTTTTTCTTTTTTCTTTTACAGGCGTCCGAATTGGAGAATTGATTGTTTGAAGCGAAAAACGATTTTTAGTAAATTTTTTAGTTTACTTTTAGCGTTTCGAAAGTAACGACTAAGTCTGAAATTATTACAATTAGTTACAAAAGTTGTATTATTTTTAATATCAGTGCATAATTCCCAATTCTATCGCAGTTGGTATTTATCGTTATGGATGAATATTGATTATTAATTTGAATTATTTAATTTAGTTTCAATTTTATAATATACTTTTATGAAATTCTCAGTCAGTAATCATGCAAATAGTTTCTATTTTTAATTAAAAGTATGGATATTAACGCAAATATGAATCTAAGATTTGCGTTGAATTGTAAATAATATGAATGGAGAATAACTCCAGAAAATGAAATCGTCAATGGTATTGATCAATTAATTGTGTTTAGATGTTATTATTTATACATTGTACCATGCTAATCAAGATTCTTATCAATGAAATTTCATTAGTCAGTAATGCATATAGTATTATTTGCTAACTAAATGATGTATTTTTAAAATCCTATTAAATTAAGATAAAAAAAGTTTATTAAAAATGAAACTGTTAATGTATTTTTATTATCCCGTCCAAATTCTCATCTAAAATTACAGTTTGTGCAACAGGATAGAAAAAATCGAATATGCAAAATTTTATACAAATATTATTTTTTATTTTTTTCGCGCTTTATTTGTACAAAAAATGCACTACATTTCTTCTGTAGAATTATATACTCTCCTCGCAAATCACTTAGGAGCTGCGTTAATTGTCGAGTATCAAGTAAAAGTTTAGCAATTGAATGAACCGAAAATTCCCATAATTGGTCGAATTTTGATTTTTCAATTGCTAAATTATTTTCTAAATCTTTCTTTTCTGTAAGCAAAGTTATAACAGTTTTATAAAAATTTTCTTGTTTAGCTTCTAACAGTTTGGTATGACTAGAAAGATTCTGATTTTCACATTGCAACTGAACATTTTTATCTGTAAGTTTTTGGGTAAAATCAAGTAATTCCATCAAACGTTGTTTATAGTCCTGTTTGTCTGCTTGAAGTTCACTATTTAGTAGATTTACTTGTTGCAGTTGAACTTCATCTGCTTCAATTTTACTTTTCATTCTAACAAATAATTATTACCATTAAACAAAAATATTTTACATAAAAATGTTATTCATTAACTACTTTCTACTTACAATTCAACTTCTTTGCAAATATTTTCTTTTTCATACAGGGTACTTGTTAACATTTGGATTTCTTCACTTTGTTTTTCGCATCTTATTTGCAGATCATTTATCTGAGCAACATAATTACCACACTGAATGTACAAATTTTCTATGGATACACTATTTTGACTAGTGGAATCATTTTCTTTCAAATCAATATTTTGCATTTCATTTCCTTCACTTACAAGCTTAACTGGACTAGCATTTGAATTGTCTGAAAAATTTCTCATTGCATTGACGTCATTGGAAGTACTTTTTGCTAAATGTTCCAGTAACAATGTTTCATATTTTGTTTTCAATTTATTGTATTCAACCTGTAAAAATTGTTTCGTATAGTAAAAAAATATTATATTAATTATTTAGTTTATTTAAAATTTTTATACGCTTACAATTAAATCATTTAATTTTTTGTCAGTTTCCTCTAAAGAATGTGTAAAATGCTTCAATCTGTTTTCCTTCCATTGCAACTGCAAGTCTTTAGTATTCAATTTATCTTTTTGATGCTCAATTTGATTTCTCAATGTTGTTATTTCAGAATTTTTTCCATTTATTTCCCCTGCAAGTTTAATGATGCGATCTTGCAATTGTTCATTTTTTTTACGATATGTTTCTCTTGAGCTTATATTCTCATGTAGCTTTTTTTCTAAACTCTTTATGGATCTGTAATATCAATAAAATAATTTGTTTAACTTTTACTGATTTTATCTATACTAATTAAATTTATACTCTACCTTTGAGCATCAATGTGACTTTTTTCACTGCCGGCATATCTGACAACCATTTTGTCTCTATCTTTATGAATTTCATCATATTTTTTTTGCAAGTCCGTCAATGACTTTTCCATTTGAGAACATTTTGAACATGTGGCTAAGCTCATTTTTATTTGACTAGTTGGAGAGTTATTTTGTTGTTGTTTCAACTTCTTTATTAAATCAATGTTGATCTTTTCTAGATGATCTTTTGAACTCGAAAGTAAATAGTAACTTTTGTACAAATTCACAATCGTATAACTTATTTGATCAGGTACTTTGGATGCAACTTTTTTTTTATGTTTGTAATTATTGTCTATAAATGCATTATACAGACTATTTAAACTATTAAAGAGCTGGTCTTTAAAAATAATTTGCATTAAATTTCTATCGATAACATTTGTTGAAACACTTGTACAATAAGGGGTGACATGTTCAAAAGGATAGTTATCTTGAATCATGTAAGAATCAATGATATTTTTTAAACACTCATCCAAAATAATTGTTGTTCCACAAGTAAATTTTTGTTTTTCCAGAACAAAATGACTTGCCGAATTGCTCCCCATTTTGGTTGCTAGCTTTATTTAAAAAATATTTTCTCAGTAATATTTGATAATTTTTTAATTAAAACTTCATACACTTCATATTAAATTACAGAAGAACAACAAGAAGCTATTGGAATTTTACCGTCTTAAAATTATCAATAATTTTTGTTTATTTGGTTTATTTTTATTACAAATTACATTGCACACACATACACACACGTTTTTTTAAAAGTTTCGTACTAAAAACGTTACGTTATTTGATAATCGTTTGAGCAGTGACATATGTTCCCCCATAATAAATCAATCGCGTTGAAACACAAAATCAATAATCGCAGCTTTTTCGGTAAATACTACCCTACACCAAATCTTGGGATTCATTTATGAATTAAATCTTAAAAATACTTGATTAAACGTTTATTTCACGATTATTTTGCGACAATATTGACAAGCACCACATATAATGGGACACTTGTCCGTAGTTCTTATCACAGTGCACAGACGACAAGCAGACCTTCGAGGGCTTCTAGCCCGTGATACGTGAACATATTCTGCAATCAACATTTTCCTAGCTCACTCGTGCGAAAATTGCAAAAGAGAAAAGGATCAATCGAAAAGTTCAACGTATTCGTAGAATCGATCGAGATCAATTTTCGCGGGTTAATCTCGATCTTTTCAAGATTTCGCAGAAAAATATCGGGATAATCGTGCTAAGCCGAGATCATGGCGCGACGACTTTTATTGCAGAACACACCTCATGTTTAATACCGGCTCGAAGTGTTATACAGGAGCTGAGCGTGTTGTTCGTTCATGTCAGTCTCGGTGCATTTTATATTATTCTTTTTTTTATTTTAAATAATATACCGTATATGAAAACGTTTCCGAGTAAATACACGCTACGGTAGTTTAATAGGCGATTTTTCGAATACGTTGAGCTTACTTATATTACGACAATGGTGGTGTTAAATAATCTCGAAGAGATTTTGGTTAAATTAGAGGAGCAAGAATTGGACGTGAGTATTGTTATTGTAAACAAAATTACTTGAGTTAGAATCTATGAAAATACACTGATTAAGGTTATAATGATTTTCGTGTGAAATTTTGCAGAAATGTATTTATTGAATATTTGATGACTATTTTGATGTTTATTTGTACCTATTAGCTAAAACAGCAGCAGCTTATTAGCTAAAGGTATTGAAAATGCATTTGCAAAAAATTAATAAAAGTGTTGTCTTTCAGAGCGATGATGGATCAGTCAATCCTGAGACGTACTGCCAGATGTTGGCTATTTATTTATATCAAAATGAACTGTACGTACTAATTAATTAAAAATTCAGTACCCCTTTTTTTAATCTACAAATGGTATATTTTTGTTACTTTAATAATATTATATTTATTGTATTATAGATGTCTAGCAAAATTTTTATGGCAGAGGATACCTGTAAATGTGAAAATGGCATGTTCAGATTTAAGAAAGATCTGGTCTGTTGGTAAAAAAATGTGGACACGTGATTGGGAAGAAGTTCATATTGCTTTAAACGTTGAATGGAATCCTAATGTTCGTGAAGTAATGCAAGCACTGAAAGGTACAGTTACTTTCTTAATAATGAAATTTTTAAGGATGCAGATAATTTATATCTAATTTTTATTCATGATTGTAGGAGAAGTACAAGAAAGAGTGCTGAAACTTGTTGGCGATGCTTATGCATCTTTAGACCTAGTGACATTATCAAAAATGATTGGTATGTCACTCGATGAAACTAAAGTAGTAGCAGAACAAAGAGGATGGAATCTTGTAGGAAACACAGTGAAACCCACTAAAGCAGTCCCAAAGAGCAATGCCAGTACAACAGAAACTATTGCAGAAGAGCAGTTGCATAAGTTAACACAATTTGTATCATTTTTAGAAAATTAAAATCATATTATTATGTTGATATGATAAATATTCAATGATACTTTAAATTGTTTCTGTCAATTGAAAAGTTCTTTGAATTATCATTATTTTTATCTTTTTAACTATTATTCAATCACTATTCTGTTTTTGATTTGATCATCATTGAGTCTGTTTCAAATTGATAATTTTTTATGTATTGTGTATAGAGAAATTCCTAAACTTCTGATCATCAGAAAAACATAAGTAGTGATTAATTCATTCAGAGTAAAAGAATTACACACATCTTCTTATCTTATGATATCAATTGTTATAAGGAAATACAATAATAAGTTAACAATAGAAACAATTTTTCTTAAAGAATCTGTTCAATAATTATTATATTTACAAGTTACTATAAATATGTACAAATGATTCATCGTATGAATATACTGTAATTAAGTATTAAATACTTTTTCAACCAAACAAGCAATATTTCTCTTTTGTATTCATTATATATCCTGAACCAAAAGCTTGAGAATTCAATGGTCGATGATCAGGAATAACAATTTTTTCTACAGACACCCAAGTATCATCTTTACAACAAACATAAAGTTTCTTTGTACTTTTATCATAAACTGTTAAACCAGGAGTTTTTTCATGTACATGAGGTATATTACTAGTGTCTGTGACCAATTTCACATTCAAAATTTTTACTGGCACATTATTGAAATAAGTTCTCAAGGGATAAATACCATTTAAACCCCTTTGTAAATCACAGACATTTTTAGCGGTCATAATTGCCCAGTTGACAAAAGAAGTATCTTTGGTAATTTTAGGAGCTAAAACAAAATGAATATATTAGGAGGATGATTGAAAAATAAATTACATAGTTGTTCATTTTGAATAATTATATACCATAGCTGACTTCTTTTTCATCTTGTGATTGTGCTGAATTTAAAATATTTGGGAGTTTATCAACTGTCCTTGATAGTACTTCAGCACCTAATTTTGATAGTTTGTCATACAATTCAATTTGTGTGTCATCAGGATGTATTTCAATTCTTTGTTGCATTATAACTGAACCAATATCAAACCTAAAAATTAATTGTAACATTATAAAAGATGGAATAAATTTTCATCAACCTTTTTAATACTTTTTCGGAGCAATCTTCATAATTGATATTCCAGTGTATGTGTCACCATTGATCAAAGCATGACAAATTGGTGCAGCTCCTCTCCATCTTGGTAAAAGACTAGCATGGACATTTATCATTCCTCTGCAAAATATATATCATAAAATAAATTGAGATTTGATATAGAATGTCAAGTAGTAAAAATTATTACAGTGGAAATTTATTTATAATTTTTTCTGGTATCAAGTGGCCAAATGACACTACTATACCGATGTCAAATTTTCCTTCACTGATCTCTGGTGGCCATACATGAAGGGGAATTTTATTTTTTTTTGCATATTTGGTGAGGCAATTTTCTTGACCTTGATAAGCAGTGACGATTTCCAAGTGTCGAACTAATTTTTTATCTTTGCTAAAAGTAAATGCTACTAAAATATAATTTCATGTTTTGAATGACAAAGTTAAAATAGACACCTACTATTTAGAATGTAAGGCTTTTAAGCTTTCCGTAGCAAATTTATCAGATCCAAAGAATAAAATTCTCCAGGATTCGTCACTCGGGGCATTTGATTTCGCATTTTTTGCATAATCGCAAAATTTATTTTCACAAGTCACACTGTAAGATTTTATTCTTTTTATTGCACTCGCGAATTCACGGTTAAAAATCCTTCGCAGCATTTTCTTATTCTCGCAAATTTCGATCGTTAAACATCGACGAGTTTTGAAAAAAAATTATTAACTAAAACTAAAATTATTAACTAAATTTGATTTACAAAAAAATTTGCGGTTTATTATAAAAACATTGCGGCTGCTCACACGAGGTTATATCATTTCAAAACATGCAGACGACGTTAGCAAGAGCGAAAAAGCGACACAGTGTGGTAATGAGATAAGTTGCTTTGTATGTAATTTACCAGTACTCTTACAGCATATGTAGCGGGCTGCGGGCAACGAAACTGTACGCTCAAAATCGCGTTTGAAGTTTTTTTTGAAAACAGCTTTCGATATGTTAGGATAAGCTCGTTACAGCTCTACAAATAGAGAAATGAAGAGTTTAATTTAGAAAAGTTGAGAACGATAAAAGTTAAAATTGATCGTAAATACTAGCTCTTGCCGAATAATATGGGAAACTTTTTCAAGAAAATGAGTGGTGATTAATACGCTTATTAAACTTCATTCATTAAAATGAAACTGCTTAATTTTATTTTTTTTAAACTTTTACTTTTGTTATAAAAATGAACTCATTACAAAGCCTAGTTTAAACAAAATTGTTGCCTATTATAATGTTTTACAGATGTTTCGAATTGTTCCAACAAAAAAAGTTCTTTTTTCCATTCATTGTCTGCTCTCAAATTTATATTTGCCTGAGTTAGCACTTAGAAAAATAAACACGTGAAAATAAACATCTAACACAGCAGATTATTAACGGCATTCGGCAAAAGATTCGTCACGGCTAATCGAGACTAAAGGCTTAAAAAAGTATCGAGCGATATTTGGCTCGATACTTAAAAGTATCGAGATTTCATAATACTACCGAATAGTATATCTCAGTGTGAACAAAGAAATATCATATCGTCGTCGGGCAGTTAATTCTTGTCGAAAAAAGTTATTAAGAGTGACTGTTTAATTAATGTATTGCGTCTTAAAACTGTGACGGCAGAAAAATGTCCTCTAGGTCCAGTGAAGAATCCGTTGAAAGTTTACACGCCGAAAGCAACGGCTTTGATTCCGATGACTCGTGGAATCACCGTGGCCAAGTCAACTTGGAAAAATTGAAAAGATTACGTGATAAGGTCAACTGGAAGGTCAAAGATGATCGACGAAAATTCATCAGGAAAGTTGACGATTCTTCGATCTTCCAGTGGAAGGTCCCACTTCCGAATCTCCGAAAGATCTTCGAAAAGAGACTAATCGAGCTTCTTCTCTTGGATTCCATTGCTCACCGTTCTGGAGAAGGATTCATCAACTTTGTGATCGAGTGCGGCTACAAGGACGAGCCCGACCTCCGAGCCAATTTTACGTCGTACCACGCCGATACATCGCGCGTTCAAGAAGAGTCAGTACAGTAAGATCCATCAGCTTTTCGAAATTTACAACCGTTTCGACCTGAACTACGTCGACGAGGATGGAATGTCGCATTTTCACATAGTCTGCAAGTGTGGCCCGGACGATGTTGTCATGAAATTCTTAGTTCTCGAACAGGATCCGAATCAACTCATGGAAGAGACAGGCGACTCGCCGCTGCACTTGGCTCTGTCCGAGGGCGATCACCGTATTGTCCCAGAGCTGCTGACCTACGGCGCCGATCCGAATTGGGCAAAGAGTACTGCGACGAACTCCTGATAAATATGCTGTACGAGCACAGCCACAAGAGATACCTGCCGGTACAGGTCAGCGCTCAGGACAATCGGGGACGGAAGCCGCTGCACATTTCCCTGAACGACTGCAGAAGCGAAATGGCCATGGCGCTGTTGACAAACGGCGCCGATGCCGAAGCCTCGACGCCTCTTCATATGATTACCGTTTTGGAGATGACATGATGTTGCCGTTCTTCGCGATCTGCGACCACAAGCGTCTGGTGCTGAAGGTCGACGTCGTGGATAAGTTGGGCCGGACACCGTTGCATATTGGCCGTGGCGAACGTCATGCCTCGGATGGTCGATCTGCTTTTGAATCACGGCGCTGATCTGTCCAATTTCGGTTTTCCCACCGAGGCTCTCTTCGACGAGGGAATCAAATCGCAGTTTCACGATGCAATTCGGGCTCTTCCTAAATTGCAGATCGTAGCGGGCGCTCTGGCCTGCGTCCAGCACCTTGAGAGAAGAGGATACAAGCTGCAACGAAGAGACGCCCAGACGATCGTGAAATTGTTCCTCAAGCACGACGTGTTCGAGAAATTTGCAGACCTCGAGGAACGTTGGTACGTCTCTCAGCTCAGAAGCGAAAAAATGCTATTGTACTGATAAGTCCGGCTCTGTCGATCCACGACCTGATTCAGTTGGAAGAAAACGCCACGGAAGTACTCGAGGGTCGGGACTTCTTCGAGGCCTTGCGCGCAAATATATTGTACGCGCTCCCCCCAGAGGATGACAGGGCGTGCATCACGCACCTGTGCGAGAAACTGCCGTGAAGATTTTGCCGACGTTGGGCGCTGAAACCTATTTCGAAGCTGACGCGCCAACGTCTGCCGATCAGTTGTTGTAAAATGATCTTGGATCAGCTGTGCTGTTTTTGCTTGGCGAATGAAGCCCAGAACTCCAGATATTGTCCCTGTCATTGAATGATGTAAGTATCTGCAGCCCAAAAAATCACGATGAAAATTCGAGAACTCGTGCATGTGTTTCTGATAAAATTGTTTGGTTGTTAACACTCCACCAGCTTTTTAACATCCCTTTTTGAAGTGAAACTTCTTTAGTTTCTAAGAACATGTGTAACAAGAGAGAAAAAAATAAAAACATTAATTCATTAACATGCTCGGATTTTAATTTGTTTCAATTTTAAACATAGATGAATCTTTAATTAAAAATACTCTCCGGAACTTAAGGTACTTGGTACTGGATGAGGAACAAGAGCGAAGTGCCTAATTTTCAAAAATAGTGATAAACTCAATATACTAAGAAACTCTAATTACGCGATTTATTGAATAATAATTGCACAAAAATTCATACAGGAATATTCCTATGTTCAGTGTTAAATATATTATGCTGTAGTTTCTAAAATATTTCATTACTACGAAGAATTGTTTTATTATCGAAAATATTTAGCAATATCGCATAGTGTGTTTTATTCTTGCAACATCAAATGCCGATAGGGTACACATTTTCCAAAATGGAATTGACATTTTGAGAGCCTGGACCATTGAATGTGATAGTATTGAAATCACAGTCTAAAAATCTAAAAATATGTATTTGGTTTATTAAATTATAAGAGAACATAAGGAACTTGTACATAATGTGTGCCCAAAATGTCCCAATAATTACGTAATACAAAAATGTATGTACAAAAGTGTGTATAATTGCCAAAAAAAAAATTTTGTGAAATTTTTTATTTTTTGTGTTCAGCCATTTTTCAGCTACTTAATCTACTGGTGAAATTTTTTAAGATTCTTTAATTCAATTAATAAAGTTTGGTTAAATTCATTGGTAAAAAATTCTTTTTTTTAATTAAAGTACTTTAAAAGTTTACAATTACTATTGAACGTCAATTTCTTGTCTTTTTGGGTACCAGATTTAATTAACTCACAAAACATCTATTTGATTATTTTTAAAAATATTTCAAATTGATTTATAAAAATTTTATAAATTTATAAAAATATTGAAGTTTGAACGATAATGCTTAACTTGCTAATAAAATTGACATTGTTTTAATGCTAAAGGATCTTCCAATCAATTTCGTCCTTTTATTCATATGTGGCCACATTATTTTTTCCGTAACTTTCGAAGATGGACTATCGAAATTAAGATTTTTATTAATCGTCTTCATATAAGAGATTGGGATATAAATGCGCCGCAGCATTCTCTGATATACTTATACTGCATCGACCCGCTTGCTTGGCTGTCTCCAATCCAAAATCATTAGCTTCGTTGCTAATTAATGTAAAAGGCATCTTCACTTGCCATCAATGGACTGACACTTTATTCATCTTGAAATCTGACCTGTGAATTGGCTAAAAAACTGAACTTTTTTTAGGTCTAAAAATCAAACTAAAAATCCACAAGGATTTTTGTAATATTTCCAAGACTCGTTCAAATTTGTTCATTAAACATTGCGTTTTAAGTGCAAGGTCGAACAAAACAGCTTTATTCATATTAGGAAACTACTGTAAGTACTGGATTATAGTAAATACGAAATTATTATTATTTTTTTTTTTTAATGGGTCAATTTCATATTCAGTATAATGGCAAGCCTAATAATATGTAAAGACGTAGAATAACATCTTGTATAACCCGACACAACATAAAGTTTTTAAGATTGAGCTAAAAAATCGTGTTTAAACTTATTGCAATGGAAAATACTATAAAATAGAGAAGTATAATTCTAATCAATATATCAAAAGGATGTTAACGTTAAAAATGTATGCATTCAAAAGATTTCCTCTACTTAACCGATTGAAACACTGACCTGAAAGCTGCTATAAACGATACCGATCGTTTTATTATCTTTGAAATAAAATATGATGATTATATATTCAAAGTTGTAAATTTCGAAAATTCAATAGGTCCGCTTACCAAGCTGCAGCTTTCAATGTTCAAAGTTATTATTGGCCCAGCCGCCGTATTAAAATCTTTCATTGATCTTCTTATTATTATCAATAATAAGAGTCTAGCTTTCGGTGGATAAGTGTACCACTTGATGAAATAACTACGTCAAATTTTAAAAAGGTATACATATTATCTTCAATAATTTAGTAACTATAAATTTCCTGGCTCGCTTCCCATTCCGTAAACAAATCGTTAGTGGCGTTGATCAATAACTGACTTGGCATACATATGCAAATAATTATGGTTGGATAAGACATAATTGTAAATAAAATTTTTAAAGCTTCTATTTGATCTTCGTCCCATAACATTATGAACTAATTTTTTTTTAATTATTCAAACCTTATTATTGATACCTCTTAAGGAGGTTCGGGAGTCTCAGCGAAATGCAGCCAAATTTTTAAAACACGTTCAATTGCTTTGAAACTTTATAATATGAATGTTTATATCAAAATACAACTTTTCACCGCAAAATTTTGTTAAAATGATGAAAAAATTTTTTGACCATTTAACATGGTTTCTTACGAGAAATCATGAATTTTCGCTTTCAATGAGCATAAACATAATGTAAAAAAACAAAAACTAAATAGAAAAAAATACGTACATGTAGGAAATTTAATAAGGAATAATTTGACTGCGAAAAGAAGTTCATCGACCGTTTAGTTATCGAGAAATAAATTGTTATGTGTAAAAATTCGTGGGTCATTTGCGCGTACCCTAACCAACAAATGAGCTAGAACAACAAAAATATGTGCTCATTCGACTCTAATGACAAATAGAGTATTGTTTTAAGCCTAAAACATCGAAAAAAACTCATCAAAATGATTGAATTATTAATAATAGCTATAATTGTGTGCCAGCTCATTGAAAAAACCTACAATTTCGTGTTATTTCGAAGTTGGCAGCGCTGAAAATTTAACATTGGAAGTATAGGAGCCCCTCGCGTCCCGCTTCGTCCCCCTCAAACACTCCCGAACCTCCTTAAGTGAAAAAATCAAATAGTAAATTAAGGTCAATGTCCCCATCGTGTTATCTGAATTTTGATTCAATGCACTGGTAACCTGTATTTGCTAACCTGCGGTAAAAGTAGATAAAAAATACCCTCTTTTGCAATACTCCATCCGCTTTTTTTAAAAATTTTCATTCCTCAACCAAATCTTAGCCATCATTATTAAATTCAAATGTAGTTTAAATTGCATTATATCCAGGACGAAGCCCATGAAATTTTTTTTTTCAGCTAACGGAGAAAAACATTTTTCAAAAAAAAAACTTTTTTTTTAAATATCTGAAAAAAATTTGTTTCAGTTTATCATATGATTTAATATTTCCAACTTAATTTAATCATTGACAAATTGAAAAAATACTTACTACACTTTTTTCTTTCTTTTTTTACCGTTTTTTTATCTTCAAAAAAATTTCAAATTTTTTTTTTTCTAGTCCTGAGACTATAACAAAATTTGTAGACAAACCTTTCCCTTAATTCTTCAAAATAATCTTTGCTCTTTCTCAATTATAAGGCAGGAAAAAAAATGTTATTATTATTATTTTTTTTTTTTTAACAATAAGTAAAAACCATCTTTGGAGGAAACTGCTTGCCAATAAATTGGCAGCGGTTTTTTTTCTTTCGATGACACACAGACATTTTGATGTTTCGAATTATTTAACTGAAATAAGCTTCATTTCTGATGGTCGTCCATATGATAGCTAATTTTTAATATTTTAGAATAATTTTAGATTTCCTTTTTTTAGATTTTTTTCATTTTTAAAAGTTTTCTCGGGTATGTTTTTTGCATTCTGTCAACATTTTGTGTTGATACCTTATAAATGTTTCGCAAGTTATCGTTGAAAATAATGATTATCAGAATCAAAAATATTACAATTTTCGTCCCAGCACTTTGGACTAGTAGCGTATCCTTTTTTTTTTTTTTTAGAAAAAGGGAGCAATCAGCACATGATTGCTTCCGAAACCGCGAGGGCAGCCGATACCCTGTACTTTCATAGCTTTGGGGTCAGTCAGCGTCTTACTTCATTTGTACTTCATACATACGAATAGGAATAATATTATTTCATCGGGATGCTCATTGCCAATCGATCGCAAGAGAAAATCGGTATCAAATACAACAATTAGCCTCGAGTATCGAGCTCTTGTTCTTTCAGAACTGTCGTTGTATCCAATTGTATGTCAATTTTCATATTATATACCACGAGCAAACTGGCGCGACTATTCGAATGGAGTCCTGGCCACCGCCAAGCACCAACGCGACCGCAATCGCTCCTATGCAGGCTCAGCTGCTCCTCCGAGGCATACTACTATACCATCCCTATGCTGTCATTGTACAGATATCGAACAACATACTTTTCGGAATATGTGTACGCGTTATAACTATATAAACACACGTACATTTCTCCTTTTGTGTGAGAGAGTGAGCGTGTATACCTTTCTCAAGTGCGCCTGCTGGTTATATAATATATAGGTATATGTATAGCACCAGCTATCTGTGCAGCTCATAGTGGCGCTCTGAGCGCGCGGAAAGCGCCAAAGGGGGAAGTCCGCCGTCGTCGTCGTCTCTTCTCTCGGCTGCTACTCGACTTATTATTATATATACCAACAGTGGCAGTACGTGATGTATGTTTAGGGCTGCTTGCTGCTGGTTGCTGATCGTCGGGGGGTTGCGCGCGCACTTTCCACCACCGCGACTCGCAGCCAGCAGCACGAAACATACCCTCTTCATCGTCGTCGTCGTCGAGCCTCTCTCGCAGCTCTTCCGTCTCTCTCTCTCATTCTCTCTGCGTCCGAGAGTCATATCGAGCACACATACAGCACAGGGGTGTATTCCCGTTTTCATTGTCAAGTTATTATCGACGATGGTAACTTGGAAAAAGCTCGTGGCGGTGGAGTTGGTAGCCTAGTCGATCGTCGTCGTCGGACGAATTGAAAAAGTAGCAGCGTATAAAGTTAATAATATAGCCGCAAGAAGAAAAGGAATACGTGCTGTATATATAAAAGCACAAAACGCAACTACACAAGCCTGTGAGCTGCTGCTGCCTGCCTGCCTGGAAGTTTGTCGAACCCCCTTGTGTGTCTGTGAATGTCCGTGCGTGTATGTTTCTCGCGCAAGCAGTGCTTCGCGATATCGACGAATATACGAGTTTCGCTGGTTGCTCTCGTTTTTACTTTTCTCCCTTGTACATAAGCTCCTGCGACCAAGAGGCGAATCTACCGACATAAATAAGTTGCGATACTCGTGCGTCCGCTGCGATCATCATGGCAAAACGTCGCGTCTCGACGACGTCGGCCAGTAGCGCAGCAGCCACCAGTGCAAATGAAATGATCGTCGAAGCTTCTACCGCTTCTGTGATTCCGTCGCGCTCGTGCAAGGTTATTGTCGTAGAAGAGGCGACGACGATGACGACGAAATCGAGAATGGGCCGAGCCGCGGCAGCGAGCATCAGAGAGTCATCAGCAGCAGCCACGAGATAATCTGCCGCAGCTGCAGAGAGCTCTCAATCATCGTACACTCGAATGCCCATACAAGTGAGTATCGATGTATGTGTAATCGTATGCATCGCCTTACTATAGGTATATAAAGAGAGATAGATATATATTTATATAGCTTCAATTAAAACGTGTGAGTGAATGTGTGTGTGTGTGTGTGTGTGTGTGTGTGTGTGTGTGTGCACTTTTACTTTCGACGTCAAAACTTATATGCACTCCTCTCTCTCTCTCTCTCTCGTGTATGTATGTAGTGCACACGTACCTACTCTCGGCTTTTACCCGTGTGCCTCATACATATATTCTCATGGCTACGCGGGAGGTGCAATGTTACCCTATTCTCCTGTATTACGCTCGGTAGTAGTATACAGTAGCGTTTGCCTACTCATTCGTCCAAGTGTGAGTAATCACATCAATAAGTGACTCTGTGTGTGTGTGTGTGCAAGGTACGACGAGCTCCGTTCTCTTCTCTCTCTCTCTCTCCTATGCGCTTCTTTTGCACCTGTACATGTTCACGAGAGTCAATATCTATTCCGTTCTTTTGACCGTACATATAGCTACCTCGTCTTTCTCTCTCTCTCTCTCTCCATTTCACTCTCTGTCCTCGCGCGCGCGGATCGCGGCACAGCGTAGACTCGGAGCTGCTGCTGCTCCATCCCTTAATAGTATACACATACACACAAGCACACATAGACACGTACATGTACACACGATGGACGGACTATATAGGCAGAGAGAGAGAGAGAGAGAGAGAGAGACACGAGTATCGGGGAGTAAGCCGTACAATTTCATTAATAAGTACTACCACAAGCATACCGTAATAGACGTAGGTGTGCGCGTCTATATTTGAATATGTAAAAGCGATCACGAAGACTCGAGCTACTGCTGCTGCATCGAAACGATACGTACTATCGTGTACAGCGGGCTTATAAAGCGCGTGAACGTATCGTTTTCACTTCGTCGCATCGAAACCGAACGCACGAATCCCGGGCTAAATTTTTCCATCGTCGTGCATAAAACGTGCAACGTTTCGCTGCATCGCGTTGGGAGGGGGCGTTTTTCTGCATGAATATTACCCATATACGTGTGCGCGTCGGATATTGTATATCCACCGCGAAGACTCGCCGAACGAAGCACGAGTTTAGTACGTAGTCGTATATTTATTACCTATAGCGTTGTGTATCGTTATCGATGCGTGTGTGCCTTGCCGCGAGAGTATTTATGCACGCGAGAATACGCGAACCGAGCTATATCGTGTCCAACCCCCGTACTATCGATGTCTTATATGTGCTACTACACCAGCGAAACGAGGTGTACTCGCACGGTCGTATACTACTATAGGCATGCATGCATTAGAGACGATTGTTTTGCCTATATACGCTTACCCTGTCTCGCTTCTTTTCTTTTTCTTCTTTTCAAGACCCGCGCGATACATTGAATTATTTTTGTTCGTTTTATTTTTGTCGCGTAAAAAGTGTCGCGCGTATAGCAATTATATATACCTACCTTTAAAAAGGCAAGGAAAGAAATGCGCAACGCTGTACATACCGCATATATATACGAGAAATTAGAAAATGAGTTTCTTTTTTTACCGAAGTAGAGCATGAAACATCCAAGCGTAGTACATGGGTCGTATGTGTGTGTGCGCGCGCGCGTTCTGTGTGGCTGCTGCTGGCTGCAGATCTAGCAGGCATGTGTGCAACAATATGATGCACCTAGGCACACGCGGTCGTTGCTGCAGCTTGGATGAAAGATGAAATGATACACTCGCGTTGTCGCTGCTGCTGTCTTCTTGTGTGTTAGCGTGTATGTGAGACAATAGGCACAAACACAGAGTTGCACTAAGCCCAAGCTCTCTCTCTCTCTCTCTCTTCTTCCCTCTTGTGTTGCAGTGGCAGCAGCCTAGTGGCCGTGCGCGCGATCGAAAGCACGGATAAGCATAAACGAGTGTTACATATATATAGTAGTGTATATAATACAAGAGAGAGAGAGAGATAAGTTCGTGGTCGAGATTTAAAGTCGGTATAGGGCTGACAGGCAGGCAGGCAGGATCGAGAGAAAAGCTCGCGGAGCTTTTATAAACCGAATTTAATGAATTTTCTCTTCTTCGATCCTTCTTTCATTTTCTTCTTCTTCTTCTTTTTACAGATGACGTTGCTCTGTCTCCAGCTCCAGCGCTCTATTACCACACACCGCTACGATAACTGCACTGCTACTGCTGCTGCTAACTAGCTATACTGGGCTTTAGATACACACCGCTGAGATTCGAAAAATCAGAAAGCTGTGAAAATGTCGAAGATTATTAGCAGTTGTTGCATTCTCGCCATTACTGCTGCTAAAACTACTTCTAAAACTACTACTACTACCACTACTACTATTACTACTACTGCTAGGAATACTACTACGACTCGTGATTATCGTGCAGGCAGTGAATCAAAAAAGTTGCGTTGCACGCGCCGACGTCTCTGCGGCAGGCTGCTGTCGACGGACGCCTTTTCTTCTTCTTCTTCTTCTTCTTCTTCTTCATCTTCTTCTTGTTCTCGTCGCCTAGTGCTACTGAAGCAGCCGAGGCATGTCGGACTGTGAAAATAGCTAACAGCTTTCGGCCCGTTAGTTATTTACAAAAATTATATTTATTAAATTGAAAATAAATACAAAATTCAAGGGAGGTGTGTGACGTGCGAAGTGTCGCGGAGTTATATACGAGTTCTGTTGTGTGTCATTATTTGTTCCACAACGACGATGCAACAGGGCAAACAGAACTCGATCGGTTCTGGTACGCAAGACAGCCACCAGTACGTCGGGCCCTACAGGCTTGAGAAGACCTTAGGCAAAGGCCAAACGGGTGAGTCCTGGTTATATTTTTATCTCTGTAATAAAGAAGGAAAAAAAAATTATTTTTGGAATGACACACAGAGACGTCACGCAGACAGAGAGAGAGAGAGAGAGAGAAAGGAAGATCTGGAGCAAAGATATCCTAGGCACACGCGACACATACGAAAAAAAAAATTATCGATATATCGGAGAGTTGCTGCACTGCACTGCACACGAGGAAACGAGGTGTCGCGCCCCCGCCTACCCGTGTGCCTACTGCCTACCTACCTACCTACCCCCGCGCGACCCTCTTCCCTTCGGATGGGTTGTAAAACTTTCATTACGTATATATACTATATACCATATAAAACATGACGTATGTCATTATAACGCCCTTTCCGGAGCTTTTTATCAGGAAAAAAAGCTCCTGAAAAATCGGATAAGACTAGCTACCTTATGTGTAATACCCATCGCAACACTACCGTGCCAAGGTATACCGAGAAAAATAATTTGAACCTTGTAAACAAGTATCGATCTCTGTTTTTCACTCTCTTTCTCTCTCTCTCTCTCTCTCTCAGTAGGTGCACACGTGCAGCAAATATATACTCCTCTGATTGGTTATTGGAAATTCTCGCGAGAACTCGCCGCTCGCGCGCGCCGGGATATGTGTAATAATGTATATAGTCATATACACATACACGAACACACGTCGCAGTCGTAAACTTTCTGGCTGGAAGAGCTAAGCCATTTTGACGTTTCTGAAAGGCGCAAGAAGAAACAGAAAATCAGATTTCTGTTATAAGTTTATAAAAAAAAAAAAAAAAAAAAAAAAAAATAGAAAAAGAAAAAACAAGTTCAAGGATAATGATATGAGGTAGTGCACGCACGTGTTTCTCGCGCAGAGCGCCGAGAAACTATGTACAGCTTACTCTCTGTGCATATAGTAGAGATGCCGATAATTGAAGTTTCGACAATTTCGTGTCGTTGCTTACGTCAATTATCAAACTTGCTTTATATGTGTGTGTGTGTGTGTGTGTACGTGTACGCGACATCCATTCGCAAACTTTAGCACACAGCTCTCCAGCCAGCAAAGGACCTTTAAACTTTCGCTTATGGAAACTCGTCGGCATCTGTATACAATCTATAGATATTTGTGTGTATACGTGTGCACTAAATATTATCGATAGTACCTATATGTATACCGCGTCCCGATCGTATTATGCTCCGCAATTACACGAGCTTATACATACATACACATACATAGACATTCTATTTTGGATGGAATTATATTCTCTGTGCTCGGCGACAGGTCTGGTGAAGCTGGGCGTGCACTGCGTGTCGGGCAAGAAGGTGGCAATTAAAATAATTAATCGCGAGAAGCTGTCCGAGTCGGTGTTGATGAAGGTCGAGCGCGAGATCGCCATAATGAAGCTGATCGATCATCCCCACGTGCTCGGCCTCTCCGACGTTTACGAGAATAAAAAATATTTGTGAGTACTGCTATACATTATTAACGATCGATTCTTTTTTTTTTTTTTTTGTAAGCCAGTGAGAATAATTTATGATGATTACTTGAAAAACTTTTTGAAACGAGCAGATATTTGGTGCTAGAACACGTCTCTGGGGGAGAACTATTCGATTATTTAGTTAAAAAAGGAAGGCTTACTCCTAAGGAAGCTCGAAGATTTTTCCGTCAAATTATTTCAGCTCTTGACTTCTGCCATAGCCATAGTATTTGGTTCGTACATCCTCTTTTATTATTTTTTAATCGCACTTTGTGAATTATACGTATAATAACCAGGACTTTTTGTTTGCTCGCGCAGTCATCGCGACTTGAAGCCCGAAAATTTGCTCCTGGACGAGAAGAACAACATAAAGATAGCCGACTTCGGCATGGCCTCGCTGCAGCCCGCCGGCTCCATGTTGGAGACCAGCTGCGGATCGCCGCATTACGCCTGTCCAGAAGTAATTAGAGTAAGTGACATCGGCTCGAAACTCAAACGAAATTTCTCGACGAATAAATAATGTAATTGTCATTGTGAAATTTTCGCAGGGAGAAAAGTACGACGGCAGACGAGCCGACGTCTGGTCGTGCGGCGTGATACTCTACGCCCTACTCGTCGGCGCGCTGCCGTTCGACGACGACAATCTGCGCCAGCTGCTAGAAAAAGTCAAGCGCGGCGTGTTCCACATACCGCACTTCGTTCCTCCAGATTGCCAAAACCTCTTGCGGGGTATGATCGAGGTCAATCCCGAAAAAAGACTAACGGTAAGCCGGAAAAAGACAATTTTTGATCGATCGCCTTATGATTCAGCCCTTGTACGCAATGACTATATTTATTTTCAACGCGTACACCGTCTTACAGCTTTGCGAGATTAATCGTCACGTGTGGATAACCGCCGCCGGCAAGGGCGAACTAGAGCTTGAACAATCTATGATGGATGTAGTACAAACCCACGTTATTCCGTCCGAAGATGCAATTGATCCCGATGTCTTGCAAGCCATATCGAGCTTGGGCTGCTTCAAAGAGAAAGACAAACTCATCAAGGAGCTTCTAAATCCAAAGTAAGCGCCTTTCTCTCTCTCTCTCTCTCTCTCCTTTATAAATACATCATGTATATAAAATAGCCCGTGCAGCAGTTGCAGCAGCAGCTGTCGTCCGTCCCATTTTTCATCTCTGTTTATTAATCGATACTGCTTAATGCATGTGCCCGCGCGCGCGAATCAATTGCCGCCCTTCGCCTGGCGCACAATAACGATAACATTGAAACAGAGAGCGAAGCACACGGCTAACTAGCTATATATATAAATATATAGATTATGTGCAGCTCGTAATCTTCCAGTATTTACATACGATCGATTATTGAAATTAACAATGCCTGCTAGACTGCTAAACGATGCAATAACGATGTTCTGTTTCTCTCTCCCACGCACACACACAGCCACAATACCGAAAAGGTCATTTACTTTTTGTTACTCGAGCGTAAGCGCAAGAGGCCCGCCTACGAGGACGAGTTGGAATTCGTGAAGAACAATCCTCGGAGCGCGGACACCCACCAGGAGGATCCGCCTAAGAAGCGCATAGATAGCTGTAGACTAAACGGCAATAGTTCTCTAAATTTAGGTCAAATAAGTCAGGGTTCGCCTTTAACGCCCAGAAGACAATCGAGGTAAGGGACGCGATTCGTCGATAATATAACGATATTTCATTCGCACGAGCTTCCTGTCTGCGAATTTTCGGGGAAAATGATCGATAATCCACCCTCTCTCTTCTCCTTTTTCGTCCGCTGCATCGTATATGCAGCACTAGGCCGTCTTCTCGTCGATCGATAAGCAACGTGCACATCCACGTGGCGCATCAATTGACGCCGAACAGCAATATATCGTCGCTGGCCGCGTCGCACTTCGGCGGCTCCCAGAAGGAGGTGTCCTCGTCCGCCTACAACGCCTCCTCCACCGAGATGATGCTGCAGGCCGCGGCCAACAACAGCAACTCGGCGTCGGCGGCCCAACAGCGACGCTCCAGCGCCGAGCTGTCCAACAGCAATCACTGCTCGTCGCACAACACGCTGCTGCTGCCCTCGGCGCTGAGCAGCGGCGGCGAGTCCGATGGCAATCATCAGCTCCTCGCGGCGGGCAACAAGTTGGTGGACAAGCTGATGATGCCACCGCCGCAGCTGATGCCGGATGGATCGCTGGCGTCCACGGGTGGCGGTGCCGCGGCTACTAGCAGTGGTGGCGCGGGTGGTGGTACCTCGGGCGCGCATCACTGGAGATCGCGACTGAACACCATCAAGAACTCCTTCCTGGGCAGTCCGAGATTTCATCGTAGAAAATTATTGACCAGCACGGATGACGTAAGAACATTTATTACGTTCGAGGGGGTTGTAATCTTTGACAGATCTGGCCAAGGGGAGCAAAAGATTTATCGCTAACGATATCGTGTGTTTCGCGTCGACAGGTCCATCTGACTCCCGAATCGTCGCCGGAACTGACCAAGCGCTCCTGGTTCGGAAATCTGATGACCACGGAGAAGGACGAGACGTTCACGGTGCTGGTCAAGGGCAAGCCGCTGGTGGCGCTCAAAGCCGATCTCATACACACGTTCTTGTCGATATCCGAGCTGTCGCACAGCGTCAGCTCGCCCATGTCCTTCAAGGTCGAGTACAAGAGGAGCAACGCCGGCCCCACCATGTTCCAGAGACACGTGCGATTTCAGGTGGACATCAACGAGATCTCCAAGGGCTCGTCCGAGACCCTGTTCGCCGTCACTTTCACACTGTTGACCGGTAAGGTTTTTACGTAACTTTTTGTTGGGAATGCCAATGAGAAGAGACTACATTTTTTTATTGTGGTTTTTTTTCAGGCAACATACGACGATTCAGGCGACTTTGCGAGCACATTCAAGCGCAAGTGTGCGGCAAAAGTACGATACACTTCGGATCGTCGTGTAAAACGTCGTCGTCGAGTCCGCGCACGTCTCGCAAGCACTCGCTCGACATGAGCGAGAGTTCGAGCTGTGGGAGCGACACGAGCGAGAGGCTCATGACACCTTCGCAGCAGATCTCGATTCCCGTAAGTTTTCTCATTTTTTATCATTCTTAACTCATATTCATATCATTAATCATATCAATGAATCATTCATATGACATCACTCATCGAATCATGCATTCTCCATTTCTTCTTTTTCAGTGACTCAAACAAACAAATTCATTGCAGGTCGACTCCGAAACCACGGACGACCAGTCGCCGCGGCCTGCTTTAGAAAAAAAGTCCGTGAGTCAGGGTGAGACGGTTCGTCAGACCTCGTCGTTCGCCAGTCAGATAGTCGACGCAGACGAGCAGCAGCAGCAGCAGCCACAGACGGCGACGACGACGACGACGACAACGTCGCCGACCAGTAGCTCGGAGAAGAGCGAAAACGCTTTAAACAAATGTATAAATTCCCAGAGCGGAAGCGATGTAAAATGATATTACGCGCTGCGCTTGAGTTACCAAAACAGTATGCTTATTTCATTGTGAATTTAAAAGTAAAAATGAGATTGTTATTGAAATTTTATTATTATCCATTACATTATATGTATTTATCAAATTTTTTATTGAACGTTATATTGCAACGGCTTTATTTGTGTATATTATTTGCGTAAACATAAATGATAATGAAGAGAAAGGGAGAATAAGGAATGTGTAATAACAATAGCGTAATTGTACTCTATTTGTTGAATTTTTAAGGATTCAGTTCAGAAAAATCGAGTATCGAGCAATTTTATTCAATCGATTATATAAAATATTATATTTCTCATACGAAATAAATTTTTTGTACAAAATAAAAACAAAACGATATCTACGAAAATTTCTAAATAAGTTTAACAATAAGATCATTTTATTGTATATTTATATATTCACGCATAAAAATATAAGAATTATATATTCACACGGAGAGTCCTCAAAGAAATGAAACGCTTTTATATAGGATAGATGTATTTCTGTTTTCAGTCCTATACTTATTATACAATATATTAACACGAAAACAAAAAACAAAAATATGTCACATTATATTACGGAGCAGATAATTTTTGAAACGCTGTTTTAATACAATTGAATGTGAGCAAAAGACAAATAGCTTCAACGTAATTGTATACGATTTATAAATGCAATAAATAAATAAAAAATAAAAAATAAAATGGGGCGTACGACAAGAACGTCAGTGAAATGCAAAATGGTACTTGCCAAAATTTGGGCTCCTCTCGAGCTACGCTTTCAGTTAAAATAAAATTTGTTAAATGAGCAGAGTCCCACGAAAATAATTATAAAAAAGAAGATAAGCCATAAAAATCAAATGCTCATACATAAATTAAATTTCAGAAATATTTCACAATGATTTTCGATAAAATTAATTTGTAAGTCTACCCTAAGTTGGAAAAAAGTTCATTTATCTGTGAAATCAATATAGAAACGCTTTATTACACTTTGATCGAATATCATTTTTCTAAACATTAAAATTATTAGTTGCCGCTATACATATTGATAGTACAATAAATATTTGTTTATAATATCAAAATAACTCACTCTGTTTATTCTATCTATATCTTGAATCAATTTCCTAATCTTTACTTATTCTGTCTGTCGATTATTTCACAAATTATTTTCATGTTTTTTTTCTAATGCTTACTTAGTTGTTCCGATAAAATTATTTTAATGAAAAACGTAATGCTATGCTGTGCATGACATGATTTGGTAAAGTGCAATCGATAAAATACGAAGCAAAATAAATAAATGAATCCGTTGCACGAATTTAATTTAATTTATATTCTAGACTTGTGTCCTTTTCTATCTTTTATCGAATGCTATTTTTTGTGTCTTTAGATTATAAATTTTTACACGTCTGATGCGTTTGAAATTGAAAGTCTTCCATGAAAAAAAGTTGTCATACATTGAGTATGCATTCAGTTATGCATAATTTGCATGATGTTGTGCCGAGACTGCATGGCTTCAAGTATCAAAAAAGATTTATTAAAATAAAAATTTTCTAAAAATAAATACGATAAAAAATGAAAAACAAATATCAAAGAAAATTAGATTTTCAAATAGACATAAGAGTTGTAAAAATGTTGATATTATAAATAGTAGATTTGTGAGGAGAATGAAATATTAGATCTTAGACAAGAGATTTAGATAATTTATTTTGTTGAAGACATCAATCGCAGGTAGTATAAATATTTTTAAAAATTTTACCCGTTTAAAAAACACGCTCTTTTGAAAATGTTTCATGTTACATGAATAGCAATTAATTGTTTTACTTAATTTGCATCTGATAAATATTCAATTGATCCCTTGCAATCTTGTCAGATGAATAAACATTTAGAAATGTGGTGTGTATACATATATTATAAATATAATGAAGCTCAACTAAGCAATACTGATGAAGAGTTAACTGTAAAATATTTTAAAGTCTAGCATTGTTCTAAAAACTTAGACAATTATGAAGTATAAAATTAACTATACACAAATTATACATTTAAGCTAATAAATGCAAGTGTTAAAGTATTACGATTTTAACAATATTTTGTGTATACATAATTGGAACATACTCAACAGATCAAAATTAACACATCCTTTTTATAATTTTGCACTAAAAACATTCATCGTAACATCGATTCTAAATCATAGATAAATATATCATGTGAATAATTCAACTTATTGTCGCATGGTTAATCGAACGGACTAGTCTCGATATTTTTACAAGTACACGTCGTAAACAAACATCAACAAATCGTTTTACATAATCTTACTAAATGCTGAAGGTAAATACGTTAAATATATGATCGGTGCTCGTATATAATGACGATCTATTACTGGGGGCATCATTGGTATATCGCTATTCGTAAATGCTGTAACTAAGTATTAATTGCGGTTTGTCTCTATTATTGAAGGGTTCAAGGACTGATTATACAGGAATCATTGAATGGAATCGATTTAAATCATAATAGGAAATTATCCACTTTGGTTCATTAATTAATAATAGCGGATATATATTATGTGCCGTTAATTTTTGTCTCGATTGAATCGATATCAATTTACCGAGTGACTTTAATGATTCACGAATAAGCTCATATCGAAAGGCCATTATTAATTTGAAATTATATAAATTCGATACCCGTCGCTTACCTGTTATACGATAATCATCAATTTATTATATGTATGAATTAGGATGCATGCACGATTACACATTATTTTTTCACCCATGTCATTTTGTTGTCAAATTTGCTCTTTACCACAAAGGCGAGTGGTAGAATTTAATATCGAGATGAGCGCCGTAGGGCAGCTGCGCGTCCTCGCCAGCCGGATTCCGATACTCCTCCTCGTCGAATCTACTGTTCTTGTCGTCGTGGCCGTTGTTCGAGGCCTTGTCATCCCCTCCGCCGTTATCCAGGCTCAATTGGCCGACATTTTTCGCCAGACTCTTATCCTCCTCCGTCGTCGTCTGTTCGGGTGGCGACGTCTTGGTTTGCCAGTGCTCCTTGAAGCCGGCCGGGGCCCGATCCTCGTCGCAGGTGTTGTACGGCTGGTGGTCGGCCTCGTAATTGGCTTGGACCTCGGCCGCTCGATCGACCACGTCCTCCGCGGCGATCTCGTCGTGATAGTAGGTGGCCCCGGTGGAGGTCGAGCCGTTTTGCGGCAGCGAGTAATCGCCGTAAAAGTTTTTAGTATCGGTGCAGGTCCTACAAGAGAAGAAAAAGAAGAAGAGAGAAGAGAAATAACACACGAGTCGCATGGCAATTTATGTTGTTCAATGATGAGCGAGAGTTAATTGCGATGCAGCTAGTAAACCTTAGTAGTTGCGAATGTGCTGAATGATGCTGTACATACTTTTATGGTGATGAAATAATATAAGCGTTAATGATTAAATAATAAACTGCATTTCAAATTACATAACATTTATTTTAAAACGTGTATAAAATTTCTTATCTTTTTTTTCGATAAATAATAATAATAATATATATAAATTCTATGTTTTTTGTAATTATTTTTCTGCGTATCTTATTTACGGTTAATACTGTTAAAGCTTTGCTCGATTCGATTAACGTTATAAAATAATAACAAATTTCTTTTTAAAAGTGAGGGAGGAAAAAAGAACGGAGGAAAAAAGTAAAACAAATAAAAGCGAAATAAAAAGTAGGTACATAAATTGCACATTATCCATCAAAGTCGAGGTGCGTGTGTGGTGAACTTCATCTTGAACAATTATATACTTTTGCGAGAGGTGAATTTTTTGTTTGTTTTTTTTTTATGCAAAAACACATGCAACTGTCTGCGTGTGACTCCACAAAAGCCATAACGGAAACGATGCGCTTATAATAAACTTTAATAACAAAATAAAAGGATTGCTATCATGCTCGTCATATCACCTAAAAACACAATTGAAAAAATAAACATTAATAAAAACGTTTCATTTCTATTTTATCGGCGAAATAAATAAATAGTTCCGTTCGAATCGAAATCATGCAGTAATAAAATTAAAAACTACTATTGTACTGAAGTATTATCAAATTTAATGCTAACCTTGAGTTGAATTTATGTTTTTCTGGAGTTGCGACATTGTGTATAATCTGAAAACAACCGAAACAAAAAGAAATATACGTAGGTATAAAATTGCATTAATTTCTGCGCTGCGACCGTAAAAACGGTAATTGCTTTTTTATTTTACGAGACTCACATCAGCCATGAAACTTGGGGGGCGAGACGCGGCGTATCGGCCAATGGAGTATTTGCTCGGCGTTCCGTTTATACTGGAAGAGAAAAAAAATCACCGTTACGCGCGAATTGAAAATTTTTCAATTTCAACGAGATGATTATATCGTTGTTGTGTAGTACCTGTTGCACCTGGAGCCGGCCCGAGAGGGTGAGTCAACGATACTGTTGGTCCTCGCCGAGTACTCGATAGCACGATTATTCGTCAGCGGCGAAGTGAACACTTTGGCGCTTTCGGCATCTTCGACTTCTGCGAAAATAACGCACGATAAATCATATTCATCCAAAAGTGGTAAAAATCGAAACGTACCGTTATCGAAGAAGCCCTTAAAAACTACGAATTTGTTATTCTGCGGTATTGCGCGCTCCAGATGATAGTGCTTCACCAGGAACTTGAGGAATTTTTCCGACGGCCGGTCTATAGCCAACTTGATGGGTTGAATGCTCTCCTCCTACCACGCGAGGGGAAAATACAAAAATAAAATCGGTATATAGCGAGGCTATAATTATCCAAACGCAATTAAGGTCGTTGTATGATTGATTAATTACTTTGAGCATGAACTCGTAAAGCTCCTTGCCCAGGCCCATCCGCTGGCGCGACTCGTGAATGTAAAAGTCGAGTATGCAGCGGGGCGTCAGGCGATACTGGGCGCCGTCCTCGTCGAACATGAAGAGCGTCTTCGAGCCGGTTTTCAGGAGGCCGACTACGCTGCCGTTGCCACTGGAGCACACATCGACGCGTTAACATTTTTTATTTTTCTCGTTAATTTTTTGTTAATATATTTGATACAATGTATTACTTGTTTCCGTTCTTATCGACCATGAGGTAAACAATGTGATCGGTATCCCTGAGCTTTTGCGCCGTCGTGATGGTCCGATTGAGGCCCTGGGCCTTGGCCGAGGCCTCGCCGATGTCGTCGATTATTCTCGACAGCAGTCGCTGCGTGTCGCTGCGTTTTGCAATATCATGCACACGTGTTAACATGTCATTCGGATCGGTATCGAGGTTCAATCGTATACTCACTTGTACTCGCGTCGATCGCCCCGGAAGCCCTCGGGCAGCAGGGTCTGAGTGATTTTGTTGATTCTCTTTGGGAATATTTTATTGACGTCGAAGCGGAAATCCATGATGACGGCAGTTGTTGGGTCGGCGATATATCGGCTTTAACGAATGTATCTCTGCGAGGAAAAAAAAGAGGGTAGAGAGAACGATCGGTAATTGGAAGAGTCGATAGATAAATATTGCAGTTGGGACGAGGTGGTCGCGTGCTCGTTCGACCGAGATATATAGGCAATTTTCATTTATCTCTGTGTACACAATGGTGAACGATACGAAATAAAATAAAAACTTTCACTCGATGTAGGCCTCGGTCTTTCTATCTATGCGCGTTATGGATTTCGTGCACGATCGGAAATGTTTACTAAAAAAAATTATCGGTTTATAACCTCCTATAAACTGTTTCCTATCTCTCGCTCTCTCTTTCTCTGTCTGTCTGCCACTTTTTTTTCTCCTTTGAACCAATAACCGGTATCTCTCGGATATCTCCTACAATCGAGCCTGCCGCCGCTGCACCCAGAGTAATGATATCCTTAATCGCTGAGAATCTCCATTGGGCACACTTTTAATTGGGCAACGATGATACGATTGTAAAGTATAACACGCCCGATCTTACGTTTTTTTCTTTGTTTTTTTTTTTTTATATCTTTCAAGTCATGGTGCTTTTTGTCAAAAACGATCGTGGAATTTTGAGTTCACTAAAATTTTCATATCGGACTATGGAGTCGCATTTAACTGAAAATTTTTCAAGTGAAAAAAAAACAGAAAAGTAATGAATGCGGCCGCCGCACGTTTACAGGTATATATTGTGATATGTATAAACAAAAACGTCGAATCTCGATTCGTTGTAGTCTCTCGATACGATTGAAATTGATTTTAATTTTAATATCTTTTTTTTTTTTTAATCGAAATCTTATCGTCTATCGCTCGGGTTTCTCGTTGCGAAATCTCCCACGTATACGCGTCGAATATCCCATTCGATGATTATTTTTTCTCATCGATCATTGGCAAAATTCGTAATCAATTTATAAGAATTAAATTCGTGTGCACGCCTGCAATATATGTACAAGTATACGCGCACGCGTAAGCGCTCAAGCTGTCAAACATATAGCTCTATGAAACCGGGTGTATCGTGTCCTCTCTATATATACCCGACGAGAAGCCGCCGCCGACGAGAGAAAGAGAAAGAGTCTCTCTTTATAATATATATAGGCGCACCGTATACTATAACCCAGATGAGCATTGATTCCCGACGAGTTTTTGCACACGGCATAAATTAGAAAATTTCTCCTCTCTCTCTCTCTCTAACGAGCACACGCGCGTTAAGGTGGATTTTTCGCAGGTGCGCCGGTGTTTAATCTTTCCTTTTTTTTCTTATCCATCGCGTACTACTATAATGCGGGACGAAGTGCCGCAAGATATCGATTTTATACGTTATCCGCGTGCAAAAACTGCTAAAAGCACTAATCACGCCAAGTTATATTTATACAGTTATAAGTATATACGTGTGTAAGGCTTAGATATGTAAAGGCTCGGCTTGGCGCATATCATGCCGGAGAAAAACCATATCATGCATTATTACGATGTTATACGTCGTATGCCGCGTCTCTCGCGTGGGAAGCAGATCGATCCACGCGCTATAAACACACATACACACCCACACACAGACACATGTATACATATACCTGCTACATATGTAACGCTGTGCTGTATATGGGCGAGAGAGCTTTTTTCGCGCAGCATACGTATATGCATATGTATATAAGCACACACTTGACTCGAGACATACAGACTGCGAGAGAGACGCGCGCGCGCGTGCACCGCGACTTTAATGTGTACTTAACGTTGAACTTTAATTACTCTCTTTTCGTTCTGTATATAACGGCATACATCGGCTTTGTTTTTCAACGATACAATTTTTCATTCCTTTAAAAATACACCCGCGTCGCGATGTAACATCTCCGTTCGTGCGTGTGTGTCACTATACACTGACGAAGCTCGGATTATGCAAATGGACATTTAAAACTTACCATATACGGTTATACACCGCTCTCGACTCGACTCGCTTCGGACTTTGTCTCTTGTTGATATATATATAGATATATTTTTTATATGTATTCATTCGCTCGTCCTCGCTATGCTTTCGTATCCTTCTTCCACTCCTTTTTTAACGCACCACCGCGGATCGCGTCAAAATTTAAAAACCACACGAGTCCTTTTAAAGATTATGCACGATCGACGAGCTGTGACAATAGGACATCTACCGAACCTCGCGATGTGATTCGATCGATGTGCTGAAATTTAAGAGAGACCAACACTTATATATTGACACACACGTACGCACAACAGCCGCAGCAGAGATGGACACTTTGCGTAGCGTGCGATATATGTATGTATTCTGGCCTCTCTGCGATGGTCCCTCTGCGAGGCCGTCTGCTCACGGTACAGTAGTAGTAACTCCGTGGGCCATCGTACTCGCACTGTACTGTGATGCACTACTACTGCTGCTTTACTCTCTCTCTCTCTCTCTACTATACTACTGCCAACCATCGCCAGGCCAAGACTGTACATGTATAAAACCGACAGTGTTGCCAAATCTTCCCACCCATTTTCCATAATATACCATACAGATATACTGCTATATACAGTGTCTAGAGCTTATATAGATATATGTATAGGAGTCATGCCTGGCAATTGCTGATATTATCCTTTTGCGCTGTACGCGCGCAGAGAGTGTAGTTAGAGTAAAAAACGCATTGTACTGTGAATTTCCGGAGTCGCGCCAACTTTTTGTATTATCATATATATATACGGCACGTAACTCCTAGTACTATATACTACTACAGAGTAAAAGGAGAGTGGCGTAATTCCGTTATTGGGAATCGTTGCCCTCCTCCTTCCATTCTTTTTTTTTTTTGCGCTATTCATGGCTAAATGCGCGCACAGCAGTAAAGCTAAAAGCGAGAGGCAATTGCATTATCATTCATTATGTTGTACGACTCTGTGTGTATAATATTAAAAAAGATATTCTCCTGAGCGAAGCTAAAAATCTCTTTTTCCGTTGAACGCGCGGCGCTCTTTTTTACTTCTTAACGGTATGGAAGTAGAGACGCGATTGCGTGAGACAGAGAGAGAGAGAGGAAAAAATGTTGCAAGGCTGACTCAGCTTTGGCAATGGTAATAGGTGACGGAGACAGGCGAAGAATACATTATGCTGTTCTTTTGTTGCACGATTTTCACGATAAATAAATCGTGCACGCTAGATGATCGTCACTCGATGTAATTAAAAGTATAGGCGCAGTAGCGGTTCCATGAATTATAAATCGGTAAAGTTGAACCGATTTGTGTGCACAGCTGTGTTGCATGGCTCTTTATCGTTCGACGAAATTTCTCACGTCAATAATGTAATTATGTAATTCAAGAAGAATAAACGAAGATTCGATCGATTCAAGTTATATAAAGATTATATTTTCATTATAAAACATACATATATCATTTGTATCGATTCAACGCCGGCGCGTAGTAAAAAATAAACTTTATATTTTTCAATGTGAAAAAAACTATTGTCTTAAACCTCTAGGTTGTGTGTCTCGCTTTATATCGTATAACAATTACGACTCATCTGCATTGATCATGGACATCAAGCCCATATCCAATTGTACGCTACCGATAAAAGCTTTCCATTCAGCGTCAAAGTCTTTTCTCGCCTGCCTCGTGAACTTCAACGCTAGATTTTTGGTATCTGCAAAAGTAAACGAATCATTGTAACATCTTGTTTTAAGCTCGTTTGTGAAAACGATCGACGAGTTATCGTTGACTTACCGTCGCTCATATCCGGCGATTGTAAAACCTGGATCGACACGGCGAGCAGCTTTGCGAGATTCGCCCTGATCACCGGATTTCCCATTTGGTAAAGATGAAGAATGGCACGGAACACGGCGAGATTTTCCTCGAAGTCCGTGGCCAGCGGCAGCTGATTCACCAGCACTCCGAAGACGTCCTCGATCGGTTGGACGCCTTCCACGTGGGCCAGCATCATGCGCGCGACGGCGCCGATGATGTTGTCGCGCACCAGGCCCTCCTTCTCCTCGGCCATCACCTCGGACATCAGTTTGAGCAACATCGGGTAGTGCTCGTACATCGAGGGTCCGGCGTGCAGAGCCAGCTCGCCCAGAGCGAAGATCGCGTTGTTGCGCACGTCCTTGGTGCTGTCTCTGGACAATCCTATGGCCAGTGGGGCCAGGGTGTTCACGTAAGGTACCACGTGAGCGCCCAGTATGCCGATGGATTCGGCTATGGTGCCGAGACTGTTGGCTCGTCTGATCTCGGTGGCTTCTGGACCCTGCGAATGGAATAGCGTGCAAGTCGAATTGATATCGAGTCGTTCAAAGGGATCGTTTTAGCGAGTGTGCTCGATGATACTTACGTTTCGTTTGACGAGAATGGGCATGGCGACTTTCATCTGGGTAGCGAATTCCTCGATTGGCATGTGTTTGCCGACGGCCACCAATAATTGACAGGCGTGATCGAACAAGTACTCGTCGTGCTCGGCTTCCTCGGGATCCTCCTCCTCGTCGGGATCCTGACCCGTGGTATCTTGACACTCGGTTTGACCTAGGGAGATTAATGTAAGTTTAGCATTTTACGTATCGTTATAATATTTTCGATTCTTGTTTTTTTTTTTTTTTTTACCTCTCATGACGTCCAGAGCACAATTAACGAATGCCTCCTTGTGGCCTTCTACGTGAAGCATCAAAGCGCCCAACTTATCCAGCAGAGTCGTGTAGCTCTGGAGAGTCGCGATGACTACGTCTCTTTCCGTGTCGCATCTGACGATTTCCGCCAATTTCGGGACCAAGCGGGCCAGCGATTGAAACAGAGGAAAAGCTTTCTCCTCGGTATTTTCCTTCGCGTAGATCATGCACAACTGCGTCAAAGCCTCGATCGCCGAAACTTTGATGTCCTCTTGAGGGAAAGTCAGCAGCTCGAAAATTGCATTGAAGAATGAATCTGTGTACGGCTGGAAAGCCTTCCTGCGAAGCGGCAGGTAAAAAAAATCATTATTTCAGTTTCTATCGCTAAAAGTGTATGATTTTGCGTGTATTTAAAAAAATATATAGTTTACGCACTCGGCGTTCATGGCGATCTCTCGCACGGCCGAGATGGCCGCTTCCTTCTCGGCGACAAACGCGTTCTCCACGGTGTAACCCGCCACGTCTTCGTCTTCCTCGTCGTTTTCCGTCTCGTCATCGGTATTAGCGATGTCTTCCTCGTCTTCGGCTTTCTCCTCCTCCTCGCTGTCGTTCAGATCTTCGTAAATCAAGTGAGCGTCGTCTCCGTTATCTTTGAATTGTGTCTAAAAAAAATTCGTAAGTTGATCGTGAGCAAAACATCGTTCGTTTCAAAATTTATTTGAAAAAAAGAAATGATAAGGAATGCACTTACGATAATGGATTCCGTCGACGTGATGCTGTCCATCATTCTGTCGAGAACCTTTGCTATAACGACGTGCATATCATCCTTCAATACGCAAGACATAGCTCCAAGAAGTCCGTAGACACTTTTGCGCAAATCTGGATCTTCACCTTCGGCGAGTACGTTGAGAGCGTACTGCATCGAATCCTCAACAAGTGGGGCGAAATTTTCCGATCCAATCGTCCGCGCAAAGATACCCAGCGCGTCTGAAATTACAAATCAAACGTCAACATTTTTCAACTTAAAAAGAAACACCGTTCTACAAATTTCCTCGTACCTATAGCTTCGCAAACAACGTTGATTTGATCCTCGTTGGTCAAATCGGGCTTGACTAAAAATTTCTTAAGCATTTCGACTATTTGAGCGAAGTATGGGAGCACGTTTTTCTCGCACGCGGTGCAAATGGATCCCACCGTGCTCAAGGCGCAAGCCCAGATTTCGGGTGCACTGTTGGTCTCCAAAATTATTTCGCTGAGGGCCTTCATCAACACTGGCAAGTACGGCAGTAAATCGTCGCCGAGATTCTCGATGAAGATTTCGAGCGCGTAGAAGACCCTGCGAGCCACAGCCGTCGATCCTTGCGGTTCCTTTTGCAATCGCTGCAAGACTATGTCCAAGTTTTGGAAGAGAATGGGCAGTACTTCGTTCACGTATTTACTGATTTCGGGTTGAAGATACTCCGAAAATTGGCCGATAGCGTAGAAGGCCGCGGACTTGACGATATTGCTATTATTGTTAATTCCCGTGATGGCGAGTTTCAAGAAATCTTCGAGATGTTTGGATCGAATGTAATCGCTGCAACCTTCGGTTACAGTTGCGAGTGATATGAAGCATGCTTTCAATACAAACTCATTGTCACTCTGTAATGCTGGCTGCACGTATTTCAACTGAATAATTTAAAAAAAAAGGATGTTTAAAATGAATTTCAATTTAAGAATAACTTTGGATGGCAATTATTTGAACATAATTTAACTTACCATGACGGTTAACAATGTTGAAGCAGGTATGTTCAATGCTATATCATCCAAAGCTGCATGAGCACTCTGACCTGGTGTTATGCTCTCATCATCGTCGTATTCTCCCCCAAAATCATCAACAGGACTGCTCAATACGGCAAAAAGACATTCTAAAAAGATTAAGTTTTTGAAAAACTTGTAATTTTATACTATTTTTCATTTGAAATATAAATATTTACAAACCAAATATTGAATCAAGTAGACAGTTTTTTAAAATAGTCTTCTTCCTTAATTTAACAAGCCATCCTAGGGATGTTATTGCTCTTGATTTAACAGTTTCAAGTGATTTTGGATCTGAAACTACGTGTATACACATTTTAACAAAATCATTGAAATGTGGATTCATAACTTTTGGATATTCCTCTGTTAATTCATCTAATAATTCAAATCCTTCAATTGCCTTGTCTTCTGAGTCAGCAGAGAAGTGAATTATTAACTTCATGGTTACTGGTATTAACGCTATGTAATAGTTAGTTACCTAAAAGAATTTTTTTTCAAATTAATACTTGAAGTAAAATTATTTTTTGACAATAAATGTGTTACTTACAACAGGATGTTCTGCTAGATAATTAGTTAAATTCATCATTATATTTAAAATATAAGGAGCTCTAGGATCCGAACATTCTTGAATAGAATCAGCAACGTTAGTTAGGATTTTCAAAATATTTTCAAACTGTCCAGCAAAGGTTTTAATAGAGGCCATTTCAGTTAGCTTTTCTAGTATGAAAAGTCCAAACTGTAAACATAAATTTTATAGTTAAAATAAAATGTGATTTTATCAGATTTTATCAAGTTATCTAACAAAAACAAGTAATGACACTTACTTCTTGATGGCTTACTTCTGCGCTTTGCAGTAATCGCATCATTAAATCAAAAATTTCTGGCCATCCATTACGAGCTGCTTCATGCTTTACCAATACTCCGGCAAGATGTGCAACTGATTTTTTCACAGATTTGTCGTTCTCATTCATTAAAGACTGTAAAATTCCATAATAACATTCTTCAAATTTCAAAAAACCAAATGATTTTAAAATTTAAATTTAATAATTGAATGACTGACCTGTATCAAAAGTGCTTTAACTTGTGTTCTTAAGGAATTATCTAACTTACTCCAACCCTTAGATTTACTGTACTTCTTGCGTAATAAAACAGCAGCATATTGTCTGACCTGCATTAGGCAACAATATTTTTAGTGTGGTTCGGAATAAAATATAGGGATTAAAATAAATTACCTGAGCTGATCCTGCAGCAATTGCTAATTGGGCTAATTCCAATGTACTTTGTGGATTTTTGAATGCTTCTCGCAATTTAGCCATACCCTAAAAATTCATCGATTAAAAATCATTTTTAATAAATTTTCATCCGTCATCGAGTGGAAGTTCGGATAATATTTTTAATTCTTTTTTCTTCATATTGATGAGTATGTGTACTTATGTGTCAAGTGTGTAAAAAAAAAGTATAGATCGTTGAACTAACCTGCTCGACGGCGCTGGTATCCGGCATCATGCATTGCAAAATTATCGCCTCCATTGTCAAGTGCATTGATTTCTATAACGAGTTACTAATGAATTCAACTAGGAACCGTGGTGTCCTTGAATTGAAAATGTTACCAAAAAACCGATTCAAACGGGACGTGCAACGGTCTTTTCGGAGCACGGGAGCACGTGTATAGTCGCAGAGCCTGCCGCGTTTGAATTGGAATCGTGAGCAGAAGATCGCGCGTCATATATATTTCTATATATACGCGCAAGAGGCTGCCGGGAGTCACCGGCGGCGGCACGAATCACGCGGTAAATGCCGGGTAGCTGCGGCTGGGCGCGCGCGAATTCTTCGATCGCGAGTCATCGTAGTAGAAAAGTCGGTATTTCGAGATTCTTGATAGCCAAATTCTTTTCTCTTATTAATGTTATACTTCACTTTTAATTTCGGCATGCGTGTAATTATTTGCGAATATATCGAAAGAATATTCGAAGTTATGCGCGGATGAGTGGGTGCGATAAAAAAAACCGGTAAGACACGCGTCATAATTGGAGTTGAATGAAAAGATATAGAAGCTTGTAATATTATTTCTCTGTACATGATTTTTTATTTCATTAATCACGTGAATAGTATAAAAACAATAATTAATTGAGGACAGCATAGTGTAACGAAATGAATCACATTTTTATCACAAGAATACTCACTATCGTTGTGAACTGACAAATTACAATCATGTATTAAATATAAAAATATCAAAAAAGTATGATATAAAAAACTAAAAAAAATACTCAATTTTAATATACATTCTTCAAATTTTCTTTGTGTAAAATTTGTCTACTATCTATAACATTATATAATGATAATAAAGAAAGTTGTATTTTATAATTAAACAAATAATTGACTTTATATATACACAAGATTCGCTTGTCTTCGAAACAATGTGATCAATCATTGCACATTGACTTTCAGTGGATAGCTCCTTCTTTTCTTCTTTTGATTATCGTACTCCTTGGCTTTATTGTAAAGCAGTACACCTGCAAAAACTAAAAATGTCCCCAGAGCTGATAAGCCAGTGACCATATTGTTAAACAATAAAATGGATAGCCATATCAAAAATGCCCTTTTTGCTGTATTTACAACACTGAAAAGCAAACAAATTGATAAGATATTATGAAAATAATTTTCATAACTAATCCAAAGATGTTTATTATTATTACATACCTATGAGTTACTGGGCTGATATAATCCATAAGTACATAAGCTGTAATACTTTGGAAATGGAAAAATATTCCATTTAAGAGGAATGCAGCAAGGAGATGTAATTCTAGGGAATGTTCTATGGTAGAGTAATCAACAAATAAAATTGATACTGGAATTTGAACCACAATTGATGCTAAGCTCGTATAAAACTGTAACTCTGCAGGACTGAAATAAAAAATAAAATGGTAATGATCAACAATAATTGAAAAAAAGTAGGTATTTTTTTTATTTCTGTTTTAACTTACGTATACTTAAAATTAGCTCCACTAATCAGCATTTTGGAATAAACATTTTGTAGGCATTCAGTTAAATTAGTTGCTAATGCAGCTATGAAGCCTTTTGAATTAAAACTAATTTCATTGGCTGAGCACAGGGCCAAGCCTCCCATCACAGGAATCAATGATAAATTAACATATAAACCAGTCTGCTCACCTAAAAAATAAAAAAAGGATTGATAAAGCAATGTTTGATCAAAACTTTATTGTAGATCAAAGATATGTTTACCTAATAAATATCTACTTATGAGTACTGTAAAAAGAGGAGCACTGCTCTTTATGGTTTCGGTAAAACTCACAGCAACATAATTCAATGAGATTAATCCTAAGACTACGGTACTAAAACGCATACAACCAACCAGGGTCATATGCTTATAAAAACCTGGAGGCCTTCTCATTTGCGGATTGGCTTTGTACATGCCACACGGGAAGTACATCTGTATAAACCCACATATCGCTGTCATGAACATTTGACAAGCACCTGAGAAAAAAAAGTTGTTATTATTATGATATTGTAATTGCATGGAGTAAACTTGAAAATCATAAAATCCATACCTAACACAGTGGGATCTCCTTGCATATAAGTCAATATATACTTGTTCAAAAACAGCGTGAAACCGCTGAATATGTACCAGAGGACCAAGAACAGTATGGCCCTCGGATTCGCAAGACCTCCTTTGGTATCGCTAGCGAGGACAGCGTCGTCCGGATGCTTCTTCTCCGCATTCTCGTGGTAGTATTTGGGCTGTGTCGGCAAGATTTTCGCAAACTCGTCGGTCTGGACGGTGACTTGGGTATAGTAGGCCGTTTGATTCTCCATCGTGCCGTTATCGCGTGTGTACGTCCTCGGCTCGACGCGGACAGATTATCGAAGTATATCACCACACAGAACTTTTTTTTGTGCCGCGAACTGAGGGGTAAACAAACTATCGCCGTGTCAACAGCTCTCCTCTACACGACCTCTTGTAGGTTATTTCGTGGATCTTCCATACTGCACGCGACGTGGTAATATCAAAATCTTCGAGGCCATCGTGTGAACTCACGTGTGTGCACTCAAATTAAGGTGACACGATCGATCGCAAAGATTTCGAGTTCCATTTTTGGAAAATGTGTTTAATTGGAGTGAACGACGTCGCCTGGCAGAAAGCAGCTGTCTGCAACTTGCTATCTAGCAGTAGGCTATAATATGGGTAAAGAACTGACACTCCACTATGCTACTATGCTATTATATAGTTAGTTGCCAACGTTGTGGTTTGTAGTTACTTGAGTGAGTTCAGAAATCACAGACGCAGACGATAACGTGACCGAGCAAACACAAAACTATTATAATCATCTATGTTATCGAAATTGAGTATATTTTTTTCATGTAACGATCACGTCCGCACATAATAAAGCGGACGATAATTCAAAGTCATGGCAAGAAACTGAATCACAACATTACATCGATACTTACGAGTTATTCAATCGCTCGAGGATAACGATGCATAAAAATAAATAATGAATTGTAATCGTTTGATTCTTTACGTAAACCCGATTACTAAATGCCAATTAGTATGAGCTTAGCGCATGCTAATCTCCTTTGATTAATCATTTCGTAAATAAACTAAAAATCTTATCCCGAGATCTTTGACCGGCTTTTTTCGCGAGCTTTGACCCGAGGTCATTGACATCGCGATCCTATGGCTACCTCAAACAATGAGTTTTTAAAAACTCCGAATTGATTTTGACGAAAAAAAATTTGTCGTGTGAGTTTGTTTTTTTAACGATTTTCGAATATCTCAATCGTTTATTGTGTAAAATCCAGATTTAATATTTTTTATTGTCAACTATGTTTTTGTTTTTACTTATTTTTAGCGCATTCATTTATTTTCGACGGTCTTCCGATCATAACAAAAAAATGTCTCCAAAATTTATGACACGTTTGTACCGAAAGTAAACCCAGAAATCGTAATTAGGAGTCGCGAACTCCGAAATACTCGTAATTCGAGTCCACACGCGCATTATTTACCTTAATCGTAAACACCGCGCCGTGGTGAAGTCGGCAACAGCGACTGATCGTGGCAGCGGAAGGTGCTGCCACCACACGGTAAAGTTAATTGCAGCGAAGCATCCTCGATCGAGGAGTTGGCCCAATCGAACTGCGTGTGCTTCGTCTGCGCCGTAGGCATAACTCATTATATACATACGGGCAATCTCATATAGACGCACGAGTTGTAGTCGCATCGCACACAGCCTCGACTCGAAACTTTAACTTGGGGAGTCCAGAGTGCGTGTAGCTGCTACCTCCATTTTGTGCGTGTGCGGTTAGTTTTACCTAGCACACAAAAGCCGTTCACGTCTCGGCGTTGGTGTTGGTGTGTAGCTCAACCCAACCAATTTTACATGTTGCTACATTATTATCGTTCGTGAGATAGCAGCATAAAATAACCCTGCCGAGTGTCGTCGGTCGAATCCACGTGAAGGACGCAAAATGACGCAGTTCTTGCCACCAAATTTGTTGGCACTGTTTGCGCCGCGGGACCCTGTCCCGTACCTGCCACCAGTATGCAAGCTGCCCCACGAAAAGAAGACCTCAGGTTATCTCGGTGTAGGATCGTTTTTAAACAATTTCGAGGTAAACTGAGAATTTTTCATTCATGTATGCTTGTGATGATGCCTGATTTGTGAGTGTGCACTACGTTGATCAATGATGTGCACAATAATTGTTTTTTATACTATATTATTTAAGTATATAATTTGCAAAATACAGAGCTATTACAATAATTCTATAGTTTTGCATGGTAGAATATTATTTATTACGATTATGGTTTCTTACATAGGACCCAAAAGACACTCCTCCACCTGTGCGAGTGGAAACAAGAGAAGAAAGATTAGAGAGAAGACGAAGAGAACGCAATGAGCAAGTTGCGTATAAACTCGAGCAAGAAATTGCTGTGTGGGATCCTGCAAGTATACCAAACGTTACTACGGACCCATTTAAAACATTATTCATTGCTAGAATAGTAAGTATTTGAAATTTTACACATAATAGCTATACGTAACCTGAAAAGTATTAAAATTATCTCTAATGGATAGCAAAAGGAATTACTTTGATTGTAAACACACCACAAGTAATCTCTTTAGCTAAAACTCTTCAATGAAATAAAACTAAACTTTAATTTTTTTTTTTCAGAATTATGACACATCAGAATCAAAATTAAGGAGAGAGTTTGAAGTTTATGGTCCAGTGAAAAAGGTAAGCAAATTGACATTTTTACTTGTAAATAGAGCAGCTAAACAAAAACTTGATGGTTAAAGATCTTGTGGTAAATCATTTTAGTTGATTTTTAGTAAAATTTGAGCTTTTTCCAGTATTAATTCAAGTTTTTGTAGCTCTATCATTATTGTTTCAATAATTTAATTAATTTTTCTTATTTACAGATCATTGTAATTCACAATTCAATAAATGGAAAACCCAGAGGGTACGCATTTATAGAGTACGAGCATGAACGGGACATGCACTGTAAGTATTAATCTTATTATTTATTTTGATGTAAATGCGTTCTTCATGAGATACAGATAAAGTTCAAATCATTAAGGCGTGATAAAAGTTAGGGAACTATGGTAACAAAATAGTTGGTAAACTAATATTAACCAAACACAACGGTAAAATGAGTCATAACACTATCTAAATAATATACTGCCTCTAGATTTTTTACAAATAATGAATTTTTCATATTGTTTTCGATGCAGTGTGGTGGTTGATGCCGGCAACTAGTGCCGTTCGCTAGTCTCAATAATAATTCCCTGAACCTGCCTCATTATATAGGTTTGTATGTCTGGTAAGATCCAACATACAACAATTACTATTTCGTGTATGAGTATAAAACTTCAGTTTCTAATTTTTTTCAGTATTTGAAAACAAAAAAAGTTAATCAAATCACAAAGGAAATTTAAGTTCTCTTAAATATCATTGGTAAATCCAATTTTCTCTCTTCTTTCATTATAAATTAGAATTCTAAATTGAAATTGATCATGAATTTGATAGTCAAGGTTCAGGGGTATTCTCTCATCTCTTCACTTGTCATATATTTTGGGGACTAACAATCAAAAGCCAAGAGTTCAAGTGGCTTTGAATTTTCAATTGCATTTCATACCATTTGACTAATTGCTATCACTACAATTATTTATTTAATTTTCAATCGATCGTGCGACAAACAGTTTATTTTACAATTTTATTACTCACTCAATCGATTTATTTGTGATTTTTATCAATTTCGATATAGAATACTAATTTTTTCCAATTATTCATTTTATGATTTGATTGCTATTGATAAAGTTAAATATTTTATGTATTCAAACTTTGCAATGCGCATATATTTAAAAAGAGAAAAAAGCGTGTAAGTAAAAAAGTCAAATTATTAGAGTAAAACAAAAATGCGCACCAGGTAAATTGAAAATTAAAAGGTCTTCGAAGAAACGAAAGCGAACGAAGACTGGATGTCTCATTGCATCAAAAGTCCGTCCTGCTTTCGCGAGTTTAATCATAAATACAATTCTTCTAAACGTGTTAACTTCCGTACGTAAGTAGCCGCGGTAGGTATTTTTTGCATCTCTACTTTATACTCATGGTTACTTTTTTTTCCTCCAAAAATTTTCAACGAGAACGATGATTCGAAAAATTTTCGTCATTCGAGACAATTCGCTTTATCTGGTATCGCGTTGACAATAGCATAAACAATCCCGATGGGATTTTTTTTTGTAACGCAACGGATTGTAAGTATTGAATTATTATTATTTCGTGCAAAATACCTTTTCATACAGTAGTGGCACAATTATAGGATTACCTCATTCACGGATTGTAACTATGGTAAGAATACTTTATTAGAAATTTAGGTGTAAAATAGGTATATGGGATAGTTTATAGCTTTGTTGACCGTGCTAGAAGTAGCAATTACCTCGGAATTTCGAAATTTTTCGATGAAATAGAGTCTCATTTGTGAGTGTAAATAAGAAAAATTAAAGTCATTGGTAAGATGACCAGTAGTCATCGATAAATACAACCTGCGGATTAAGAGAGAGCGACTCCTCACCTTTAAGGCACGTGTACACACTTCTTTGTTCAAGTAATTATTATTAATTTCTTAAAATTTTCAATGATATGCTATTATCATCGCGTAATCGAACACACAAAAAACGTAAGTACGGCAGTACGTGTATATATAATGTAGAAAATAAAAATACAATTATATACTCTTGGTGCTGTGATTTGCGGACGAGAGAAAAATTGGTGCAAACGTCCCCCACGAACGAACAAACAAAAAAGAGACACGTCTACCATAGTTAAACGTGAAAAAGAAAAACATGTAAGAGAATAGTGGTTTGGTAATTTAGGGTGGGTAACACACGTTGGATAAAAAGTGCGATGATTCATAAAAGGCAATTAAAAAGAAAAAAAACTCGAGTAATGAGAAAAAAAAACAATGAACGAAAAAACAAAAAAAAAACATTAAAATAATAATGTGCTTTGTGACGATGCATCATGAGAGTGTTTAAAAGTAACAGTGGACAATTGATACAATTTTTAGCTGCTTATAAGCATGCGGACGGTAAGAAAATAGACGGTCGTCGAGTTTTGGTGGACGTCGAGCGCGCCAGGACAGTCAAGGGCTGGTTACCAAGGCGACTCGGCGGTGGTCTTGGCGGTACGAGGCGAGGCGGCCCCGAGGTCAACATCAAGCACTCAGGCCGAGAGGACAACGAGCGGGAGCGCGAGCGCTATCGACTGGAACGTGAGCGCGAGGCCATCCGAGCCCCTGACCGTGATAGGTAAATAATTGAATTTCCGTTTTGTAATTTCACGCACGTGACAACGCAATCGAATTATCCACGCTCCAGAACGCTAATTTTTAATTTCTCTCTTTAATTTTACAGGGACAGGGACCGGCTGGACCGCGACAGACGTCGATCGTCGCGCGACCGCAAATCGCGCAGGAGCAGGAGCCGCTCGCGCGACCGCAAGCGCCGCCGTAGTCGCGACCGCATGGCCGATCCGGAGATCGAGGAGCTCGATCGGCCGCCCAGGGACCGTAGGGATCGCGATCGGGAGCGCGACCGGGATCGCAAGCGCAGCAGCCGGCGCGCCTCGTCGCGAAGCAACGACCGTAGCGAGCGCAAGGCGGAGCGCGAGCACCGTCGGGACAAGCGCGACCGCGAGCGAGCCGACCGCGGCGATCGCGTCCGCGACCGGGGCGAGCGTAAGGAGCGCGGCGAGCGCGGGCCCGACCGGGCGCCACCGGGCCTGGACGAGGATAACAAAGACGGCATTCGCATCAAGGAGGAGCCCGTCGACGGTGAGTGTCTCTATATTTGTTTCGACTCTGTTGTTTGCAAGCGAGTTTACTAAATGTTTGTGTTTTTTTTTATAGATTATCCCGAGTACAACTATTTTGCACAAGTCAAATACGAAGACTCCGATCAGCCGGAGGAGAAATACCGTATTCCTGAAAATTCTCGACCCGATCAAGGTTACAATTATGACTCGATTACCGACTATTAAAGTATAAAATGACAACAATCTTATTCACGCGTAATTTTCGGTGTGAAGTTTCGCATCATTCAAAACAAATTTTCAATGCTCTGCAATAATACCACCAAACTCACGACTTCAAAATAGTAAATAAAAAAAAAAATTCATCTCAGCCAGGTTGGATTGTATCACTTACCTATGGCATTAATTTTTCTATTATACTAATTATATCTCGCCTATCCTCTTAATAGATAAAATTAGTTATAAAATGAATCACTTTATTGTGATTTGGGTTCATGAACTGTAGAGATAATCGCTTATGTGGGATCAGAAAGTACTATATTTTTAATCCTAAGGTAGTGATTATTTCAGAGTTGAATGGTAATTTTAGATAAAAAACTATGTATATATTTGTAAAACTTATTATTAAAATATAATTTCAGTCAAACGATGCTTATTGGTTTTATAATAAACATTCAATCTGTAAATAAATGATTTTGATTGTCAATTATATCTTGAAAGTGTTCATTATTTATCATATTAAGTTTAATACACAGACAAGTCAATAAAAAGATCATGTATTTCAATCACATAATACTTTTCTCATTATTATTTTCATCTACAAGAATAGAATTCTGTCACGAGATGAATCAATGACCTCATATCATTTATAAAAATATTTTAATTTTAATTTTACCAACTTATAATAAGTGTTACATACAAGACACTCAAGCTCCACATTCTCGAGATAAAAAATGGATAATATGTACATAACAAAATATACACTTTGTTCAACGAATTATTTCGCGCTTTTGAGAAAATCGTCCAGGGACTGTCTCGGCCTGCCGGAATCGCTCGCGGCACTCGTGTGCTTGACTCGGTCCAGAGCTATGTAACACTGCTGCGTGTCCGCGTCGATCCAGCCGACGGGTCCTCTCTCGCAATCGGCGCAGGCCAGATACTTGATGTTGTCGACTTTGTGCGAGACTCCGATGTTCTCGAAAGTCATGACATCGTCGACCTGCCAAAATACCTCCAACGTCTCTTTCTTGTCGATTTGTTCGCCTTTTTTGTACTGCATGAGCGGTAGGGGAAACTACGCGCAAAATTGGGAGAATCAATTCACCGTAAATTTTAAAGGGACTGTCAAAAGTGATTTTTGTGTTGTTTTTTTTTTTTGTCACTTACTTCGAACCGTTTGAAGGCTGCACTACCCGCATTCAGTATTTTGGAAGGACAATGAGTGCAGTAAACTCCGTCGAGATTCATTCCTTCGGAATCTTTCATCGCCTCCACCGTGCACTCGTTGTTGCCGGAGCTCATTATTAATACTTTTGTTTTTTAATCTTAGTCCACTATTATGTGTTGTGTTTACACGACGTTCACCTGACTCGTGCAGAAGTCAAAGATCGACGACGACGCTAACGTGGATTGTTAGGGCTCTGTCAAGTGAATGAGTTGTAGAGTGATGGGATATGAAAAAAGGTTAGAGCCGCACAAGTATCTCCGTATTCCGCTAACATTTCATTGTGATTTGATTGGAGGAAATACGAGATTTTGCTACGGACCGTGATTTAAAAATTTATTTAAATTTCTCAGGAAATGCCGATTATTATTGAAATTTATGGTGTTTTACTTCCATCGGAGAGTAAATAATTTTAATATCATAGATAATGAAGAATTATTGAAATGCGCATCAAATGAATACCTAATTTACTTGTTGTTCAATGTTTATTGGCCAGCATATCCTTGAGCTAGTATGGATATATTTTCCATCAAGGATGGAATTATTCCGCTTAATTAAACAAATTGCCATCGGTATTTGGTAATAAATCGAACGCGCCGAATCCGAAACCTTATATATCCTTTCGCACGCGTCGTTCATTATCGCTACGTATAAAGTGCGCCCACATACGCAAATTTTTGCCATGAAATTGGAAAAGACTATCGATACGTGAAGGTCGCGTTATTTCCGAATGCCAATCTAAATATTCCTTTCAACCGGAAAAAATTGAATTTCGCTAATTGATTGGGTTGGGAAGTGACTCTTCTCCTCTATCGAGTATGAACGAAAATGCGTCGTCCCTTGCTTGACTTGTGACTAAATAAAGCCTTCTCTTTTGCTGTTGCGTAATTCAATAAAAAATAGGGGAAAATGTTTGCTTTTTTATCATTTTTTTTATTCCACTCTGATATTTCTTACATTTTGATACGTCAAAAGAAAGAAGTTTGAAGACACGCACATTTCGATTTACAATAGTTTGAAAATTAAGATGTATGCAAAGTTTAATAGAGATGATTTTAGAGTCGAATTTATTAATAGTGGAGTTGCAATATTTAACATTTTTATCGCTACATATATTCTGGTTGTTTCAAGTCAATATAAATTTGAAAAAATGCGCAAAATCATTGATTGTTCAACTCAGCATGTAAAATTTTTCAATATCAAACAGATTCTCATCATGGATTCAGTAAACATGAATGAAAAAAAACGGAAATTTTTACTAACAAGTTATCAAATATAATAAACGATCAAAAGAAATGATCATTATATATATTTTTTATACTATTAATCACCATACTTTCATTTAGTATATCTAGGAATGTTGCTTTCTACACTTTATACAACACAATGTATTGATTGAAAGAAAACAAAAATATTGATGCATACTTAGGAAATTTGCAATTTTTCACAATTATTCTTAAGCAATGATAAAAAAAATGAATGCACTAACAACTTTATTCATACCCTCTATTCATATGATTCAGTGTCAAGTCTCCTTCATATGAAATTTTCTTCAAATTCATACTGATAAATTTATTTAGAATACCAAATCTTATGAACACAAGGCATTGCCTTAATTAATTAAATTTTATGAAAACTTTTTATTCAGCATAATGAAAAGATTTAATTAACAAATATTCATCGATAGATCTGAAATTTACTTCAACTTAACAAAATTTTTCAAACATTTAGAATTTGATATCGTCTTATGTATTCTTTGAAGCTCTTTTAGTTCTGAGCAGATTGCACAGTACACAAATTAAATATCACCATCAATATTTATCAATATGCATATGTGCACAAACATGCTTGTGAGACAGTGTGACTGGGACGTAGGGCATATGGGATACTGAGCAAAATAGATAAGAGAAAGAGTACCGGAAATAGATTTTAAATTTACAAAATTTATCCACTTTTAAACAAAAGAATTGCAACTTGGCCTAGATAAAAATATATAAAGTTTCTTGTTTCGTGCGTCACATAACTGCCAAAATTTCTGCCAACAATGCAATGCCATGTTGGATTGTATTTTCGGTCAAACTCTTTCTTGATGAAAGCAGCAATGTCCTGTGATGGAAAGAAAAAATGAAGAGTTATTAGTGCGATGTAAGTACAAAGAAATATTCACAGCTATGAAAGTAATGAAGAGTGATTCAATAAAGTCCATTAATAATCAAATTATTCACCTTTTCAATGTTGTACTTTTCCAATGCTTGCGTGGCGCAGTCCACAGCATCTTGCTGCATCTCCTCGGACATATCTGCATTCTTGATAACTGCTTTGCGGTCTGACATGTTGATTGTTCTGTAAAGAAGCAATGATAATACGATTTAAGTAAGTTTGGTCAAAAGCAATTTGTCAGGAAAACATCCTTGCATGTATGTTTGTGTGTGTGGGTGTCTCTCTCACTCTCACTCAATTTGGTATTGACCTAAAGTTTTGTGGGAGGGAATGAGCTATTTTGATAGTTGCATGCAAGTCGACAGCCGGCATTGTCAAAGGACAAGGGCACACAGCGAAGTAGTAACAGCAGTAGTGCAGCAGCAGCAATGACAGATAATCAAAGTTAAAGGAGCGCCAAATTTAGTTGTATCGACTTTGCAGGAAACATAACGGCATGGCAATGGCTCCGTTTCGATGATGTATATTCATGTTTTATTTATACGAAAAAAAAAAAAAGAAAGTTTGCAAATCGGGCAGGAAATATACTTTCGTCTCGTAAGTAAGTAAATGCGCACGTAAGGTGGTATTTCGCTCGGGCAAATGTCTATTATGCATAAATATGCTTTTAACGTGTTGTGAACTGAGCCGAGCAGAGGCTCAAGGAGTAAGGAGCGTTGTGCGACAGCCCGAGATAAAAGCACCCCGAGAGAGGTGAGGGAAAGAGGAGCATGCCTAGGGCTTTCGCTCTCTCTCTCTCTTCCTCGCTTTACTCTCTGTTTTGTCGATAGCGCGCGCCTCGCGTTCGGGAAAATTCAACAAAAATAGAGTAATGAATGTGGCTTTACTACGATCGAGGCGCGCGGGCAAACACGAGTAAAGCGAGCGAGAGAGAGAGACGGAGAGTCAAGGGTGGTATGCACGCGATATAACTTACTACTACTCGTTAAACTAGGTCGGGCCTAGACTCTCTCTCTCTTGCGAAGAAAAAGTCAAAAATTTGCGCGTGTATTGTAGCAGTAGGTTGCGCGGCTCTCGCCGTTTAGGATGACTAAGAAGACGACGGTCGATTATCCAAAGAGAGCGAGAGAGACGGCTTATACGCCGGCAGGAGAGAGAGAGAGAATTTCAGGCTCGCGTTTATAGAGTGCTGCTGCTGCTACTGCTTGGCTATGTTATATATAAAATATCGTTGGGCGGGAAAAGACGAGACGGTGCGAGGGCAGAAGTAAAGAGAAACGGACAGCAGCGAACGAACGAGAAACGCGACATAAGGTGAAACGGCCGAAAGAGAGTCGTCTCTCGCTATCGAAACGAACGAGAAAAGTTCCAGAAGTTTATGTATATTTTTTGCTTGGTCGCTCGCGGACAGATATGCCCTCGATAAATTTGAAAAAGAAATAAACTCGGAGAAGGAAAAAAACAAAACTAACCTTGGCGCTTGGATGACCCGATCTCGGTAAAACAATACTCTGCTGCTGCACGAACGACGAAGACGTACTCGCGCTCACGACGAAAATTTGTTAATGGGTTAGGATTCAAAGGCAAAAAAACATCTCTCGTCTCTAACCGCCGGCGCCCCGTGTGTGTGTGTGCGTGCGCGATTGTCGATTATTCAATCTAGTTAGTTTTTTTTTTTTTTTTTTTATTACGATACGATACTCTTTCAACTTCCGACGTGTGCGTGTGTGTGTGACACGAGACGATACGATACAGTCGCAGCTGCAGCAGCAGCTGTAGTTACATGCGTGGTGGTATAATAAATCGTGTCGCGTGTATGTAATTTTGCGAGATTCGATACGAAACAAATGTGCACCTCTATATATATGCAATGCAATGCAATGCAGTAGCACGCGAATCAAATATATCCGAGTGAAGCTGTGTATGCTTGACAAATTGACTGATTGTCTCTTATCTATTGTGTCTCTCTCTCGGCGAGAGAACGAATGCGAGACGAGAGGTAGAGAGAGGCGGCTATGTATGAAAGAGGCTTTGGAAAATTCGGTGTTATATTCGAATTACGAGCGTCATACGCTACCGTCGTGTACGTAATAATTTATGCGTGCGTAAATGAGTACATTAGGACGCGTTAATAACAAATCTATTTTGTACTTATGCGCGAAATCCCCAGGCCTCTATAGTAGCAGCAGCAGTGAATAGGGCAAAATATATGTACTAGAGAAGCTACAACGGCATAATGTATTTAGAGTGAGAGAGAAAAAAATCGCAACTCCGCACTGCCGCGTGCAGAGTATCTATCTCGACCTATACATTAACGATGTGTGGTGTGTATCAATTTGTAAAAGTATAATAAACAAATAGACGCGGGGGTCGTCGTCGGTTATGTATGCACCTCTTACCTGTGTGTGTGTGTCTGTTTCAGCGAGAGAGACGAAGCCCAAACAAGTACTCTTTCCACTATACTTTTTGTCTATTCACAAAATCGCTCCCTGCGGACGATTAATTACTCTTCAATGTCTGTCGCGAAGCTCAATCGCTTTTTTAGCTATAATATCGATGCCTACGTAATAACGTAATGCACGTATTACAATATATTTCTCACGTTGATAAATATTTGCTGTCAGTCGGGCGACTACTAGTTACTACTGCTGCGCGGCTGCTCGGCTAGCCAGAGACTCGACTCGCAGTCACTCTTTTCTCTCTCTCTCTCTCTCTCTCTCTTGCTCTCTGTACACGAGTATAGTGTAGTGTGGCTTATACAGGGCTTTACTTCACGGCGGTGTTACACGCGCGCGCGCAGCGCGCCAGACAAGGACGCCTATATCGGCACGATGCAGTCGTGGCCCGGGATTGGTCGATCAGCAGCGTCTTCTAACAGCGTCTTCTATCAACCCGGCATGCTTATTTCTCTCTCTCTCTCTCTCTTTCGCACTTGCCGCTGTAGTGTATAACGTGCGTGTATTCGTGTGTGTACGTGTGTGCGTTGCGCCAAAAGCGCCTACTCCGAAACTTCGAACGCGCGTTTCCTACTTACCTTTTTTCTTTTTTGCACGCGCGCATACAAGTCAACACACACACACACACACACACACACGTATACTTACACACTGATACACACGTATCTACACATTGATCTCTCGCATGTACAGAGCGTTTGCTGCTAATCTATACATAAGTAAAGGACCGCGAGAGTTTGCGTGCTTTCATGTATACACCTATATAGCTGCAGTTTATGTACGTATAATACAAGCGTCATCCCATGCTGCTGTGCGCGCGTGCGGACTTTGGGCCGAGCTACATATTGCGCGCGTGTACAATCATAGCATCCACCTACTCGTTCCTCTCTCTCTCTCTCTCTCTCTCTCTGGTGTATTTGCGATATATTGTTATTACGCGTTGTGTCGTCGTGTGTATGAAATTCATGCACCTATAATGCATCCCGGTGACGACGACGACGACGACGATGATATTTCCCCTGATGCGCGGGGATATTTTTAAAACGAGCTCTGATTTTATTTATACCGTACCTATATCGACTTATTTATTCATTATCTCGCTCTTGTATGAATGGGGTGTAGCGTGCGACACCCGCTACGCGCGTATAGTTACATACCTCCTCCTCCTCCTCCGTGCGCAAGTTCACATTTTTTTTCTCTCTCTCTCTTCGTATTACAAGTCATTATATTCATTTTACGTATCGATGGCTCTGGAAATTCAATAAATATAGGATCCTCCTCCCCGGACAGAGCTTACGTACATCGATACATGTTTGTTGATGCGTTAAATGCCACCTGGACGACACAGAGAGCACGCGGACACGAGTTGGCGTTGTGTAGGTATTACATTCGCGAGCTTTTTTATCGCGAGCTTGGCGCGGAGCTCGAGCCCCGCGCAGGGCTTATTTTTAGCGCGCGTACTTTTTCTCGATTTTACTTCCTTTCCTTCCGAAGGCGGTATAAGATCCGGAAGCTGATGGGCTCGAGGAAAGAGATTTTGCAAAAGGGCGCGCGCGCGCGACGGTTGGGACAATTTGGTTTACGCGTTTCTGAAATATAGATTGAATTCCTGACTAATTTCCTTTTTGTAAGTATGTGTGCGCGTATGGGGTACTTTTCTCGCTTAACGTCCCTCGCACGTCGAGACTACGATTTGATTTGATTTTTTTTTTTTTTTTGATTTTCAAAGTATATTTTAAGTTTAGCTGCTGTGAGGGCTGGAGGGATGAAATTTAAAGCAACATAGGGGGAATCTGTCATATTTATAAATGACGTTTGAAAATTTTGCTAAAAATACTTTGTGATAAAATAAAAAAATCTTTTCAAAGAGTAAATAAAGCCGAAAAAATGCGATTCTCCATTTTTCGACACGACCGTACTGAGTTGTCAATGACCCAGTACTAGGGACTAGGTTAAATTTTTATTTTCAATGTCAAAAAACATAATAAATGAATATACGTGTCTATAAGAACATTAGGAACCCATTGCTTCAAATTGAGTAAAAAATTTTAGAATGAAAATTATTATTATTATTATTGTAGGGGATCGAAAACTACATGGATAATTAAATACTGAATAGCCCAATTTATTTGACCAGATCAGAATTATAAATTGAGCGACGAAACAGATTGAATAATTTTCAATGGTATTATGAATTTTCTCTGAAAATGTAATAGTTATAGAATTGAAAAAATATTTTATTGCATCGCAATTTTGTATATATTTCTTTTTATTAAAATAATATATTAGGGTGTCCGGTAATTGGCGCAATCGCCCTATAATCTTGCTTTTTTTATACTTTTCAAAACTTCAGCTTATAAACTTTTAAAATTGTTACAGCTCCGCTTACAAAACTATTCTAAATGCAAACAAATGAAAGATTTTGAACAGTATTATTAGTTTTTTATTGAAAAAATTTGAAAAATCGTAGAGATCTAGTCACAGGAACTATAAAAAAAAAGTGCATAATATTTTTTGTAGTCTTCGTTGTTCTATGAATTGTGCGATATAAATTTCAGAACAGAGAAAAAGATTATTGCATTTCATTGTATTGTCTCGTATCCTTCTCCCTTTCATATCGGATCATTTTCAAGTACTGCCACATGCATTCATACATAATTGTGAAATTGGAGCTAAAACGGGTAAGAAAAAAACGAAAACATGATCTCAATTGTACATGTTTTATTTGAAAAAATGGCGAAAAAAGGATCGTGATTTATATCATTATTACTTAAATGAATGAAACAAAAAATCAAAAATAATAATTAGTGCTCCAATTCCAACTGTTCCTTTACCGAATTGAACTACTTGTCCTTTTTTTTTAATTATTTTATTTATTTATTAAGCAATAAATATTACAATGTATGGATATTAAATATTGATAATCCTGCACACGCAAATGATGTGGCCTGTTCGCGGGACTGATTTCATTAAATAATTATAGTACTTTGAATAATTCCATAAAAGCACAGATTTGTTACTAGACATTTAAACGCGACGTATTATATGCAGGTTGAAGCTGTAGATCGATGAAAATATTTACATTAAAATTAATGTAACATTACAAAAAAATGTTCGTATTTTTCATTAAAAAAACTTAATTTTCATTATCGTGTATATATTAAGATTGAAGAAAACCTTTAAAAAAATAAGAAAATCAGTTCGATAAGATTTTTAACTACTAAATTTAAATTTGAATGCATACAATTCCAAAAAAAACATTCAACCAATAGGATTCAAATGCGTATTCGAAGCTATGCACTACTCCTGCTACACTCTTGATCTTCATTTTCTAAAATTTTCTTTAAAAGAGAAATTTTCACCATGTATTTTCATTCACACAGTTACAGTGTACGAGTTCGTATCCATATAGTATACATTACGATCACGAGGCATGAACAACTACATAACCTCGGGCTTTTCGTTAAATTTTCTTTTAAAAATATCTCGAACGATAAACTATTGAGTGTTGTGTGTCAGTGCGCCGAAAGATTCGTAGCCATGTCATTCTACGTCGCGCGCGCCTATAAACGTAAGTTTACACCAAGATAGCAGCGACTACGCGTCCGAGGGGTCTGATTTTGTCAGCATTCACGAGCGAAAACTAGAAAGAATGAAAAGATTGAGAAACAAGTACGATTGGGACATCGAGAAGGGGAGACATCGTCTTCTCGATAAACTTTCCCAGCTGACTAACAATTTCCAGGGACGCTATCCAGATTTTCATCTCGTATTTCAACCAGATCAGATCCATCGACTGATCATGGATTCCATCGAGCACTGGTCCGATGACCCACGCGTCAATTTCAAAGCATCCCGATTCTTCGAGTTCGTGCATCGCACCGGCTTCATCAACGAGCTCATGGTCGATCGAAAAGGAAAGCCGCAGACTCCCTCCTCGACACTCCAATACACATGTTAGCCAGACGCCGAGTTCCTCGCTTGGTGTCCGGCTTGGATGCTCTCTTCGCCATGTACAACAGTTACAACGCGAACTGCACCGACGAAGTGTGGTGCACGTTACTCAGTGTGGTGTAGGCCGACTCAATGTTGTACTGGTCACAGTTGATCCTTCTTTCATCGGCTGTGCACAGACCTATTCTGTCGTCCTCCAGCGAAATGTCAAACGAACCATCTTGACGAAAATTTCTCAACGTGGACATTGTGTCCTCTGAAATCACGAGAAATATTTGTAAATATTGTAGCTGATTTGAATTTTAGATTGCGGCCAAACTGCTTACCCCAAAAATTTTCATGTTCCGCTTTAATCCTATGCTTATTCGTTGCGATGTACAAATGCTCGAAGCCTAATCCTCGCTTTACCGGCAACGCCGAAAGTCCAGTTATATTCCACGGTAAATGCACCCAACGCTACAAGTTGGACCCGCAATAACGCTTATATCTGGAATCGTAATACACTATCACAGTCTTCAAGGGCTTGGAGTTCGCATCCGTGACTTGTAAATAGATGTGTATATCACCCCTCTCGTAAGACACGATGTCCAGCAGCCTCAGCTTTGCGCCCAGTGGCAATCCCAAATCTTCTAAGTAACCAAATCGACCGAGCTCGTGCAGTTTGTAAATAATTAAATGTGAAAACCAAAGTATCTTAATCAATCCGGCTAACGCATAATTTTGCTTCCTCGTGAAGGAAGCTCTATGATAGGCTGGAAAACGTGTCGACAGGACGATTTGACCTACATATTTGTAAACTCGATTAAATTCCCAACAAATGTCTGTATGTACGTAGGTGTGTATGTGTCTCATCAACCGAGCCGACCCAGCTGCGTTGTTCTGCCCATTTAACTGGCGCATATATGCATTGGACTTTAGCATAATTTACATTTTACATTTTATTCATTTTCATGATTCCTAGGCTAAGAGTAATAATCTATAAAGTAATAATAGTTGAAAAAAATTTTTTTCGACAAATATTTTTTTGGATTTTATCGAATAAAACTTATTTTTATTTTGGGCTTTAATTTTGTGAAATTTTGTGTTTTCTTATTTAATGCTGCGTTTGAATAAGAATAAAAAATTACTAATTATGCTATCAGGGAAATATTTTTCTGAACAATTTTTATGGGTGCATTAATTTTGACTCGATGTTTACATTTTTATAGCTTAAATAATATTTTTGACTTTTTAACAATCAATTGTTATCTTTCATTAGGATTTCTTTCATTTATCCCTGGGTGAAAATAAGCTGTGATTAGTATAAATGCATATAAGACTTTTTCCCATCAATTGAGATATGAAGATTGTTCCATAATACGATAAAAAGCCATCAAATATGACAGTGTAAATCTTAAAATCTAAAAAATAATTTCTCGATATGAGTTTTCGCCTGCAAGATTATATAATTAATCGAAATAGTTTAAATAACTCACTGCGCTAAAAGTTTCATAATTCATGAAAATTGTAGGACCAGCCATGAGTGTGCAAGGATTTTCAGTTCGGAGAATCATGAAGAGAATTAAACGTTTTTCTTTTACTGATAGTAAGTACCATTTAGTATCATAACTGAAAGTATTTCGAATATAGTTTTTTTTTTAAATTTTGTTATAGTTTTAATTTAACTATACCATCTAATTACCACATGCTATTCAACTGATTGCAGGCATATATTATATCTTCACTTGAATAAATTAAGTACAATAGAATCATAACTACTGTTACCATTGAAAAAGCCATCTTTGCGGCATAAAATTTATTGTACGGAATTACAATCACAAACTAAACAATAATGAGACCTTTTTAATAAAAAATTTCTTTGTAAAAAAGGGACATTTCTTATTTTAATAAAACTACCCATATTCCTGTTGAACATAATTCCAAGATTAAAATTACTATTATGATTAAAAACTTTTTTTGTGAAACTTCTCGTAAACCTACGAACAATCTAAAATATTAACGTGATACAATAATTGGTTTTTTCTTTTTCAACATAAAAATATTGGCGTAATACAAGTAAAATTAAAACCACTTAACTCTATTGCCTCTTGGTGCATACGAATATTATCACGAATCTTTCTATTGATTATTTTATAAATTTTTTGTTTATTCATCATAAATGCAGAACTTGATTCTATTTCTTCATGAATGCGTGCCATATCTCGTCTTAAACAAAAATCATGCGGATATTTAAAATTTACCACAAATTACTTTTAATTACAAATTCTTATTTACCCTAACATTTCGAACATTCCTGCTATAAATTTTACTACAAAAACTTGAAAGAAATTCATTCCATTGACGGTAATTATAATTATAACAGTAAGTATCAAGGAGTAAGAAAAAAATATCCAATAATAATTCTTCAGAATGTTTGTAAAATAAAAGGGTACACATAGGCTCCTTTCAGTCGTGTTATTCATTAATATCCAACTACTGACTGAATATTTTATAAGCGGCTCAAGAGTATATGCTAAAAAAGTAACTGATAAAAATACTGCAAAAATAGTTTAAATTATCATTATTTTAGATTTAAATGATACGGTAAAGTCTGGTCACTGGTAGGAGTTTCAGAAAAATTTTGAGTTCCATTGGGTTTCTCAACTTTTCTAGACATAATTTTGATGCAACTAGATGTTTCAAACGTGCTCCGCGCGTGTCAATTTTTTATTCGTGTTTTGAGGTTAATATAAGTTTTAGAAATAGTAAGATTCAAACGCGCTTCGCGTGCGTCAATTACTTTCATTCGTGTTTTGAGGTTACTTAATTACTAACTGTCTGTTGACAGTTAGCAGCACAGGCGCTGGTATCGAGTCGGCTCACGTCGGGTGTTATCGTCAGTGTCAACCAATCAGAGGTCGTTTTACGTGGATTCACTTTTCGGCCGTTATCTTTTTTAACCTTTTCGATCTATCGATCGATCGATTCGAAAATTCGAAAATTTTTTCACTTTTTTATTTCATTAAAAAAAGTAACCTCAAATTTTTTCAAATTTTTTCAGAGATGTTAACGCACCTTTTGACGCCAAAAACCCTTTTTTTTAACGAAAATAATTTTTTTAGGACGATACCGAGCCTCAAAAAATCTCGAAAAATTTTTATCTTGTTTTTTTCATCAAAATGCATAATCTCAAATTTTTTCAGATTTTTGAATTGAAGGTGATAGTTCATAGAGTAGAAAAATGCTATTTGTAATAAAAAAAGGTTCCTAGAACCCAGTCCAGTAAAAAAACTTGAAAATATTTTTTTTTAATTCCTTGTCAAATTTTAATAAATTTTGACCGTTTCAAGTTTTCGATTGAAGCCTTCTAGCTCAATCTAGGGTAAATGTACCCATTACCGTGGGGTTTTTTTCCAGATATTTTGATGCTCGGTATCATCCTAAAAAAATTATTTTCGTTAAAAAAAAGGGTTTTTGGCTTCAAAGGGAGAACATCTCTGAAAACATTTGAAAAAATTTGAGGTTACTTTTTTTAATGAAATAAAAAGTGAAAAAATGTTCGAAAAGTTTATTGCATTCTATCGCTGTATATGAATTTTCAAAATTTTCAATGATTTTTTCTGAAGGCCTGAAGCACTCAAAAAATCTGAAAACATTCAAGGTTGTTTGGATTATTGAAAAGTATTTTTTTGAATTTTGTTTTAGATTTTTTAATTGCTTCAGGCCTTCAGAAAAAATATAGATAGACAATAGACGTTTATAGGTGAGCAGGGGGGTAGGAGGGGGTAGGGGGTCCAAAATTTTGGTTTTGGCACTTTTTTATCATGTACTATAACATACCAAAAGCGCGTCAAGATCGGTGACATACGCGCGGACGAATTTGAAAAAGTATTATTTTGACCCATAGGGTAAAGGGGGGTATTACTGCGCACCTTTCGCATCTCTGATTCTGAAGTAGATTTAACAAAAAATAAAAATGATTTTGATATCGTTCAGACACTTGTAATGAAATGCCTTATATATATATGCGCAATAATAGGTACATACAGTGCGCAGTAATTGATACATCGGTTCAAAATAGGTAACTAAATTTATTTTTCAAATTTATTGTAGAAAAATATAACTAATCAAACTAATATCGACGTATTAATTAAATAGATATACTAAGTAAGTAAAAATGATATTTGCAAACCAAATTGTCACATACGTAAAAAGTTACAAGTACTTTTGTATGGGTGTTATCGGCAATTTCTTTTGTAAAAAGTAGCTCAATTGAGGAGTTAAATTTCAAATCGATATTACATTAATAAATTGATGTTTTAATGTTAATTTTTTTTTTTATTAATATTGTGGGAGGACAATATCTATTATTTAAAATCATTATTACTCATTAATTTACAATACAATTGTCATAAACAATCATTTTCTGCAATGCGCAGTAGTAGGTGCTGCGCAGTAATACCCCGCTTACCCTATATAAATATAAATGTAGAATAATATAATAATATAATAATATAATAATAAAAAAAAAGAGAGAGAGATGTGTCGATTTTTCGAGGGTGATTTCCACAAAATTTATCCGCATAAAATTTATAAATATACAATTTTTTTTCTAAAGCCATTGCTTGTAATAATTACGAAAAGCTGAATTACGTCCAGAAACGCAGCAAAGCCCAGTGGAATAAAAATTATTTAATCACTTGATGGGTTAAACACTACCCCAAGATTTCCAATAAATCGAGTACAAACCAAAGTATAGTAAAGTTATGATGAAACCAATTTTTGCATGTTCTAAGATAATTTTTTTTTCGGCGTGGGATCTGAGATTTTGCCACATAATTGCAATTTTTATTTGCATAGCCTTAACCTTTGATACAGTTATAGTTCTTAATTTATAAAAAAAAATTTTAAATGTGCTTGAATGATTTTCATACATACCTTGCGCAAATCATATAAAAGGGATACGTACATTAGAGTAAAGCCAAAAACCAAGGTTAAAATAAAAAATGTATTAAATATATCATAACTGTTCATAGTCCCTTCACTAATTCCCAGTAGAAGTACAAGTATCTAAAATAAAATTAATTATTAAAATAATAGTTATTCTACTTCTATCGAAGATATTAAAAGGGTTGAAAAATGATACTTATTTATATTTACCATATTAATCAATGCGAATCCTGCAAAGCTGATAACTATTGTTCTCCCAAGTAGTAGAGTAATTTTATTCATACCAGGACAGTCGATAAAAACCCATCGACTAAAATTGGAAATATAATTAATCATGCTTGGTGGTGAATAATTTTTGTCGGACAGCAGAAGATTAATAAAGTGAAGCATTTTTTTTTCTATAACAATGAATAATTTTTAATAACTTTTTTCAACTAATGATGAATAAAGACCTGAGGATATATCAGAATATTGCAGTAAAAAATAAAATTCAAACTGAATTTGAAAACTCAATGTGTCTACTCAAGTGTAAGAATCACATTGATAAGTTTGAGGGGTAATAAAATATGTTTCAACACTTGAAATACTGAGAAACTCATTGATCAGGGGTGGATAAGGCATATTTTTACCTCTAAGTTTGCGATGTACACTTGCATAAAATTTAAATTTTATTATCGTCAGAATTTAATAGTCAAGGCTTTTTCAACAAAAACAAAGAATTTCATTTTTTTATTTTCTTACGATACACGGGGGCCTTTCTTTTGATGACAATGTAGAAACTTAATTATTAAAACAGAGTTTTTTCCTATGCCATTTTCGCCTTACCTTTATTTATATAGTTCTTTAATTTCATTAATTCAAAATATCAAATTTTAAAGAAATTAAGTGATCATTCTAGTTTCAAACGTTCAAAACGTCAAATTTTTGTAGATACATTTTCAAATTGCTTTTACTCTTAAAAATCACTCAAAAATTGGTATAGAAATTCAAATTCCAACTCAGTTAAATTGAGTTTTAGCGAATACCCGGAGCGATAAATAAAAGGACATGGAGGCTTATAACGGGAGGGGGAGCGTGAGTTGAAAAATGCAGATCGGAAATGAAACTCAGGATACGAAAAAGATAAAATAATATTTAATTAATAATTTTTCTTATTCAGTCATGAATAATAGCTTAATATCTATTTCTGCCCCCGTTACTGCGCAATTATAATTTTTAATTTTATAGAAATTACTAGAAAAATGCCTTATAATTAATATAATTCCATTCAAATATAAGATGGATTAAGTTTTTTAGAGAACGTGAGCTCACTGTTATTAGAGATCGGTATTGATTTTGCTAAAATACACGAACGCACACGAAACCGTAATGAAAAATTCATAGTAGTTTTATTATTCATGGCGGGGATTAAAATGAAGTAAATACGATGTAACTTTGACGTCATATGGGTTTAAATATACAAGGAACAGAACGTACCTGTGCGAAACCTTCCAATTCTCTGTCATAAGCTTCGAATGATTTTTAATTTTTTTTTATCCCAGTGAGGACACCAAAGCTTTCATCAAATAAATCGTTTTTGCGTTTTAATTACTGACCTTTTTTACTGGGCTAAAATTTCCATTAGTTTTTATTAATTTTTCAAAACTATGGCAATTATTTTCAAAAAATTGGTAGCTCCTTGGCACTAGTAAAAATTTTATATTACTTTTCAATTCAATGATTAGGAATAAATAGTTATTTAAGAAATAAAGGATAAAAATTCAAAATTTCAAACATGATTTTAAATTGTTTGTAATTTTCATTTATTAAAAACCATATTATTCTACAACAGTACATAAAAATATACAAAGACATAGCAGCATGCCTCGACTCTCGTACAATTTATAAAAAAATGTTTCTACGTCTGTTTTGATCGAATGTCTCGAGAGATAATTTTATTTTATACGAATTGCTTCATTTTCGCTGTTTTTGTCATGTAATTTGCTCGTTTAATTGAATTATTCTTATTATTAATATTATTAGCGAATTACAATTTTTTAATGTATTCAATGATTATTCTTCATGACAATGGAAAAATCGATGAAACAAGGGTTTTATTCAAATAAAATGTAATGCATCGTTTCGAAAGCAATATAAGTTGAAAATTAATGTTTTCTATTGGCTTTGAAATTGATAGTATCACAATTATTCAAGGAAAACTTTGAAATTGTTAATATATCTGTCATCTACTCCTATATATAAATATTTTTCGGATAATATCTAACATTACCTAATTAACACAGCCGCACCATATATATTTACATGAACGCCCACAAGTTTGACATAATTTACAGTAATGGCGTTATATCTTTTCAAAAGAATTCGAGAGAACAAGCCTTTTTCTAAATAATAATAGAATTTTAATTTTGTTGTCAATGAACTCGATATTGAATTTGTGACAAAATTTTTAAACGTAATCATAATTCGATTGATTAAATTTTTGAATATGAATCAAAGTAAGTTTTCATGCTGTCTCAATAATGAGAAATTTTGATTCATTTTTATAAAACGTTACATTTTTAAGTATTGCTTTGTTAAACAGTAGTTTCTCCTAAGATTGCTAGTATTAATATAAAATTGAAAATATCCTTGCGTTAAGTTATAAATATTTTCGTATAATGAATTGAGTTGTAAAATATTTGCATTTTACACAAATATGTACAGAAGTCGAATGAAATATTGATGCAATTCAAACTGTGAAAATTTTCTTATTGGTCCCAAACGAAAAAAAACTCGTTGGAAAAAAAAAATTTTATAATTTCAACTTGATGATGGGTAAAAAGTGATGTTCTCAGGAAATATTGTCACAAACTGTTTGATGTAAAACAGTTATAGTTTAGAATAAAATAAAATACAGTTTTCTTCATTTTTTGTAATATATATTTAATAAAAATGTATGCCATGATTTTATGGACACAGATTTTTCCATATAATTAAAACTATAACAAACGGATCTATAACGATTCTGCTGCTATTGCTCTCGTGTTTCTGGCATATTTATAAAAAAATTTTATTTTGATTAAAATGAAATATTTTTTTTATATCCTAAAGGTATCGTTATACCTTAGCAATTCGGAATGTTTCGTATGAAAAATAAAAAATAAAAATTCATGTCTTTAAATATGACTCATACTCTATAAAAAATAAAATAAATTAATTTCGAAAATTAAAATATATTTGTATACTCATTTTTGGTTAAAACTGTACAATAAATATATATCCATATATATTATGCTCAGAAACCGAGATACTATTTCAAAATGCACAATTAGTTGCATCACTTATTTCATGGAGCGTATCTATAACAATTGATTACAATAACAATTTTGAATTATTAGATAACATAATTTATGTTTGTTTAGGCATGTTTTGATCTTTCACATTATCACTGACTGCCTTTGCTTGGTAATTCGTTTTTAAAAAATCTGTTTAAATATTGTAAACAATTGTATCAACTGCGGCTTAAAAATTTTTCGATTCAAAAATTGCTTTATTTTCCGTTTATATATTCGTTTTCTTTGATTTCTTTTAAAACAATATAAACAACAATTATCATAGTTTACTTAGCATAGTTTTTTCTATATATTATTTACAGATACTACAGTGTATAAATACATTTCAGTATACAATCGATTGCATACACTGTCATATTTTTACTAATCAGTCATGTGAGTTATCGATCTCACAAAATAAAAAAACTAACTATTCGAATTTCATAAATTAATTTAATTGACTCGAATTAAATCAATTTAGAATTACCACTAGCCATTTTCTTATTAAAATACGAAATAAATATATCCGCCTTAAAAAATTAATCTGAATTTATATACAAATGCTCATCAACGAAGCTGCTACAAAAATGTAGAACTATAGATCAGAGCACTTAAAGCTTAATATTTTTATCTATTAACTTTGTACATAAACTCTCTAAAATTCTGTATTATGTACATTCGAAACGTCGAGCAATAAAAAATGAATGAACTCTCTTCTCTGTGTTATTCATGCTTACTGGCATATCATGTGTTTGATATTGGCACTTCAAGGCGCATATACCACAGTTCATCGTAAATCGTTCATTTTTCAACGATTTTCTCGACAAAATTCAAAGTTGATTATTAAAAATACCTATCTTCCACTCCCATATCCTCTTTTTTACGAATTATCTACACATCATAACGAGAACGATACGCACGCAGATATGAGACGGAAGAGAGTTTCTTAACGTATGAAAATTATATTAAAATTGAAGTAATTACAATGGTTCGTTATTACTGATTTTGCTGTTCAGGTTGAACGTACTTCAGCAATTCGTTATAATCAACTGAGAGTAAATCGGAAGGGGGATCGTTTATTTCATTCAAAATTTCATCAATGTCATTTTCATGTTCGTTTGTGGCCGCGGGCGTCTGTTGACTCACATTACCCCTTGCCCCCGAATTATTTTGAAATGGCAACTGTTGCTGCGCTTGTTGCGGCTGTTGCTGCTGCTGTTTATCCTCCTGTTGTTGCTGTGGTTGTTGCTGCTGTTGTTGAGGCAATGAATTCACTGCAGCAACATTTAATCTGTTAGTGTGGGACTTTAGTAAAATCCACCACATTTTCTAGTATTTGTACCCCACCTACTTTTTTTTTGTGTACTTTCGTGGGGCTCTTTTATTACCTGTTGTGGTAACTGGGTGCATCAGATTTGGCTGTTGTTGAGCCACAACCATTTGCTGCGTTGGTGTGGTGACGCCACTTGTACAGACCATGACGCCACCGCTCTGACGCAAAGCTTGCTGGTGCACCATGGGCGAGAACTGTTGCATCGCGGGGAACCCTGTTGAAATTAAAAGACTGCATTAGTTTACGGTTCGTCGTATATTATTAAATAGACCAAGTTTGAAAATGTTTTCTTTACAAACCTGCTGTTTGCGACTGCATTTGTTGATTTTGTTGCAAGTGCATCTGCTGCTGTTGCATTTGCATTTGCTGATGCTGCTGCAGTTGATGCTGTTGCAACTGGTGCTGCGGCATCTGTGCCGCTTGCATTTGCTGCTGATGTTGCTGCATTTGTTGCTGGAGTTGCAGCTGCTGCGGTTGCATTTGTACCTGGTTGAGTACCTGTTGTGGCTGTTGCTGCTGCTGCTGTTGCGGTTGCTGCTGATTGTAGGCCACGTTCCACTGCTGCTGCTGCTGCTGCTGATTGCCCATTCTCATCTGATTCATGTCCATCGCAGAATTCCTAGGATTGTTCATCCTTGGATAACCCCTTTGGGTCATGCCCATGATGTCCGAGGTAACTGTGGCATTTGGAGGAGCTGTGACTCCGCTGTTCATCGCGTTCGAGTAGGCAGCTTGCGAATTGATAACTACATTGGGTGCCGATGCGAGTTGACTGCGCAGCAAGTTTCCGCCCTGTTGATTATTGAGAGCGGACGACGCTTGCAATTGACTTTGGATTGGCTGTTGCAACGACTGTGGGGGCTGCTGCTGTTGTTGCTGCTGCTGTTGCATTTGCAATTGTTGCTGCAACATTTTTTGACGCGCGGCAGCCGTGTTCACACCAGCAGCTTGCTGATGATACCTCTGCTGCTGCACAGGCATACTCATTTGGTTTATTTGTGTATTCTTGTACTCTGGGGGTGGTGGCCTGACCGCTATGCTACCGGACATCGCGTTCATATTGACTTGCGCATGCTGCAAACTTTGTTGCTGCATCGTTTGGCCCTGCATTTGCTGTTGGTGCATCAGTTGCTGAGTGCTCAACGGCGATTGACTCAATGTGTGTTGCAGAGTCGGATGCTGCACCGCTGGAAGTTGCGCGTTTTGCGGTGGCAGCGTTGGTTGTTGCTGCTGCTGCTGCTGCTGCTGCTGCTGTTGCTGTTGTTGTTGTTGGGCCAGCGCCTGCTGCTGCTTCAGATGTTGCTGCATTTGTTGTTGTTGCTTCTGCGTGAAAGCATGCGCGTTTCGAGCTTGCGCCAAAGTCTTGGCGTGATGATCCGGAAGAGCATTGGGTCCGTTGGCGCTCGGGGTACGATGAGCCGCCAGTCCAGCGATTTGGTTCATGTTATTGTTCATATTATTGTTCATTTTGTTGACAAACGCCACATTCGTCGAATCGAGCTGCAGTTGTCGCTGCAGCGCCTGTTGCTGCTGTTGCGCCTGTAGTGCCTGTTGCTGCTGTTGTTGCGCCGCCTGCTGTTGTGCTTGCAACTGCTGCTGTTGTTGTTGTTGCTGCTGTTGCTGCTGCTGCTGCAATTGCATCTGCAACTGTTGCTGCTGATGGTGAAGTTGCTGCTGCTGCTGCTGCTGCGTCGCCAATTGCTGTTGCTGTTGCTGTTGCTGTTGGATTTGCTGCTGTTGCAGTTGCACTTGCTGTTGCGTCGCCGCTGCCGCTGCGGCCGCTGCTGCCACTTGCTGCTGTTGCTGCATCAATTTTTGTTGCTGCAGCTGCTGCTCCGTGAACCTGCTCTGCTGCTGGAATCGGTTTTCATCCTCGAAACTGTTGACGCCGTACTGTAAAGAAGAAAGAAAAAGAGTTAGTTCATTGCTCCTTCTTTTAAAGGGTGAGGGGTATACGTTTGACAAGGAAATCCATATAGTGCAACTGCATCGAGAAATTTATAGACGATCGGCAGCCCGATAAGGATAACAAATTAAATTATCCTGTACTCACCCAAAATCGAAAATCGATCATTACTTTTTTATACCAATCTTATATTTTCGTCGTGCCAATGAAGCTGCCGATTTCGATCAATGCTCTCAGGGAAAAGAAAAGCTCATACGTTTCAAAGTCCCAGTGACAGAGACTCGATGCATACGAAGCGACACGCTTTGCTAATAAGAATAGCATAGAGAGCGCATCGCACGTGCGATATACATATTGGTAAGGCAAGCAGGCAAGGGAGGCATGTGTGCGAGGTATCTCTCTCTCTCTCTCTCAGCTCTGTTCGACATGCAGAAGAGAAGAGATGCAATGCGATGTGGTCGTCTCGACGACGCATCATCGGCAGTCTCCTCGCTCATCTGTTGCTGCTCTGTCGCTGCGTTACAGTATTATAAAAGCACAAACCGTGTGCACTTATTATACACGCAGAAGAAACGTAAAACCGAGAGAGAGCATCGACAGCCAGCAGGCCCACGAAGTAAACGAATACATAGACCGTGAGCGAGAGAGAGAGAGAGAGAGAGAAAGATAGTAGTATAAGTGTATGTAGCCTATGCACTCTCCTCCTGCGCGCTGTTATAGCAGCAGCTCTGCTCTCTCCTCTTCGTCTCTCTTTTGCTGCTGCAGAGAGTGAGTGAAAGAGCGAGAGCAGCAGCAACGCGCTCGCTTGTATGTGTGTGTGTGTGTTAAGTATGAATGTGTGTGTATGGCATGCGCAACCGTCTGCCTGGCTGGTCTGGCTCTCTCGGCAGAACGCATTCACTTAGGTAGAGGTATATATGTATAGCAGCGGCTCTCCTCCTCGCGCGCGCGCTGCTGCTGCTGCCGCCGAATCGATCCTCTTTTCCAGCACTATGCCGTATTTTGCAAATCACTCGCCGCCACCGCCGCGCGGAGAGCAGCGACTAGCTTCTCCCCTATACCCACTATGCACACACACCGTGTGTATGCGCGCACATAATGCGGCACTTGCATATAGAAGAGTAGCGGCGAGAAACGAGAGAGATGCAGAATAATATTAAACTCGCGCTGTCTTAAATACTTTGATCCTGACCAGTATCATGCGTTTTTCGGAGCTCTCTTTTTTCTCCTCCTGCTACTCTCTCTCTCTCAGTATTGTGTGCTGCTGCTGCTGCTGCTGTTTGTGTAATATATGGTAAAGGAGCGCGCGCGCTGTGCTCCACCTCATTCCGGCCTCTGTATCATATAGTTGACCGGAGTAGAGGAAGGCAGTCAGAGGTTGCTGTGCCGCCAAGTATTTCGCGCGTTGCCTATTTTGCGCCGCGCATTCTCTTGAAAAAAAAGTATCAAAGCTCGATTTTTTTGCTTTCTCTCTCTCTCTCTCTCATTCACTTTCCTAAGATGACGATCTCGTTTTTCGAGCTTTGATCGCGGCTCGTGCGACTGCCGCTGTTGCTTACTGCTACTCGCGCGACTTATATGCCGCTCCGTGCGTGGTAATATGACGTTATACAAATGTTGTATATATACAGAGAGATATAATGTGGGTTATTTTTTCATATCAATCCCGCGCGCGCTCCACATACGCGCGCGTTTATACGTAGTGACGTAAGTCGCAGTCAGCACGGAGAGCATTACGCCTTTTTCTCTCTTTCTATATACTTTCAGCACGCAAGTTCGGTTATGAAGAATTTTTCAACGAGACAGAGAGAAAGAGAGACCCGTAGAGATCGTTTTTTATGTTTGTGTGTGTGTATGTATACGTGTGTTGTATATTTTTTGTCTATGCGCCGTGCGAAGACTGTTGCTCAATTTCGTCAACTCGAATATTATTTTCGTATGTACGCGCGTGAGTTGTCGCGCTTCCGCAATTATATATATTTAAAAAAAAAAGAATCTTACTGCAACGTGTGTTTACGGCAATGTTCCCACCGAGAAGATCTACGTTGACATCTACCCGTTTTTTTAACACATTGCGAAAATGCAGAAAAAAAAACACCGAAGATGTCCAATCTATCTAACTTACCCATCGAATCTCGTCGTTTGGGTATTTAAAAGGTCAAACGACGCGATTCGATACAAGTATCTCAGCAAACCAGCACAAAAAAATTTTAAATCTTTTACAATCCTGAAAATCACTCTGGATTAGCGTCAAATTCGGATCAACAATCGTTGAAAATCATTTTTAAAATGAACTCGCTACGACATTACCATGTAGCGTTACAACCCGTCAATTCCACAAAAAATGAATATATAAAAGATTTAAATAGCCAGTTTAATAAGATTTTAGTGAACGATGATTGCCTCGTTACTATAAAATTAAAAGTCCCTATAAATTCGTTATTTAAATACCTTGTACGCAATCGGGCGCGCGCGCGTGTGTGTAAATATCTTTTTGTGTGTGTGTGTGTGTGTGTGTGTGTGTGTGTGTGTGTGTGTGTATCAGTAAAAGAATATCTGCGTAAACGGTCGCAAAACACCGCCGCAGAAAGAGAGAGAGAAAATCAGCCGCGAATAGCGATGCACATCGGCATGCCGCCGCAGAGAGTATAAGTAAAAGGCCGAAGATTCGAGCACAGCAGCGAGCGCGTGCGCAAAAGTTTTATAAAGGAGCGAGAAGAGAAGTATAAGCTAAATACGGGGTACTCTCTCACATACACACATACTCTCGTTCTCTCTTTCTCTCTCTCTTTTCGAATCCGGTTGACTTGCTAATTTTAACTCGGCCGTGACACTAGAACCCATCGACTACGATACTCGGACCGTCATCTTTAACCGAGCAGTGTGTGCGGCGGCGAGATGTTGTGCAAAAACAAACAGCGATCGGCAAGGAGTCATCAGAGAGCAAGCGAGAGAGAACGAGAGTATTATATTAACACCCCATAGGATCGTTTATATAATCGTTATTACTTTTTTGCCAAGCTCTTAATTTGTCGGACCGTGGATATCTTCTTTTAGTCCATTTTGATGCTTACAGGCAAATTTACGTAAAATGAACTAAATTTCGTTAGTACCGTTTGAATGATTTCACTAATACAATTCGATGATGTTCAATATAAAAAGTATGTTCGTCGAAAGTTAACCGAGTCTCTTGCAGTTACACTATTGAATTTATAAAATTGATCGAAGAAAAGATTGAGGTACTTACAAGACATAGGGTACATGAGGTACATGAAGTGCATGAGGTACGTGAAGTACTTACGGGATTGATGACGGTGCCATTTGGACTAGTATTGTGACCAGTTTGCTGGGAGATCTGCTGTTGCAGCGGCGACGGCACGGCCCCCGTCACTGGTCTAGGCGAGGTGGCGTTGAAACTGGCACTGCCGGACAATCGCTGAGCCATCGGGTATCCCGGGCTGCCGTGATTCGGCATCGGATTCGGACTGCCGGCGTACGGCGAGAACGGCTGCTGCCTGATGGAATTCTGATTAACGATGATGGAAGATTTGGCATTGGCTTGACGCTTGCTCTCGAACTGTTGAGCTTGCGTCGACTGTGGGGGCTGTTGCTGCTGTTGCTGCGGTGGCTGCGGTTGGGGTTGGGATTGTTGCTGCTGTTGTGGATGTTGAGGACTACTCGCCACGAAGTCTTGCTGAGGAAATTGCGGCTGCTGCTGCTGCTGTTGCTTGGGCACGAAATTTCCCGTCTGCTGCTGCGTCGTTTGGGCTTGGTTGGGTAAAAAGTCGCCTCCAAATCCAAAGTCGGCGCTGTAGGGCGAGCGGGCGCTCAAGTTCCGACTCGCGGCGGACATGGCGGCGGGCGCCACACCGGGAATCGGCGGCGAGATCTGATTGCTTTTGTGATTGTCGGCCATGACTTTGAGCGTGTGTGCCGCCCCGCTGTTATCGTTCATTTTGTACATAGGCGACCTGTTCGTGAACGTGTTGACATTCACGTTGGGCGCGTACGCGGGCGCTTGCTGTGACTTGGGTTGATTCGGCGATTTCATCTTCCGAGTTTGCTGTGGTGGTAGTGCAAGTGCACCATACGGATGTGCCGCTGCTCTCTGCTGCTGCAGATGCGTATGCTGCTGCTGCTGCTGCTGCTGCTGCTGCTGTTGTTGGTGTTGCAACTGTTGTTGTTGCGCCTGCAACTGTTGCTGCTGTTGCTGCTGTTGATGCAATTGTTGCGCCTGCAACTGTTGTTGTTGTTGCTGCAGTTGCTGTTGTTGCTGCAGTTGCTGTTGTTGCTGCTGTTGCTGCTGCTGCTGCTGCTGCTGCTGCTGCCGTTGTTGATGCTGCTGTTGCTGTTGCTGCTGTGCCAGGAGCTGCTGTTGATTTTGAATTTGCTGTTGTATTAAGGCTTGATTGGATCTTTCTCCCGCCGATTCTTTCTCCCGGACCTTCACCAGCAGAGAGTCGAACTCGTCCAGGTCCGTTTGAATTTTCATAGCGTCTTGAGATGATTGTGTAATTGGTACCTGTGATATTGTTGATGTGGTATTGTTCTCGACGGCCGGGAGGGGTGGGTTAAGTGGATTGGAAAATATCAAATGGTCTGGATCGAGAGCCTCAAAACCTTCAACCACCTCGTTCATGTCATCCGGAAGATAGACGCTGAAATCTGCAACGAAGTGCGGATCGTTGAGATCTTGCTCGCCCAGTCCCACAGCTCCAGCGGCAGCCAGTGCATTGTTGTCTTGGGCGGGAGCAGGTGAGAGTCCTATCGCATTGTTCTGAACGTGTGAATTGTTCATCATTGGCGGGCTTCTGTCGTTCTCCGTTTTTACTTCTTCTTTGCAATCTGTTATGGCGATAAATATCATTAGAATTGTGGTATTGAAATATTTTAAGAATTAAAACTTAATCTAAAATCCGACTTGATTGAAAAAGAATCGTCCTCATAATTTTTAGTATTCGCGTTGTAAAGTAATTTTGACAAGTATAGTGAATACGTTAAATTAGAATCTCAAATTTATTATAAAAACTGTAAAAGTATAGTAATTTTACTTTTTGTTTCTTTTATTTGACCGAAATTTTTCCGCGGGTAACAGCTAAAGAATGAGGACGCCAAAAGAGAATCGAATCAATTGAAAAAAAAAAAAAAAAAAAAACCAAAACAAATAAACTTACATCCATGATAGAAAAACTTACTCGGCATGAACAGTTTTTCGCTCTGTTCATTTTCCAAGAAATTGACCACCGAGTCGACCGTCGCCGGAATATTTTCGCTCTTGATCTGCGTTTGCGCGTGTGTCTGTAGCTGCGCCTGTGCTTGCGCTACTTCGGCCTGAGCTTGGGCCTGTTGTTGCACCTGCGTTTGCGATGGAATCTGACCCTGAGCTTGTGCTTGTTGGGCCTGTATCGCTTGTTGTGCTCTTTGGTTCTGCTGTGCCATTTGCATCTGTTGTTGCTGCTGCTGTTGCTGTTGCTGCTGCTGTTGTTGTTGATTTTGTATATTTAAACTCGGATTCGGGAACTGCGTCATATTGTAAGGTCGCTTGTGCGTGGGTTCGAAGTCTGTCGGATTATCTGCGTCCTCCTGTGATATCGGCCGTTTGAACTTAGAAACCTGCAGGAAATAGAAATGAAATTGATTAGCAAAGATGATAATTTAATAATTTATTATGAAAATTTTAAGTATCAATTTTTTTAAATAAATGAAGGTGCTATGCCGAATCATAGTGTCATGTAGTTCATGATTGATAAACAATATAATCAATAAGGACCATAAGCAGAATCAAAAAGGACATAGTAATTTTGGGAAAGAACTAAATCCTAGCTAACTGGGTAAATCGAACAATTGGCGCGTCCTTTTTCTCAAACCAATCGCAAACGAGCGTCAAGTGGTATTACTAGAAAAAGCAAAACAAACTCTGAAGCTTATACTCTGCTCTAATGACGCGAAAAATTGAAAATTTCACTTATTTCAGGCGAGATACAATTAGCAAGATTTTTATCGATTACAAATCCAGATAAACGGATGCTCTTTTTTAGCCTACGACGTACATATTATATACACATTCGTAATATGTGAAAGATAAGATAAAAAATATGACAAAAGCAGTAGGAGAAATTCTGCTGCTGTATGATTAGAGAAGGGGAAGGCTTGGCCAAAAACTAAAAGTAGGTGAGATAATTAAGTCTTTTTCTCCTTTCTCTCTCTCACTCTCTTTCTTCATTACGATTGCCCATTGTGGTAAGCCGAGTGAGTAAATAAGAGAGAGAGAGAGAGAGAGAAAAGGCTGAAACGAGCGTACTATCGTGTATTGCTTCCGTATAAGCTAAAACTTTTCGCAGTGTTTTTGCTGTATACTGTTAATATTTTTTGAAAAACTATCATTTTTTATGGCGAAAAGTCTCTCATTTTCACTGCGCAGAGAAAAAAAAAGAACGCAAGCTCAAACAGAGAAAACCGGAAATGCCACGATCCACGTGTTCATCAGGCAATAATTGGATGCATTTTCCGTTCTTTCCATGAAAAAAAATGAAACGTGTTTTCTATCTTCTATAAGTTTTCAAACTCTTCATCAAATCATATTCAAATTTTAAAAAATCCTTCGTCACTGCGTGAATAATTCTTCAATCGTATAGAAATACCCGACTCCGACTCATGAATCATTGTAACAAAATCTTTGAAAAAACTCCTTGCATTTGACTAAATTATTTAGGGCACAATATGTATAAGCACTTATTTCCTTGCTCACTTGTAGATGGCACATCTAATACTCGCAATCACAAAGACAGAGGTGAAAAACACTTAAGTACTTCTGTTTTCGTCGATGTATTGTATTGTTTTGGACAATTCTATCTCCCCTACTTATATTATTATTCTATAATCCCCTATTTATATTATTATTCTATAACTTACTTGTTTGAACGGATCCCACCGTTCCGTTCTTCTAGCAGCGAAAGTCTGCTCGATCAACATAGCCTGAAGCTGGCTGATCGCAGGCATGTTGCGGCACGCGTATCCCTAATAACAAACACTGCTGCTATGATAAGATCGATCATAACAACAGCGTGCGCGTTTTGTCTCGAAAATCTACTGCTACACCACGGGTTCCGAGAGAAGAGCGCGCCTCACTTGTACTTTAAACTCGCGAATATAGAAGCGACGGCAAGGAGACCTAGAGATTACGACGCTCGCTCTACACCGACTAACTGTGCACTGTGCAGCGGTAGCAATGCCTCTCTCGGTCTGGTGTATAACGCAAACTCGCTTCTGCAAAAGCACAGGCGGCGGTGTGTAGCGTGCGCAGGCAAAGGTATAATACGACGACGCGAAGCGAGCAGGCCGCTGCCGCGTGTGGGTGGGTGGGGATAGTGGAGAGAGAGAGAGAGAGAAGAAAATTAGAGATGCGCGCGCGACGAGACTTCACTGCTACTACCACTACCGACTACTGTACCACTACTATGAGCCAAGCGCCGCTGCAGCACAGGAGTCTTACTCGGAGTCGGACCATGTCCGAGCGATACGACGACGATGATGCGTGCGCGCGTATCTATCTATCCTCCTCCTGTATAGTATTTTATACTTTCTAAATGCGCCGATTTCGTCTACTTACGACAAAAAAGAAAAGGAAGGAAGAAGAAGGGGGAGTATGACGAACGATCGCACTCGTCTTATCTGGTTCTGATAGAGATACATTTAAACACGAGATCATTACTTTTCAATTGGGTGATTTTTTTTGGCCTTTCTAATTTTTCTTAGTCTTTGAAATCTACATCATCTAGCTATTTTACGAGCTGTGAATGTAGTAATTCGCTTTGACACTCGAGTGTACACGCAGGCGAGATTCGTGGCATTTCGAGTGACCAATTTTTTCTGCCTTGTTGGCTTGCCACACATCCACTTGAAAGAAAGATGCAAGAATCGGCCATTATTTTACATGCACCGTAGTCGTTGACGCACTTTTTTCGCCCCTCTTCTCTCTTTTCTCTCTCTCTCTCGTTCACCGGGTGGATAACCCCCGGGAATAAATCACACATTGATATACTCCACTCGATACTTCGCTCTCGAGTAATATACGTATTGACCCACTGCGGAGTGAATGAATTTACATTCCATTGATAATATGCTAAATTTAACAATCGACTCGCTGTATAATCTCGCGTAAAGGGAAACTGCATTAATGCGCGAAAGGGTGTAAATGCTCGATTTTCCCGGATTGTAAATTGAGTGGAACAACCTTGTAAGGGCAAAAAATAATATAGTGCAGTCTGATGTCAGCGTGTACAGTGTAAAGCTAATTGGTTACGTAGTTCCCTTTTTTTTTTTTTGATTTCCGGAAATATTCCGAAAGACTTTCTGTCTCTCTCTCTCTCTCTCTCAAATACTTGTATAATCGACGTCTTATTGTTCAATGCACACTGCAAAGTTTTCAAAACAAAGGTTTGTTAAGAAAAGATGCTTGTAAATATTACACCTTTAAGAAATATGGACGAATTCGATAAATTTGAATGGTACATTGTACACAAGTAAAGGTAAACAAAGTCGATATAAAAAATTAATTGCACTCAATATACTTTTGCATCTTTCTCCCCAGCCAAAATGCTGTAAAGGCTCTAAAAATGGTCACTCCAAAGTTGATGTAATACAGCTGCGCGCGCGCCAGCGTCTCATTCTTCACGCTAGGCACGCGCTTATTTCGTTCCGGATCGTAGTTTTGATTTTGATCGATCGTATCGAAGTCTCGCGCGCGCGAGAGGCCAATGTTGTCATACAATAATTAGACGAGCTCGGAACACTTAAATAGTCTTCGACTCGATTCGTGGAAATTGCGAGTATCAGATGTGCCATCTAGTATCGAGTCGAGAATTAACATCGCACGGGAATAAGTGGTTCAAAAATGTACCGGTACAATTCAATAAAATAGTATCTTCTGTATTATCGGGATCTTCATACGGATTACGTTATTAATCCCAGTATGACAATCCTTTATCTAAACGAGTCTGCAAGGGGTGAATTATTATAAAAAAAAACTTGTTTTCAGTAGCTCAATGATGTAGAAAACTATCATCGGGCGAATCGAGTTTACTGACTACATGTTATTCCATACCGAGATATCAATTAATAAATTTTCACTTCGGAAAAAAGTTACGCATAAGTAACAAAACTTTGCCCAAAGAACGAATGCTAACATCTCGTACTTCTCGATTCAGAGATGCTCGTTTAACTTTTCGACGTTACAACACACAATACGCCGCGTAACGAGGCGCAGAGGTAAAAGTTAAAATCATCGAGTCAGAGTCTGTACTATTTTTAAAATCTGAACTTTTTTGATGATAAATTTTTGTACGTTAAACTGAAGCAACAAGGCAATTTTATGGGGGGTCGAACGATGAAATGGTAACGACAAGAGGTATACAATGTGATGAAAACTTACTAAATGCTTCACCAATGCTTTACGCATCAACATCATTCTAGCGCTGTTTTCTATCATGGCGAAAAAAGAAAACTATATTCACGATCCGGAGAGGGGGGGGGGGGCAAGGATAATCGTCTCAGCTGACTCGGCCGCACGTTGCTCAGAGCGGAAACCTCGTCGATACACCACCCTTCGAACGAGAGATAGTATATCGATCAGAGAGGCAGCAACGGCTTACTTCATCAGCGCTTCGTTTCACTAAATATATCCAAGAATGCACACAACTTCCTCTTCGGAGCTCGAAGTTGGATTTAATAGATAGTTTGGCGCGGAGTCGATGTTACTGTACGCGCGCAATTTAAGGCCCACACCCCTTCGTGCACAAAGAGTCGGCGTTTATGATATTACACGCGCGAATATGATCGAAATCAGGACCGATTTCGAATCGTACTGAGAGACGATGATCGTCTCTGCTCGAGTCGGTGCCTCTTCGATAGTCCAAATGTAAATATTACACAACGGGTAAACAGGGAAGGAGGGGGGCGGTTGTACAGTCGTCGAAGAAAAAGGAGCATCGTTTCGGAGTCCAGCGCCCCGCATTATTAAAATATAAATTCATTATACCGCAGCAGCAGCAGCATGAGCATCGGGGCATATATTCGCGCGCGCGCGCGCGCTATCTTTGGGGCACACGCATGGCCGAGAGCGAGAGAGTAAAGCTACGACGACGAGCACGACGTGCACTTTGTGCGCGCGCGAGAGCGACGGCGGCGGCACTCGTGAGAATGTATTGATTCTCCGCCTCGCCACCGCCGTAGTGGTGCTGCCCGCCCGCCCGCTATATACTACCACCACTACCAGCAGCAGCAGCAGCAGCAGTGGCAGCGGCGCGACGTTCGATGCGGATGATGCTGCAGGTGCAGTACGTGCTGCTGCTCACACGTACGGATATATACATACAAGTGCACTATACCACTTGTATGCATGTGTGAGTGAACGTGGAGTATTTATATACTCAAGGCTCTATTTCGCGCCGAGTTGCGCTGCACCCGGCGCGCAGCAGCAGCAGCAGCAGCAGCACGCGATATACGAGCCTAAATACGCTAAGGTAATGACCATAAGCATTGGGCTCGCTTGTGTCTGTGCGTATATAAGCCACCCTTACGTACACTGGAGTATCCTTGCGAATGCGCATGGCTCGAAAAGTAAAACGTGCGTACGGTATTTTACAAGTCTGGGGGGCAGTATACCAACATTGGGGGATACCACCGCAGTAGTAACATCGAGGGCTCCAAGACGTCGTCCTCTCTACGTCGACAATTCTCAGCCGTGTGCGAGGAGTGCGACGACGACGACGACGACGTATTATAGCATATACACACATCGCGCTTCGCTCGCCTCGCCGCCGGAAGTTACATGTCGTTCGCGCGCGTGGGCACAACGTTGTGCTCAACGTTGCTGCTGCTGCTGCTGCTCGCCTCTCGTTCGTTTCGTTTCGTTCCGTTCGTTCGTTCGTTCGTATACTCGAGGCTCGCTGCCTCGCGTTATTGATTCTTCGCGTTGCAGCACACAGCAGAGGCACGGGGATATGAGGAGGCACAGGCTACCGTCGTCGTAGTCGTCTACGTAAAAGAGAGTAGTAGTCACAAGGAGTGGGTTATCGACTATACACAGCGGCACACACGGGGGATATGCTCACGCGCTCTCTTTCTCTGCCTTCGGACTTGAAGCCTACTTTTTTTCGAGACGTATTCGACTTTCGCAAGGGGAGAGAGGAGACATTTTCAAACTTCGGCACACCCTTCCGTCTCTTGCTTAATGCGATAATCTATCGAGAATATATCAATAAAAATGTTTACAACTACGCGATTGATAACAATATAGTAGTAAAATATGATGATGGTCGACAACTTACCACGGCAGCAGTCGAATCGGCCGGCTTCGCCTTCTCGCTCTTCTTCGACCCCCTCTTCGGCTTGGAGTCGATGAATTTCGTCTTGAGATTGTTCGTGTCGTTCATGTTCTGCTTGATGATGCCCTCGAACGCCTTTTCGAATCGCGGCTCGACGTCGGCCTGGCGCTGCCTGTAGCCGTTTATCCGGCGCGACAGACGCTCGACGGGCTGATTGGCATCGGGAATGTTGCCGGTGGCAATCGCGGCCGCGTGTCCCGCGGTCTGCTGTTGCTGTTGTTGCTGTTGCTGCTGCTGCTGTTGTTGTTGTTGTTGCTGGGACGCGGCAACTGCAACGGCATTGTTACCACTGAAGGGGCCCATACTCGGCAGATGAGCAGCATAGCTCGGGCCCAAGTGTTGCGAGTTTGACAATTGCTGCTGCTGTGGGACCCCCTGTTGCTGTTGCATTTGTTGCTGCTGTTGCATTTGCTGCTGCTGCTGCTGCTGCTGCTGTTTTTGTTGCTGTTGCTGTCTTTGCTGTTGCTGCTGCGCGTTAATTTGTTGCTGCATACGCTGCTGCGCCGCAGCTTGCTGCTGCATTTGATTGTTGGTGGGCGGATGCAGCCCACCGGAGGGCGCGAAGCCGGTCGGCGGAGCTGGCGGCTGCTGCTGATCCGGTCTGCCGCCGCCGCTACCGTTTGGCGGCCCGTTGGGCGGCCCTTGACCAGGTTGTCCTCCGAGGCTGGGCATGCTACCTGGATGCCCAACTCTACTGATTAAGGCAATCTCCATACACTCTTCCAAATATATCGCGGGCGATTTGGGAATCGCCGGTTTTACGCCTTGAGGAGCCGTTTTGACTGATTTCGCAGACTTAGCACTAGTTTTTTTTTCACACCGCTGTAAGCCAAATTTCAGCTGGGTAAATTTGGCAGCTGTCGTGGTTGCTGCATAAGTTTACCTGAAACAGGGCAAGGTAGAAAAAGAACGTTTTAGATATCTTCAATGATTGGGTGCATGCAAACAGTTAAGGATATGTAAAAAGATAAATAGTACTCTTTATAGTTCTACGCAATACATCTATTTGGTTGATATGATTTTCCACTAAGTATTTCATTAATCTATCATTGATTTCATACTGTCACTCCAAAACACAATTCCATGCGCACATGCTGAATTTAAGTGTGTTGTATTTAGTGAGCGGGTGAAGGTAAAGTAAATTTCACCACGCTATCGACTCTTGGGCAAATCATGATTTCCAAATAAGTTACAAATTACTGAAGATAATTTCATTTATCTTCAACATTGTTAACTTTTTTAAGAGAAAAGTTCTGCTCCCTTATTGAGAAAGCTCTAGTTATGGGTCTTTTTTGTAAATTTTTAGACCATAAATTCGTAAACTAAACTTAGTTTGGGACTAAAGTCTGTACTTATGTGTATAGGTGTGTGTATTTGTCTGTGTATAAAAAATGAACGACATTTCTCCAGAATAGCTTAATACATTCCATTCATACGAGTAGTTTCTATTTTTTTAAGGATGAAGCCATAAAAAATTGTATCCTGATCGACTTATTTCATAAGTTATTTAAATTTTTTATATGATTTTGAAAATATTTTTCGTTTTTTTTGTAGAGTTGAAGTTGTTTCAATAAAACTAAGGATTCGTAGATTATTTCCAAAGTTGTAAGTGGAGAATTATTTTATGAAATGTATAGAGAACATATATCTATGAAAATATAAATCATATTTTTAGGAGGAAGCTCTTTTTCAATTTATTTGCGAATCTTTTTCAAATTCAAGGATACTTATTGTTTTTAGAAACGAGGACATTTGTCAGGCACTTAAAACTGCATGAATTGATTTATTAACCTAATGCAATAATTTAGATTATAGTCCATCAATGGGTCGAAACTGCGAGGAAACATTGAAGAAATGAGTGTTTTATCTCTCGATTAGTATCAGCGAAAAAATTGTTTATTCAATGAGTAACGACTCGAGTTCACAGGGAAAATTTAGCATCAACAGAATACGAAGCTCATTGATCGGAATACCAACCAATATCCGGTGTCAATGTCAACAATTCGAATTTCTCATGTAAAAAAATTTATTCAGACCGCAATGTGGGTGAAAATCATTCAACACATATTTTTTTATTTTTCAATAAATCAATTATGACGAGGGGTATAACATTTAAATCGATGAGAATGACGTCACGACAATAGAAAAAAGGGATAATGATAGAGAACTTCCTTACAGGTATGACGTAGAGTTTATTTTTAAATAGCATACCTCCATTAATAATGGATTAATTGAAAAAGAAAAAAATTATATTGCCATGAAATTTTATATTATCTGGTTTTCATCAAATGTTGAATGAAAAGTTCAATTTGAACAACATAAAATGTGCTCATTTTTATAACTAAATCAAAAGTAAATATAGTGTGACAGAGTAAATCAAAATATTTAATTTCCTAATAATTACTGAGTAAGTATACAATCAGATTACGACTAATTTTTGAGTAGTTGCTATATGATAGATAATTCTTATCTCTATGCAAGTTTTAAGATTCTTGTTAAAACAAGAAAAATCAAGAAATAGCTTTAATTTTCCAAGACACGAGACTCGAACTTTCCGTAAATGAAAAGAAAATGATTATTTTTGGATCTTTTTTCAGTTTAATTTTGGGATAAGAATAGTTGATCTAGACGGCCAAAAATGTCCTCGATAAGTTATAAGTGCAGGACAAGTGCAAAGGGAGCATTAGTATGAAGAAAGTTTTAAAATCCTTACACCAAGAAACAATTTTTGAGAGAATATCTCACAGTTACGATAAACATACTAATCTTTCCTACAGTATTTTTCTCATGATCTAATTGCCCCGTTACAAAAACAAAAATTCCTGTCTACAAGATAACAAAATAAATCGATCCTTACGAGTCTGTACCTTTCGTTCCTCTTTTTTCGTCACCCACTGCTAAACTTTCCAACTTATCTGGGATACCAAAGTCTTGTTCACCGTCGGAAGTGTAATCACGCGCGGCCACGAGATTTCTGGAATAATTTTTCACGTGGCTATATATCGAGATGAAAGAAATTGCGCCGGCACATATAGGCTAAGTATGAGGCACTGGCCATACGTAAAAGGCTACATAGGATCACAGAGCTAGAATGAAAGAATTTGAATCCGGAAACTTGATATACCCCTACTACCTGCTACCATCAGAGAGTTTCATTTTGTCTTCGTATCTATCATCTCGAGTCTATGTGATCAAAGGCTACGTATTATATAGATGAGTAGCGCATGAGACACAGTGCCTGCGAGAGACAGAGACGGAGAAAGAAAGTGAGAGGCAACGGCGGTATAGCAACGCAGACAGATAGACAGACAGCGTATATAGTGGCGCGAGGCAGCACGGCGCACAGCACACGAGGCACAAAAAAGTGGACTTTGCTGCTGGTGCTATAAGCTGCTGCTGCTGCTGCTGCGAGGGTGGCGAGTATATGCGCGCGCCACATGCATACGTTACAACAGGTAGTTGCACTGCGTCGACGATCGTGCCTCCTCCACCTCTCTTTTTCTCCGTCTGTCTCGCTCGATCTCGATCTCTCTTTAGCATTTCAATTTGGATGCGTGGCTGGCGTATAACGCCGCTCGTCGATTTGTATGTATATAATATGAGCAGCGGGTGCTGCTGCTGCTCGTTGAGCCGCTGCATGGAAGCGAGAACTTGCCGACTCCTATTTTAATAATACTCGAGCCGAGATCTCCGAGTTGTTTCCGAAACCTGCGCGTGTATGAACTCACGCACGCGTGTGCGTGCGAGGTGTACGATGTATTATGTGTGCGTGCCGACTAGGCAGACGAAAATATAATGACGCAACGCCACCGTCGCGCGAAAGAGAGAGAGAGAGATAGAGATAATATCATCGATGGGCAAATTGACGTTTAAAGCGAGAATACACCTACTACTGGGTACTATATACACACAAAGACTCGGATTTTGCGCGAGCTACTTTTGCGTCAGCAGTAATACGTGCAGCGTCGATCGTGCGTAGTATGTACAACATACATCCACGCGCGCGACTAGGGGTGGGGCATCTCTCGCTTTGGTGTCGCGTATACATGCATTGCCGTACTATATACAGATGGTGCGCAGGCAAGATGCACAAGGTTCGAGAGGAAGAAGAAGCAAGGGACGAATTCGACGACGACGAGTAATTAAAGAAAAGAAAAAATGAAAGTAATAAAAAGGATTGAGTCGCGCGACTCCGAAATGAAGAGCATTTTTATCTGGAGCCGCTTTGCTGCTAGGTGCTATGTAGCACAGCGCGCGAGACAATTACACGGTATTTTTCGGGGCCTCGAAAAAGACAGCATAGAAAGTATTACGAGCTCGAGCATATAAGCACGGCAAAGTGTATATAAAAGTGTATAGGGATTCGTCGTCGTAGTCGGTCGCAGTTGTGTGTCGGAGACCGAGCCGAATAGGTGGGAGAGTGTTCGTTGGCAAAACACAACCTTTCACCTATATATATATAACTACAACACGGCGCGGCTATATAGAAGGCCCCGACTATAAGAGCCGCCGACGCCGAAGCACAGCGGTGCAGCTGCATCCACAGTTACTCATACAATCTTGCGCTCACGTACGTGTATGTGTATGTGTGTATACGTAAGTGTGCGCGTGTCCGTACAGGCATCCTTAGTTGCCTGCGCTGCTTATGCACACTCACACATGCTATTCAATTTCACTTCTCGAGTATATAAGTATACAGATACGCAACGTGCAGCAGGTCTACGTACTCTTCTCGCATGGTAAGGTAGAGTCAGGCAGGCGCTTATATACAGCGCACACGCAAAAAGCGCATATAAACGGGTACGCACGGTTCGGATAACTGTCGTTCGATCTCTCTCTCTCTCTCTCTCCATCTCTGTCTCGCTGCTGCTGCTGCACCGTCGCGAGAGGCAGTTACTTAATTGATGTTTTCTAATAGGACGACGAGCACGCTCACACACACCTACATAGCCATACATATATACGTATAAAACGCACGGCGTGCTGCGCACGCACGACGGATCGCGCACAAGTACACATTGACATGAAAGACTCACGCACACACCCGTAGACACACACGCGCGACACGCACGGATATTGAAGAGAACGCGCGCGAGAGAGAGAGAGAGAGAAACACAAGCATGTATCTGTATATACAGCGCGAATACCCACCCACCCAGCATGGCACGAAGACTTTTAAAATGATAATACACAAACACGAGGGAAGCGAGTTACGATACGATACGATGATTGATACGCGAAATGTGCTTTGCTTTGCTGCAGCACACGCTGCTTCAGCCAGATCATAAGTACGAAAGGAAGGAAAAGGAGTATTAAGAATATAAAAAGGGGCTTCTCTTACCTTTTTGTAATGCTACGGCACTGCCGCTGCTGCGTCGATCGTCGTGGGTCCGAAGAATCAGCATAGCCACTTTGTGCCTCGATACCAAATGGATGGGACGAGAAGAATGAATATCTATATAGGCAGCACAGGCGTGCACTCACTGACTCTTCTCTTATATACTAATCGCCTCAAAAATAGCTCGGTTGTTGATTGCTGCTGCTGCGTTCGTATAGCGTCGTATGCTAGGTTTCTCTCTCTCTCTTTCTCTTATAGTCGCAGCGCAGTGCTCGAGCGACTGTATACGGAGTTGTAGTAGTGGAGGCAGCGATGGTTAGCGAACACCGAGCTGATGATTTTTCCTTGGCTTCGGATCTAATGTTTTTGTTTTGTTGTTGTTCGCACTCGACTCCTTCGAAAACTTCGGCACAGGAGAGAAATCGGTTTAGTTTCTCGATGCACGAACCATGATGATGATATACGCATACACACGCATGCAACACGGACACGGCGTGTGTATATCGTATATATCGTCGGGTTTGGATGATATATACGTGTATATAGGTAGTCGTGTATTTAATCGCGTTGCACGCTACGTTACATAACCTCCAAAATAACGCTCTCCTCTGCACTTGTATACAATACAAAGTGACAGTGTGCTAGGTAGTACGGTTCTTCTTCTGTGAGCCAGCGTATCGCGCGAGCACATAAACAATTTTTTCGGGGGCGTGAATAAGAAGTCGGAGCACACATTCGGCACACTGCTCAGCAACACCGCTTGCTTGCTGGGTGGTTGAACTTTTTCTTTCTTTGCTTCACTTGTTGGTTCTTGCGAGACACAAACACACGGCACTGGCACGCACAGAGATACACTTGTGTGTGCGTTTTTTTTAATTTCGTCGTCGGCGACCTCGCGGCTTTTAAATATATCGCGGGGAGAGCTATCGATTTTTTTTGAAACACTTGGACAGCCCCGAAACTTTTTTGCAAGCGCACTAATTGTGTTTTCCACCGGCCGCACGATAATGTTAAATGTTCGTTGCTCGTATAGCCGTCACTTCTTTCTCGGTTTTTTTATTATTCCTCGCGATGACGATCGTTCGAAGCAAGTGAAAAAAAACGACAGTTCAGCGAGATGATAATTCGGCGTACGACACACTGTGCACTAACATATATATCTATACACAAAATATATACACGGCACACACGCGTTTATAACGGAATGACGCGAGAAAGCCCGTCAGCGATAAATATTATATACATATATATATGTGTGCCAAGAGTGTGTGCATATATATACGCGCAAAGAGAGTACGCTTATGTATACACTATATAATGTACAGCTCGCGCGCGATATACGTATTGCTGCTGCATGTAAATATACGTCAACGGCGCGCAGCACACACACTTTTACACGCGTATAATATAAATGCAAAATCGGAGCACACACTTCGCGTGGTAAAAAGTAAGCAGTGCACAGAGAGAGATACTCTCGTTTCTCGATATATACGTATAAGTTTTGTATTTTATTAGAGCAAAGACACACACTCGCGTCGATGTCGCGCGAGCGAGTCCTTTTTATTATTGGAGTGAAAAGCACGCACACGCGATCCTCACTCAAGGAGAAAATATATATATACACGATCTTGTATATAAACACTCGTTTTTTGAATCATCCACTACACAGAGCACTGGTCGCACGCGCGCAGCACACACACACACACCTACACATGCGCTACACGTACATAAACTGTATACGTAGTTTACACTGTTTAAACTGTATGTATTAACTGTATGTACCACTTGCAGCGCAGGACGATGATACCGTCCCGCGGATGATGACGACTCCTTTTCCGAAGAGACTCGAGTGTGAAATAAATATACGTCGTTTATACTTCTCGAGTCGAAACGTGAAAAAAGTATAATGTTGTATAGCGGTGCTGAGTCCAGACAGAGAGCAGCAAACCCTTTCCTATATTCGGGCTCTCTCGCTCGTCGGCGCGCGTGTTATATTATATATAATATATATAATCGGCACGCACCGCTCCTTCTCGGACTCCTATATATATATCATATATACGTCTGTTGCGTATATATACGAGGCTTTATTTTTCGGAGAGCGCGGATTCCTTTTTTACATTCGTACAGCTACTTGCTACTATACGGCGCGGCACACACACACACGCGTATATATGGTTATATACGCGCTCGTGTGTGTGTATGAACGGACTTGGCGCAGCGTCGTCGTGGTCGCGCGCGCGGAAACACGGAGCTCAACACTCGGCACTCACTGCTGCCGGACTGGCTCTCTCTCTCTATAATACACGAATATAAAACGCGCTCTCCGCTCGTTGCTTGCCGTGACTGCGTGTGGTATATTGCGCCCGTTGTCGTCGTCGTCGTCGTCGTCGTCGCCGCCACCGTCGAGACTCGAGCCGCCGCGAGGCCTGTGCTCTGTGCACCTATATTACTTTTATATACGTGTGTGTGAGTATACACTTTTTAGCCACGCTCCGTCTCGCTTCCACTCGTGGCAATATTACATCGAAGCGATACACAGCACTACTACTCCCCCTACTATATAGCTCTGTCTCTCCGTCTCTCGTTCTTCCGCAATGCCAGGCAGGCTAAATCGTTGGGCTTATATAGAAGCTTTTACAAATGTGTGCGTGTGATGTACAGTATATGCCTTAGCTGCACTACGCTACTATACATATATATTTATTGCGGCACGCGTGTGTCTATCGTTATTTTCCCCTCTCCTTTGCTCTCTCTCTCTCTCTCTCTTGCTTGCTGCCGTTGTAGCCACTGCCGATGCTGCTCGCTGCCTGTGTAGCTTTGCACGGACGGTACAATCATGTATATCCCTGCGGTTCGAGTAATAGTAGAGAGTAAGAGAGAGATGACGAGAAACTACGACGCGATGGTCGTCGGTCGGTCGGTCGTCGTCGCGCGAGCAGCGGCACACGCTCCGAATGTATCTATGTGCTGGTTGCACGTACTCGGTAAGCTTCGGAGCAAAAGCATATAGGCTCGCTTTATACACACAAACGCACACGGATAGGCTTTACACGCACACTTGCGGACACTGTGCGCCACGGCATGTGCTCCCGTATAACGTATATATATATACAGGGGATATAGGATGGTGTGTCGGGAAACGTTTGCTTGTGCGCCTTTAAAAAGGCGAGCGATGGGGCATGTATGTGCGCGGGTGCTGCTGCGGAGTTTTGCGTTCTATGGCGCGCGCGCGAGCGAGTCTTATTATTACAATATACATCCTATCCTACACCTAACGCTGTATCTATCTATACGTAATGCTGCGCTACATGGCTCAAAGCCTGGGTGAATGGCTATAAGGTTGCTGTGCGCTGCGCTGCTGTGCTGGAGAGCTTCGAGCGAAAAGTATAAGAGAAAGAGAGAGACATGCCTCTAACTCGAGCGCGCGCGTCTGTTGTCTCCTCTATATGCGGTACAATTCCATGATACCAAATCGAATGTAGACGAAGGGAGGCCAAGGGACGATCCGTGGTTCGCAACGAATTTTGCAATCGGTTCATTTCGCTCCGAATTCAAAGTTATCCTGGATGATGCAGGTTCGGGACTATGAGTTCTCAACAGCTTATAAAGACAAATACCCTATAACTAACGAGTCTCTTTATCGTGTGATCGGTGAGTGCCGTTCGTGACACCACCGATAAGGTGCATCGTCTGTACCTATAGGGCCACGGATTAAACCGGAATTAACTCGTTAAAAATCGAATTCACGAAATTTTACCCGAATACTTTCTGGTTCCTATAGCAATGGAACAATAAAGTCTAATAGTTAAAAGTTAATGAGACAAAACGGAACTAACAAGAAGGCCTTCCCATCTCGAGATCACCCTGATCCTCGCCAAAGAAATTTGTTTCGATACTGCTCGTATACTTGAAATTTAAGCCGACTCCTCCAACACTTGCGTTCGTTCTAATGAACCTCAGAGGTAATTTTTAGAGATGATTTTCTTTTACACTGAAAAATCTTTACGATTTAAACGATAAGAATGGCTTTATGATGAACAATGTGATATTTCGTAGTTACTTAATTTTGCAAATATGTGGATAGAGTTCGTTTACCTCGTAAATACCAGAATAGGTCCGTTCGATTGTACGCCAACTCTGCAATAATACAATGAGCAATATTATATCGCTTTCATGAGTGATAACGGCCATCGCGCGTCCTGCAAAAGTTTCATTACCTGAACCATTTTCTCTGATATTGCGTGAGCCTCGTGATTGTGAGTCAATGTTAGATCGAAGAAAGTCAAATCCCACGTGGTCAAAAAATGAGCTGAGCAGACTGGGCTGTCCAGGCATGCCCATTCCATTGCGCCCTGTCTTTTTCCCTTTTTTTCGAACAGAAAGCCATCGATAAAAAAATGGTTGCGACATCCTAATTTGACCAATCCTACTTGAACAAAGTCCATTTCTTTTTTTTTTTTTAACGATTCACCAACGATTTTCGGCAGAGTCAACGCGGTACACAACGAGTGAGAAGGGCGCGAAGGTTTCGATCGAACTAAGTAGTCAATTTATAGTTTCACAGACTAGAGCCAGGCGTCTGTATACGTAAAATTGTAAACATGGAGATTAGAATAAAGTTGATATTTCGATACGGGTGTCTGCTTACGGATAACGCCGATCTGCGATTGATATAACGCTATTCGATGAAATTGAAATGTGGTTTCAGGGCATTGTGTCAATTACAATTTTTTTGGCAAAGATCTGTGAGCTGGAGATTGAAAGGTCTCCTTTTTAGTTTATCTTTATTGCAGCGCGGGCCGTTAATTAAGGAAAATTACAAAATCTTATGTCAATAACTTTTGAATATGGAATTTCTTCATTTCGTTGCAAGGACTTAAAAAGTACCAGTGAAAAATTTCGCGTCTCCAATATTTAACGAGTTATTCACGGTTTAAACACTTCATTAGTGATCTATCTACCCTTTCCTTCCTCGTCTAGATTCTTACAAATTTTTTGCTTATGAAACCTGTGGTATAAATTATGCAAATGATTATGAAAAAGAACAACAGTTGTAAATGTACTACTTATAATGCAACTTATTGACTTTTGAACAATGTAAAGAAAAGGGGAAGAAAGTTTATAAGCATCGATTTAAGGGAACTGTGTACACGAAGTTTTTTATTTTCGTTAGAATTTCCTACATGAAAATACAAAATTTCGTTAACGAAATTTTACCCGATTGGCCAAACCCTTTTCGAGTTCCGATAATTCGTTAGAACGAAAAATGTATTTAGCGTCTGATGTAAGTCTTTGTAGTGAAAATTTGATTATTTTCTTGTCGACTTCTGACGTAAAATTTCATGGACTTTTAGAATCTCTTCAAGTAATTGCTATGAAATTGAATTGAAAAATATTATGTATTCTGGATCATTGACATTTCGGCTTTGTTCGGTTTAATGGCACGTGCAAATCGCAGTACATTATTACGAACAACGATAATCGACTGTAGAGGGGGCATATGGCGTCACGGAGCTATCACAATCACAAGTTCACCTCACCAATGCAGGAGTAGTGCGTTCAGTCACTCTAAGCGAACAAAAGGAATTCCTGCAATAAACAAGTGTTTACAAATTGATGAATTCGAGGTACAGTGTTGTTGACTACTTGAGGCGCATATTTGCCACAAATCGTTTGGATACAAAGGTAATCTCAAAAATCACATGAATACAGTGCATGATTGTAGTAAACCCGTCGAGTGTGATATTTGTTATAAATCATTTGAAACAAAATATTACCTCAAGCTTCACATAGATACAGTCATTGGCGTGGGCAGTATGGGTGCCGTGGGCGCCGCGGCACCCCCACTAATTTTGAAGGAGCGCCTAGAAGCGGAATATTTAAAAATAAAAATCACCCATTTTTCACGTAATAAACATATTGATAACTAAATATGGAATCGTAAATTACTAAAGCGCACATAGTGTTTAGGAACCGAATTAAGCCATACCAAACTATTTTTTTTATCTTTGAGAACAAAATATTGAATATGTAATCCAAGTAAATGAAATAATAAATGCGAACAAACTAAATCAATTTTAAATATTCAATTGTTGCTCGTTCAAATAAAAAAGTGGTCAAAAAACTAGGAACGTTATTTTTTAAACTGATCGTCTCACAGGCCTGTCAATCATAATTTAAAAGAGCGAACGCGATGCACAGTCTACAACCAAAAAATTTGGCATCGACAATGATGAACTTCGAGCAGAAGTCAGATTACTTCGAACGAAGAAAGATACGAAATCATTTCCATGCACAGTAATTGAATGGCTTAATTGGTTATCTATACAGAATAGAAAACTTTGTTACCCCACTTTTTATAAATTAGTATCTACGTTTGCGTCAATTCCTGTCACCAGTTGTACTTGTGAGCGTAGTTTCTCTAAACTTAGCATCATAAAATCAAAGCTACGCTCAACAATGTTGCAAGATCGTTTGGAAAATTTAATGGTTCCATTTATTGAACAAGACTTGGCGGTAAATATTGATCCTATTGAGGTAATTGAAGAATTTAAAAAAATTGTTCCTTTTGATAGACGCATAGTATTGTAAAATAAATTATATTTTTATCAAATTTGTAATTTTATCTAAGTATCTCTTTTTTTGTACCCCTTTTTCTAAACTTACATTATTTATAATTATCAATAAAAATTAAAAAATTTTGTACTCATCAAAGTCTAAAAAAAATATATACAAGCTGAGCAGAAAATTTGAAATTGGCACCCACACTAGTTGAACCCTGGCCACGCTAATGGATACAGTACATAATAGTTGCAAACCCATTGAATGCGAGATTTGTCACAAATTATTTAGAGAAAAAGGTAAACTCAAAAGGCACATAATGACAGTTCATAGTCGCAGCAACCCTTTTGACTGTGAGATTTGTTACAGATCATTCGGACCAAAAAATTATCTCAAAAGTCACATAAATTTAATACATGACCGAACCAAACCCTTCGAGAGCGAAATTTGTCATAAATCATTTGGAAAAAAAGGTAATCTCAGTAAGCACATAAGTTTAGTACATGATCGCAGCAAACCTTTTGAATGTGATATTTGTCACAAATCATTTGGACTAAAAGATGATCTGAAAAATCACATAAATTAGTACATAATTGAAGCAAACCCTTTTTAATGTGGGATTTGTAACACATTTTTTGGATACCAGCAAACCTTGAAAATCTACATCAATCCAGTTTATAACTTAAGCAAATACTAAGAGCGTGAAAATGGTTTCAAGAAATTTGGGAGTGACTCAGACCTGTGCGCTCAAAATAAGTACGCCTCGTATGTTTTTAGGACTTTTTCATGATGATTATGTTTCAGTTTTCATGATTATCTTTTAGTTATGTGATGAACAATATAAAGTATTTTAAATTGTTATGAATTATTTCGTGGCTATGAAAAATCTTTTACTCGTATTTTCGACATGAACTCCATAATTAACTCTGTTTTATTTTTAATTCGGTTCCTAGGTATTGCTATTGAACCAGTAAAAAATATTCACCTCCAAACAAAAAATATTCTTGAACTTTGCAAGCCAAATTCCACAACTGATTCTCATACACGTTTTAACAACATCGATAGTCGAGAAAAAGAAACTTTGTAAGTTGTGATAATTCATCCCACTTTATGTAAAGAATATCGTGCAAAATATATTTAATAATCGAAAGATATTATAATCATGTAATAATAAACTCTGATGCAAATTTGGAAGTAGTTGCGTAAAGTATTTAAAAAATTATTTATAATGCTTATTTACTAGTAAAGAATGAGTAGTTGATATAAATATGTAAGCTCCTTTTTAATCAAGTACATTGGAAATTGTCTCAACTATGACTTGAGCGCACTGCATAATCATTTAACGAAAAAATATATTATTTGCAAATGAACCGACAAATTTGCTATGTTCTTTGGAAAATGTGTTCCAAACTCAGATTATGATGCTTTTTCCGTTATAGATCTTGGATTATTTTCTACTATGATTGTCACAACCATTATACAGTTTCATAAAAAGTACTATATTTTATGTAAAAACCCACCATAGCTTATGATTATATAAAAATAGTAATATTCAGCTCTGTTCTGTTCTGTTTTATTCACTATACTTATACCTTCTCTCCGTTTAGTCAACATTCTGTCTTTGATTTTAGACCTGTGCCACTTTGACATTAGAAGAATTGACCATTATCAAATAAAGTCAAAAATAAAGTCATTCAGATATTTTACTCCTTTGTATAATCAACATTTAATGGGAACAAAAATCAGAAGAAAAGGAGGAACTTTGATTTGTTTTCAAACTGCGTTTGGGGTAAATTTCGAGGCAAAAACAAAAACAAAATAAAAAACTGTAAATTCACCCAATCAACTAATGATCAAACGAAAATACTGAAATTTTCATTGCGAAATCTAAGAGATCTTCATCGATTGTCTAACGAAAATTTAGCTAAGCCAAAATTTTACATCCCCATAGTATTTTAGTTTAATAAAATGGTATAAAAAGAAGCCTGCAAACGAATTTAACCAATCTGCAATCAAATTATTTAAATCATCGGCTTACCAAACCACGCCACTGTGAAAAGCTAAAATTTGCGAAAAGTAAGACATAGGTAAGTATACTGGGATTTTTTAACTGCATCAATACCTGTTGGGATATCCTGACGTTTTTTTTTTAAATTTGGTAGAAAATGAATCGTCGCGTATAGGCTCGCTCGCATTGACAACTTACCTCGAGAATGCTCTTAATCCACCAACGATGAGTTTCCACACAACCCTGTAATAATATTGAGCTATGTAAAATTGCTTATATGTGATTCGGTATGATCGCGTGGAAAAGTTTATTACCTGAATTATCATTTTTCCTGATTTCGAGAAAAGTGCTGGTTCTGGCTGAGGATCGTGACAGTGGATGAGTTCCGATTTTGCGTGAATCAATACAGTTTCGCCTTCTGCATTCTGAATGGTCGTGAAATAAGCTGGGCAGATTCCTTCGTCCAGGCATACCCATTTTGTCCTTCCATATCGGAGCTTCTTTTTATTGTATAGAAAGCCGTCAAGATAACAAAGGGTGTAACGTCCATCTTTGACCAATGCTAATTTTACGATTTCCATTTTTTTTATTGATTCGCCAACGATTTTCGGCAGAGCTAAAGCGGCTTAACAAGGGAAGGTTTCGAAAGAACTAAGTAGTTAATTTAGTTTCACAAACTAGAGTCACGCGTCTGTTTACATACAATTGTAAACATGGAAAATAGAGTAGAGTTGATATTTCGAGATGGGTATCTCCTTACAGATGTGATTATGGTTGATAAGAACGGTTTAATGAAATTATAATACGAATTTTTTGGACAATATGACAGTAAGTCCTCGAGATGTTATGTGAAAAGGGTCGATGACTCGCAATGAGCGTTTTACAATCGCGTTACTAAAAACACATATAGACAACACACCTGTTTGGCACTCGCGTTATTTGATGCCTCCGCGCGGAAGTTGCCCGAGAGATCCTTGTGCATTACCAGATGATTTTGTTACTCCGAAACCATCCTGCCACGCACTTCTCTTTGAGTCGATGGTTCCGATTTTGATTATCTTAGATGATTCGATGTATAAAAGCTAAATACAATGAATAGTCCAGTTTCATCTTTCGTCGTATCATTTTTAAACTTTACACTATACTCGAAGCTCCTAAATAAATATATTTATTCATTCAATTTATCCTGCTAAGCATTGGGAAGTTATGTTACGTGTCTTTTTAACGCCTTGTCTTATCCCTCAACTTCGAAAAAAGAAAATTTCAGGCCATTTGCAAACTATTTGGAGAATTATTCATGAGTATTATAAAGCGACTACAAATGACCATGAGCGTTTTATAATCTAAATTAAAGTATTTTGATTGAAACTTTTATCAAAGTTAGTAATAAAATTGTTCAAAATGTATTATATCTCACTGTGCTGTAGGTTTCAAAATTCAATTTCACTGGTCTGGCTGTAAGTTCAAAAAACTTCATTTTTACCATTAGTAATAACAATTGAAGTTTAGCCTTTTAGGGATAATCATTTTTACCTTTGTATAAACAAATCTTGGCTGGTATTTTTGATCAATTGACTTGCAGTACATATTTTAAGAAATGAAAGATGTAGACCAAATGATACAAGCACCATTGGCGGAGCTACTACTATGTCTTTATCCATCACAATAACCATTCGATTTTAAATGATTTAATTTTAACATTAAAACTAGATTTTATTACAATTTTAAAAAAATTCTTGCTATTTCAAATCTATTGATCACCTCGCCCGAGATTGTGACCGTTACCATTGATGTTCTGAAGAAGTGTACGCGACCCAGGTGCTGTCACACAATCGGTACGCTCTGAATGCTACGACAATTGAGGTGCACTTTGTAAAAACGTAAAACGCCAGAAAACGTAAAAGAAGAAAATCTTTAACAAGCAAAGTATACGAAAATGGCTCACGGAAACAGCTGTATCTCAGTGAATGATCAAAATTTTTAGTTTTAAAGTCATTTTTTAAGTTTTAAAAAATGCAATGGAAAGGAGACAAAAAATTCTACTCGAAAATGAATTAAATTTTTTTTCGATTTTAAGCCCCCTTTGGGCCCTAAAACATTAATAGAACAACACAGTATAAGCAATAGATAATAAATATTTAATAATTGTATGCAAAAAATTATAGTGTAGAACTATGAATTTTTCAAAAAAAAAAACGTTTTGTATAGGTCACAACATTTGGTTAGTAAGACTTTCCTGTCTTTCGTCAAATAATTCAAATTATATGTAAAATACGAGTCAGCCGTAACTAAAAGACAAAAAATTAGATCAAAAGCAAGTATTTTCATTATTGGCTTCCTTTTTGAGTTAAATGATGTACTATCATGACAGTTTTTTAGCTTTTTATTGGACTTTAATGAAACTTTTACCAACTTTATTCTGTACGTATTTTCTAACATTTTACCATGAATAAATCAAATAAGTAATTTCTCATAAGTTGTAGCATTTTATTGTTTTATTGTTGGCATTTTATTAATTTTTTATTCAATGTAAATTTTTTCAATCGAAGCATATATTGATCTGAAAGCTGTTACGTACGATACGGAGGTTTTTAGTATCTAAAAAAATAACAATAATTTTTTCAGTAATATAAATCATATTCAGAGTGTAGTCGATTTAATGATCTTACACTTTTGCAGGTTTCAAGATTCATCATAAATATCGGACCAGCTTTTATTTCTAAGGTTACCTGTGTCCTTGCCATTAATAACACTAGGAAAAGCTTGGCGTTTGGTGGATATTTGTACCAGTTCATAAAGCAACTACGCAAAATTTAAAATTTATGTAAATTCTTGAATTTTTTAGCATTAAAATTATTCTGGCTCACTTCACCTTTGAATGAATAAATCACAGCTTGCATCACTCATCAACTGACTTGGAATGCACAGTAAAAAAACTGAAAACAGGATAATTAAGTATGCAAAAAACATTTTTATAGCTCCAGTTACATCTTGACCTAATGAAATTACCACCTAAATTTTAACGGAAATAAAATTAATTAGCTTTGAATGTCAAGAAATAAGTTTGAAACTATTTTATATTTACAAAAATTGCCAGTTAAGGGTCATTCTTACCCAAAATTTACAAGCTCAGCTCAGAGTAATTTAAGCAAAAATGTGTTAGAGATCATTTCTACTGTAAATTGGCAAAACTTTTAGAAAAAAATACACGAAAAGAGTCTGAAGATAAAAGTTTGCTATAGAGAGCTCTAATAATTTTTTCTTTCCGTTTTTTCTAAAGCTAGAAAATCTTTTAAAACACCAGATCAAAACACAAATGATATCATTTTGCTAAAATTATGGATTTGTCTGCTCTAAAAGTTTGTAAGTCGTCGTTCGTAAGAAAAAAAGTCAAAAATAAAAGGAAAATAAAATTCTCGTGTATATGAACCTTAAGAAAATTATAATTTAAAAAAATTCATTTTTCCATCAATTTTCATTCTACAACTCAATTCAATCGTAAATAATTTTGCTATATTTACCCAAGTTCCAATTAAAACGAGGTCAAAAGCAATGCCTATAATCACTGGAAGAAGTATGGAACTCAACAAGTTATGTGCAGTATTGTACAATCTAATGGGAACATAAGTAAAAAAATTTATTAGTAGGATGGATTTTCATAGTGCATCAAGGAAGCTTTAATTTGAACAGTTTGAATGGAAATCTAAAATTAAAACGAGGTTTGATTTAAATAACTAACTTTAGTAAACTCTGATGGTGATGAATGATCCTTTTTAATTTCGAGCAAATCCATTTTTTTTCAGTTTCCTCAATCGTAAAAATTTTGCGGTCTAACTGAACATCCATTTCCTTCATATGGTATCTTAATTAGAAATTAAATTATCAAAAATATATTAATACTATACGACTTGTCAATATTACTTACTGCAAACAACGGAGACCGCCAATTATAAACCCCACGAAAAGGCAGTAATAATAAGTAAAGGTAGCTAAAAATAAACCGCACCAAAATGCCGTAACAATTTCAAATGAAAAAATGTAATAAAAATATTTATTTTCGTCAACGAAAAATGATAACTTTAATGGTAGATTTTTTTGTATGATATATTGCTCAGGAGATATCCATGAATAAAAAAGTTGGATTGTTAGTGGAGTTGTAACGTAGCTTATACACATTAAAACGTATCCCACTGAAAGTGTGCAGCAGGTATCAAGTTAATTTAATTTTTATGCGAAAAAAACTTACCTGATTGTAATGTACTCGCAAACAAGGCTTTATCAACTATTTTTGTAATAACTTTTTGGCCCACTTTATTATTGCAACGCAATATTTCACTCATGATTGCTGTAGAGTTCAAAATCTAAAATAGTTATCAAAAATGTAAATGATGAAATTTTATACAGCAACGTTTAGTGGAAAACATTGATGTACCTTATTGAAATTTAAACTCATGTAAGTATAACAATGAAACAACCTAGCAATCAATGAAGTCTGAAAAATACCTTCTACTATGTTGTTACTATCCACATTATCCTTATTGAGTTCTTGGAATAATTTAATTACCTTAATGAGAGATTAAAAATCAAAAAACACCCTCAAAAGTGGATAGATAGCTAAAAACTTCTAATTTGTATCACATGCACAAAAAATTATTTTTAAAATCAAAAAAAAGATTATAAAATACACGAAATCAAGGGCAACGTAATATTTCTAAAAGGTTATAAAAACTTAATAAAATATCTAACGATGTTTTAGAAGAATTTAAGGTAATAATTTCAAATAAATGTTTTTTACACTTATTGTAAGTTTAAGAATTCACAGTAAATTAGTTAAAAATACTCACAGTAGCTATGAACGTAGTGAAAATGATTACAATTATACTAATTCTTCCTATCAATTGCTTATATTTATTTTTTGTCGGCCAAAAAAAAGTCATTTGTGTTATTATTGGAAACAAAGGGAATCTATGTAATTTTAATTTTCGTAAGCAATTTATGGCATTCTCTTTCTCCTTGCCAATATATTGATTAGACATGTTAATGTCAAAAGAAATTTAATGATACTCAAAACGCACATCAAAGTACATACGTCGACTTTCATGAAATAGAGGTGACAGTTCCAACCATGAATAGTTTTGATAACAATAGAAAGTAAAAACTGACATATCATCAAAATTTCATTTGTTTATTATACAAAAAAATAATGAAAAAGTATATATCACTACCCAGGTGCAAAATATACTAATTTTGAAATTGTTGATTCTTGGCAAATTTTGATGAATAATTTACCGAAAAGTGCTGTTTTCGATGTCATTTTTATGTGTATCAAATCGACGCTTTTTTACCTAAAATTAAATCTATTGATCAATGATGATGAATATTTGTAGATGCTTTTCACAAAAGTAATATTTTTACAGCTTTAATATTTATAATCACAAACAAATTATAATAATCGGGTAGATATTAAAAATTAATTTCTCGAACGTTTTAGTATTAATTTTTTATCAGTGCATATAATGATCTGAATGTTGCTACGTACAATACCGAGCCTTTAATTATCTGGAAAAAAACAATCTAAATGCTCACCGTATTTGAAAATAAAATTAATTATTTAAGCTTGCTGTACGTGTCAAGATT